GCTGTGACTGGAAGAATTCTTGTAGTCTGAGAGGCGTTGCTTGAAGAGAGTCTCCTTTGATTCCGCGGTAGAGTACTTGTGCGAGAATTTGCCTGAAGCGCTCCTAACGGCATGCTGATTAGTTGACCGCAATCGACTTTGCTCGTCAAAATGGTGTTTCCAGGGGCAGGAATTACCCGCTGTACATTGATTTCCTGGAACTCATCTTGCACAGAAAGCAGATTGTGATGGCTGTTTGATAATAGTTATGATGGAACGGCTATTACGTCTAAGGCTCAAAAGATTCGCCTATTGAAGTTCAATTGAGTGCGCAAATCGCAAGATTGCGGGCCAAGCTGGTGATGTTGATGCCTTTGCGATTGGATTGAGTCGGCGTGATTTCCATTGAATCCCCAGATCAATTTATAGAACCCCATACATGTATCCTTTGGCGAACCATGACATCCGCATTGTCCCTTCAGAAGACGGAAATCCTCACAACCATGCTTGCCGCTAGCGCCAGAAGCAGGGCGTTGCGTCCGGGGTGGCTTTGGTGATGGAAGCCCCCGCATCTTTTGCGTGGCCGAAAAGTCGAAAAATGCGTATCGGTATGGCGTCGGTAGGCAGATTATGGTATTCCCGAGGTGTGTGTGGATGCTGTTGGGCCAAGGAGGCTCGGAGCTTCGAACCGACCTACCCTAATCGTCAGCGAGCCTACCACATCGGTAATACGGCCTCCACAAATGCACCAGATCTACTGAATTAGTGAAGTATGCAACTACTGAGTGTCGGTCCAGCTATCAAGGGAAAGCAATCCGGCTGCAAACGCAAGTGAGCAATTGATGGTATTTAAATCGATAAGGTAGTTGGAGCGGTGCTCCGTCCTGATGTCCCTTGACGGTGGGTGACATGCGGAACATGGACTGACAACATCTTCAAGTCGCGGAGTACAGTAACATGACATGGACCAGTGGATGATAAGATGAAGATGCAGGACAGATGCAAGTGAAGAGATAGGTATGAGATAAAGATTCGGGCTCTCCGTGTCTCGGTGGGGAAGGCCCGCTCCGATCATTCTCTCAAGTCCGGTGCCGAGAATATCCTACTTCGGACATCGGCAAGCCGGAGCGGCAGAAAAGAAAATAGATTCGGACTGAATTTCTTCAGTTCCAACTCAGGTCATCAACATCACTTGATGTCGAAAGCTTCTGATGCGCCGGCTCTAGGGCATCGCGAATCGTTGACGATTCTGCGGCAAGCCCATGGCGAAGCAGCTTCGTGGTAAGAGCATATCGTAATGCCCCATACGTGGTTGCGCATTGCAGATGTCGGGGCCGGTAGGCATATGTCGAGGCGGAAGACAACGACGGAGTTCAGGTCGCCAGGCTGCCGTGGCCTGGTTTTCCGGGAGGGTCGCCGGCGGTGCCGATTCGAGGATCTCTCATTTCGGTCTGGCTTCAACGTGACAAGTGAAGCAAAGATTTGCAGTACCCCGATGAAGTGGAAAAACGTCGCGAGGCGTAGCATACGATGACGATGCACCGGTGACCACCAACCGTGCAGCTTTCGGTGACGAAAGCGGGCGATGTTGCAGAGTTGCAGTTGACGTGGCCCAATTGAAGACCTGATGACGACGTCCTGACACGAGTCGACGTGTCTGCCTGGAGGTAGAGTGAGGCCTCCGAAATGCCTGAGCATGGGTCGAGAATGCCTCGTGAGGGGGTTTGACGCCTCGATTTTGCCTTAGTCTAGGCATCGTTGGGTCGCATCCCACGGAGGCGTCGCGGTTGCCTAATGGTCGATGTTCCCGGATCAGTTGTATGAACAGTTGCTGCCAGGTGTGACCGCTTGGCAAGTTGTCGGTTGTCGGCTTCGAAGTCGGATGTCGGTAGTCCGCTTGCATCGTGAAAAGTAAGTTTCTCTGAATTGAAGCCATCAAGATCTTCTGCTTCTCAAGGTAGAGGTTCGAATTGGCGTTCCTGGAGGTAGGTGTATGTTGCGAGCAGTGAGAGAGGACTCCATACCGAATATTGCGTTCATTCCTCTTTGTGTACTATCGCATGAGAGATGGAAGTTTCTCTGCAATACACCCACAGATTTTGGTTGAAAAAATTGGGAAAAGAAGGTGGGCGAGGAATGGGCCTGGTGTTATATCCCAAGGGATGGCTTGCGAAGGGCAACGTACCGGCGAATGGCTGGTCATAATTGCGCAGGTGCGCAAGTGCGCTGATGCGCTGATGCGACAGCTGAGTCGAAAGGGCTGGCCGAGGGACACGTTAAACAATCATGAATGATGATGAATGAGGGGTCGTAAGAGCCAGCCCAGCTGAATTTGTCTGGGAAGTCGAGCTGTTTATACCTATCCGCGCAAATGCGCCATTGCGCCAGATTCCATTTGCGCCGTTGCGCGCCTGAAATGACATTGGATTTCGGCACAGCTGCGCTATGTAGTGCAGGGTGCGCTCGACGCTAATGCGCCCGGACCCACTCACACCGCACACTCATCCATCCCCCCATTTGACGACGACCGACCCCAAAATGCGTCAGTCGCGAGATGTTTTGAAGCGATACGAAATTTCTCGCCAGAAATGCTACATCGAGAAAGGGAAATGGAAGGAAAGGGCCTCTTATGCCTGAGTTATGCTTCTCAACTTCCATTCTATGCCCACGATTTCAAACACTCGGAAAGGCTGGTGACTATGCAGTGTTTGTGACGACAGTCGATCGCCAGCCAGCACAGCCCCTGGCAACACTACAGTGTTGGGTATCGTACAGAGTATCGCTCGTCTCATTGGCACTACCTAGGTAGCCGACCTACCGAGCCAGCGCACTGCCTTTCGCACGGCATAACGGATTTCTCGTATTATTGATTACTCACTCTTCTTCTTTTTGTCAGCCATAGCCCAGACTGAATCACCGTGATTGTGCGCGTTTTATGTGTTGATTATGAACACTCTCGATGAGACCCTCCGTGCATTACATGATCTCAATCGCATGGGCTCCTCGGTGCAACAGAAGTTGGCCAGGTCACGAAACCCAGGTTGCATGCTTCGGATCTTCCAAGTGTAAAATATATCCGTAGCCGGCAACCCTGCACTGCCAGGTGCATCTTGGCGCTGCTACAAGTTGACGATATTCCCGGTTGGATTTGTTGCTCTCTGTGCTGTGCGCGACATGACATCTTTCTCGTCATGCCAGAGTGTGAAGTAATTTGGCTCCTCGTGCATCGCCTTAGCCAATTGGCGACCCAGTTCGATTACTAGACTTCTTGTTCTCCAAAACGAGAGACCGAGAGAAGTAATCTGTAAGATTTCAACAAGAGAAGAACTTGCCCGTGCGAACGAATCAATGGGTAATACAACGAGAAGAAGTCGGGCGGGCACTTGCGCGCACCTGTGCGCCCAGCCAACTAAAGTTTCATGAAGCCTCACAGTTATGATTCTATTTGATATAGTTATTTGAGATCTGGTACTAGCTAGAGTGCCCTTATATTGTGGCTTATTTGTGGGTATTGCCCGCTGTAGACTCATACGGCGAAAACTCAAATCAAGCAGTGCGCCTAGCCAACAAATCCGCCCGAATCCACAAATAGCAGAGTGCACTGTCCAGAATAGTTTAGAGATGCGGCGGTTGATATTACTGGCGGTAGCCATTACGGAATCTCAATAGGGACACAAACTACACGGACGATATGTTTAATGAATACTACGGTGTGCGATGCGATGCGATGCGATTGCGCGAGAGTGATCGCGCATTTGCGCATTCAGTTGTATGCGCAACTGTGCTGTGAGATGGTTAGCCAAGGCACTGAATGGCCCCTATATTGCCAACCTGAGCTGTCCGCTGACAGTGAAACATTTCTCATCGGAGATTCAAGAAGATGTCATGTTTGACTGATTCCTTGGTAGGAAATCATGGCAACCTCGATGATAACTGCAGTTTGAGGGCATAATCGGAGTCCTATAGATCAAGGGGCGATTCACCACACCCTGATGTACACCCTGCAATGTCTCTATTTCTCACTGAAAGGGCTTCTCATTTCGCATGACAACTAAGTGTATTGTAGATGAAACAGATGTGTAATCTGTAAGAGACGCATTCAGTTCTGTTTCAGAGGGCTTAACATCATTAGTTGACACGCCGGCAGCGGCATTGAAATAAGGAATTCAAAGTCCAGACAAGGTTGAGGTGAGATGACAGAGAGCTAATTGCGCAAGATCCCACCGGCCAAGTACGCTATCACGATATGGCATTAGTTTCCGTTGAACCGTAATGTATTGTCATCACTCCGAAATCGAATGTACTCTACTAAACGAGACGCCGCCATGCATCACATCTGCCCCCGAATCCCGGAAACCGGCGATGGCGGTGCCCCACTAAACACGGCACAATTGCGGAGATCCGACCGGTCCGGTAGTGTGACGGCCGCCCCACACAAGCCGCACCGGCCGTGAAGCACAGCACGTGCTGACCATCGGGACGAGTCCACACACAAGAACATTCATTGGTCAGCCACGGACGCATCCTGAAAGGCCTCGGTACGCAATCCGCCGCAATCACGACCAGCTCCACCTCCTGTCGGAACATCAAGGCTGACCTACCATACATGGAGCTACAACCAAGAACGTAAAGCTCCAGGCTAAAGTCTGACCCCAGCCCCGAGGCCAGCAGCCGGAGAAACCTTGGACGGACTTGCGAATCGTCACATCTTGGATCCATGAAGAAAACAATGTACTGTTTGATGTTTATCTCCTTTTGCTTATGATACGTAATCACCAAATTCACCCAGTCCCCTCCCCTTTTCCAGGGTACTTATAGCCATTAACCAACGCCGAACTCCTCATCACGTCATCAAAGTAAAGATCATCATTGCAGCCGAGAGACTGTCAATCTCGGACTAGCCGCTTCAGCCTCGACAATGATCGGACAGGATACTACAATCACTGTCCACCAGAACGGTCATTGCCGATTACCGAATTGCGTGAAGATTGTTGACTGGAAGCAGAACCAATTGATCATGATCAGGAGCTGCCACTGAATTTCTTGTTGAAGCCGGCCAGCTGTTTCGTGATTCTGGCTTGGTGTTGAGCGGCAATGGCATCGCCGTCGGCTTCCTGGTACGCGACGCGATACGCGCTGCCTTCGTTTGACGAAGGCTCAGATCCGTGCTTCTTGGACCGCCGCTTGGCCAGATGTTTCTTGGACTCTGACGAGGAGTGCTTGTGACTGGACTTTTTCGGAGCATGTCTGGCCACATGAAACTCTATTAGCTTATGACAGTACTCTCCGTTAAACGCGCCCCCGGTGAATGTCAGAGCAATTACCCGTTGTATACTGAAAGACTAGAATCCATCCCGTTCGAAAAGGCTTGAACTTTATTTGCCGATGTTCTGAGAGCTAGCTAAGCTATTCTGGCTAGAGAAAATCGTTTGCCGGTAATCGAATTGGCGTGTATCCCCAGATCGCAGAGAAACTCGTTAATGTGATGCCTTCATCACCAGGTTTCCATCACACAGTCTTAGGCCAATTTATAGTCGCCCAGAACGCCTTGACGCTCATATTGGCGGACCACCGCCTTCAAACTCCCAAAATTTCGTTCGACATCGACATTGACACGCTGCTGCCGCCGACTCTGTTCTCCCGAAGACAGACCTATGCGAACTCCAGGCGAATGGATGACCTATTCAAGAATGCCCCCACTTGTGCCGCGATCAGGGGCTTCGATGTGCAAAATATCGTGCCGCTGTTTTGTTATTGGCTTGTGGTTAAGGTGAGGGGGACGGGTGGATTGCCTTAACCGACTGGTCGAAATTCAGGCATCTTGAGAAAGCAGGGTGTTGATTTTAATATCCCCTAAGCCCAGAAGGTATATATGCACCAAATCAAGGCCGCACGACGCGAATCAACTAGTGAAATATGCATTCAGTGAGTGAAAGCTCAGCAGCAGTCGATGAAATACCCAAAGTTTCGGCGTATAGCATCTTGGACTGCAACGTCGAGTTGCCTGTATTGGTACACACTTTGCAACGTGACGCAGTATAAATGGTTGTGCGTGCTGGATTTCGGACACGCGTGAAAACAATGGAATCAAATCATTTTCTTTCGAGTGGAAATGAAGACGGGCCACTAAATGGCGGTGATGGCAGCCGGTTGGGACCATGACTCCGGCGCCGATGTCCGGCTTCGGACACGGCTTCGGACGTCGGCTTGACAGACCGGATCCGGCATTGACCGTCAACAGCATTTGACGCTTTGTCAATTGAGCCACATTGGCTTTCAGAGATTGTGTTTCTCTCAGAGAATCCTCACAATAATGAGTTCACGGTAAGAACATATTGCATATGTTTCGGTGCGTTGCCATGGCTCCGTCCACTACCCAAAGAGGACCAGCGGTCGGAATACGACGTGTGATTTCGACTTCGGAACCCTGGACTACCAGGGCGGTAAACTGCGAGCGTCGGCCAGTCTGGTCGGGCGTCGACACGAAACAAGAAGGAAAAGATCTGCGAATTCCTTGCCAAAAGGAATTCGGAGAGACAGAATAAAGACGCAACGCATCACACCCCGCTCAGATAGTCATACGATGACGGTCTCGTGAACGCAAGTAAGCGCTGGTGAAGATAAGAGTAAATGACGTGGTCCAATCGATACGTCTACCATAAAGATGAGAGGAGACTTGCATGTTTGCCTCGCGGGCGCCTTGTGAGGGGTAAAGTCGCCTGATATTGCCTGAGTCCAGGCATCAGTGGGACGCCAAGTTTCGCAAGGCGTCTTCGTTGCCTCTTCGCCCACGATGTGGCTGCGATGTGGTTCGCAAGTTGTTTGGAATGATTACATGACCAGGTGTTGCCAGGTGTCGAAGTCGTTTCGTCTTTTCGTCATCTTCATCCCAGGTCGGCTCTCGGCGGTCTTTTCTGAACTGTGGCTTGGATCTGTGGCTTGGCTGGTGAATCGCTATGAAAAGTGACGCGAAGATTGCTAGTGGAATCGAGCAAATGGGTAAAGACGTTATGAGAGATAGACGAATAAAATGAATACGAGACCTGCTGTGGAAGATTGTGTGAAGTAGCAAGAAGGACAAGACGGGGCCGGTGATGTTGACTGATATATGAGTCGTAGCAGGACTCTAGAGGATAGAATGCTGGGCTCCTTGATGGAATAAGGTCATGAGTGCGTGTCTTCCTTCGTGCAGCCTCGCGAGGGGGTCTCGTCCTCTTTATGTCGGATCGCCTTCATTGGTTGAAACCAATCAAAAGCCAACTTTTCAGCTGAGGTGTCTGACTCGTAATACCTACGGATACACTAGTAGGGTCGACTCCCTGCAATGATGCCCCACAGGGCTGTTTACTATTCCGTGTTGAATTTGGATTGGACCGGGGTTGCAACCAAAAAGGAAAAATGCAGCTTGCTCCGTGGCCGCATGAAGGAGGCCTGCAGAAGGCATGCATTCGCGAACATGGACCAATGGAGGGTCAGTCGCAGGAGATAACCGCCCGGGGTGGATGTGGGCCGATTTGGATGGTTTTGTGTGCATCACCAGTGAAAGGGTACCTTTCCCGCCGCCTGACAATTGAAGTATGGTCCGCCAGCTGATGCCATGGAAGAGTAGGTTGCCTGAGGCGTCTTACCGAAAGCCCATCTTAAAATGCAAATGTCTTACCGGTAGGATTGGTTCGGCTTTCCAATTTTTGCCATTAGGGCGATGCTACTTGGATTCAAGACATCCCGTCACGTTCATGGGCTTGAAAAAAATGTGCGAATAAATTGGCGATGCAACGCATGAGATGCAGATCTACAAAGCCCTGCCGTGTATCCATCGCCTCCTAGTGTAAAAGAATGGTCTAAAATGAGAAGTATCTCAGAGGTCTATGATCTACAGCGCAGAAATAATGGTATCGTAACAAGACATTAAAATGAATGAGAGAAAGAAAAGTCATAATCATTGTGTGGCATCTCATACCCGAGGCTCGGCAGTGCGCTTGGGTATCGGAACATTGACATTGCGGAAGCGAAGACCATTACCCTTGGCCTTGCTGGTGGCTGTCGTGAAGGTAGATGTCGTGGTCTTCTTGCCACTGCCGCCCTTATCATCGGCGACCTTGGTGGTCGCTGCACTGGTCGTGATGGTCGAGGACGTCGACGAAGCAGTCTTGGTGCTGACGACCAGGGTCGAGCTAGCGGCAGTGGCGGCGGCAGCGGGAGACTGCGTCTTGGTGGCCCAGTAGGCGTCCAGCCGGCTCTCGACCTCGTCGATGTTGTTGTAGGGCTGGTAGTTGGCCATGAACTGCATGCGAGACTTGACGGAGTCGTACGAGTACGCGGCGGCGTTCTCCTTCTTGGCCTGCCACTCGCCCTCCATGGGGTCGACGAACTGCTTCTCGGTGTAGCCGAGGTCCTCGAGGACGGAGACGTTGAAGGCGGCCATCATCTCGTGGTCCTCGTGGATGAGGTTGTGGCAGTGGAACATGTACACGCCGGGCCAGGGGGCGTAGTGGGCCTCGACGGTCACCGTCTCGCCCGGGCCGAGCCAGACGACGTCCTTGAGGCCGTTGAACTCGTAGGGCATGACGGCGCCGCGACCGTTGACGCGCTTGATGACGCGGAAGTCGATGAGGTGGATGTGGATGGGGTGAGACCAACCATCGGAGCCGTTCTCGAGCTCCCAGACCTCGATGGTGCCGCGCTTGGGACGGGCGAGAACGCGGTTGTTCACGTCGGCGAAGGTGACGCCGTTGATGCGCCAGTCGCCTCCCTGGCGCTCGAAGCGGAAGTGCTGGTCGACGCCGGTCTTGTCCTTGGGGAACGGAACGTCGCGGAGATCGGTCGGGAGTTTGGACTTGTCATCGACAGACTTGTCGCTCACGACGAAGCGCATGACCTTGTCAGTGTGCAGGAAATCGCTGTCGGCAGCGAAGCCGCGGGTGTTGCGCATGGTAACATTCTGACCCTTGTACTGGGAGAAGTCGATAACGATCTCGTAGCGCTCGGCCATGGCAATGTACAGCTCCTGAACGTTCTGGGGCTGGGTCAGAAGACCGGCATCGGAAGCAATGACTGAAAAGTTGCCCCGCTCGCCTTTGCTGTCCTCGATGTAAAGCTTGAATGTGCGGGAGATGGCAGCATCAAGCAGGCGGAAGCGGTACTTGCGAGGCTCGACGTTGAGGTAAGGCCACGGCTGTCCGTTGACGTGAATAACATCGCCGTAGAGTGAGGTCGTCTCGTTGGCAGGGGAGAACAGGGAGCCGTCATCGTTGTATTGCTTCGCAGCCAAGATCAGAGGGATGTCGTAGATACCGTATCCGCTGGGCAGACCGAGCTTGTCTTCAGCGGGGTCGTGGAGAAGGTAAGCTCCAGCCTGACCGAAGTAGGCATTCTCAGCAGTGTGGTCAATCGCGTGGTCGTGGTACCAAAGAGTTCGAGCAGCCTGGCTGTTGGGGTAGTAGTAATCCTTGTACTCTCCCGGCTGGGTAATGTCTTCGGCCCAACCATCCCAAGGAGTGCGCTGGAAGAGATTATTAGCCAATGAGATACCTGGAAGGCCACTATCAGATGCTTACCGAGTAAGAGCCGTGAAGATGGACCGAGTTGGCCCTGGTCGGGTGGTGATTGGTGTAGCGAACGACAGCTTCTTCGCCACGCTCCATCATGAAGGTGGGACCAGGCGAGACACCATCGTAGCCGTACAGGGTAGCATTTCCCAGGTTGGGGTACACTTGCTGAGTGAGCGGCTTGATCTCAATCTCGTAGTACCTCATCTTCTTCCCCGTGACTGGGTTGATGATTGGGTTTTCGGCGCTGGGTTGAGTTAGTGAGGATTCTTGCAGGCAACTATGGACATGCGAGGCTGGACTCACAACTTTTCCTGCTTCTGAGGAGGGATGGGGAGAGGGAACTCGTAAAGCCAGGTGTACTCTGGGCTAAGCCAGTCCTTGGCGAGAGTGTCGGAAGCAAGAGTGAGAAGAATGGCCAGAGACTGGCGCACCGAGAGGGAAACCATGATGAAGAAAGGTTGAAGGGGCCGGAGCCAAGAGCTGCTATGTTAGTGACAGGTGTTGGCCAAGACGGGTGGCGACGCCTTAGAAGTGTCGAGAGATGAGTGGATGAGTGGTGATGAGTGTGATGAGGAAACATTTCCAGATGAGGCGGACAGATCCCAGGGTATTTAATGACTTCCGTGATGCGCCTTGATGATATGGGAACGTGGCCGGCCCGTCCGTGTCTTGGCAACGGGATGTCGAGATCCAGTCGAGGCTGGCAAGAGCACGCCAGTCTGCGGATGGACAGCCACCCTGGCGGTATGAGTCGATGGATTAGAATATCCATCTCGAGTAGCCTCTGCCGCACGGAACTCACAAGCTAGCCCATTCGAGGAAGATGAAAAGTAATCTGGGGCTTTTCGCCAGCTTCACAACAAGATAGCAAGGTGGGGAGGCATGAGGCGTGCGCTGTGAATAACGCTTGGCTGGCGGCTAGTCTTGTTACCTGAAATGCGACGTTCGACGGTGGTGGAATCCAACGTTGGTTCATTGTGAAAGAACAAGAGTCCAACGGTAGTCGCTGATAGAATCAAAGAAGTCGGAAGAGATGTGACACGAGCAGGATCTCAGCTGGAGAGGCGTTGGCAGGGCTGAATACTTTGATGACCTTAATATGATTCGCCAACAGCATCCCGACTGGAAGCAGCGTCGTTCATTCAGACTTAGATGCACTTGCATATGGCCCAGTCAGTCCATTATGGAAGAAAGATACGAGAAGACCGGCCTAGCCAATACAGTCATGTGCTTGTCTGTGGGACTTCTACTCCGGGTCGTTGGGAGACGACGATGAAGAGCACGGCCAACGGGTAGTGTAAAATCCGAGGTATTGGTCCGCTAGAAGTGGCTTGCCGGCCGAGTATTTCGAGCAATTCTGGCATCGGACGAAAGATACGAGCTAACGAAGATGGGCGCGCTAAGAAATAAGTGGTTAGAAAGCGCCACAGCAATGCGAGTCTTTGAGAATGCCGACCTTCCTTGTTATCCAGGCCGTTGGTGCCATTTCAGCCTCCATTCTAGATGAGATGAGTCTCAATAGCGTGGCCCTAAAAAGTCGAAACAACCCAGGTAAAGAGGCGTTTGTGGACTTTCCATGAGGTTATTCTGGGACTTCGAAATGCAGGCTCGAGCGTGGACACCGGGAGTTGCAGGCTGCATGGGTAGGGTGCATGTGGAAGAATCGATAGAAGCCAGAGCTGATCTGCAAGATCCGCAGAGTTCGGGCTCGGCAGATGTAGGAGTGGCTGTTTGGATGAGGATGCATTAATGACTGGAAGACCTGCAGTCGCACGACCAGGGGGTCCCAAGCCCCGAGCCAATGGTCCCGATGTCGTGTTAGAGTCGCATCGTATCTTGTCCATCCTCGATAACGTGGGGCTGGCATCGCGAAGCGGGTGTTCCGGTAGATTTGGTCTGATAACTTACGAATTGAGGCCCATAAAATCTCAATGAGGCTGGGCTGATGTTCAACGAATCCGACTGGAGCTCATCCAGACCGGTTGGTGCAGCCACAATGTGAGTTCGGCCATCTTCACGTCAATCGTGACAAGTGAACTTCAGTTCCGGCGTTGCTGCAGCTGACAACCCTGCCACATGGACCCAGAAGTCTGGGCAAGCGCTGATTGACAAGACCCGACGCGGCTCACGATGCGTGAGACGGGAAAGACTTCGCTCCCCATTAGTTCAAGCTTCACGAGTACGCGAGGCGGAAAGACCAAGCTGATGGGACCATCAGACGCCACTCTGGTCGAACTGCATCTTTCTGCAGCTATCGCATGCCTTTGGATAGCGGAATGATTCGACGACATATCTTCACTGAAGAGGCTCTGTCGCCTCAAGCACCCATGGAGGTTTCGGACGAAGAAGGACAATGCATGATCGGACAATGCATGCCGTTTGGTTTGCGAACCGGTGGTCTAATCTCAGGGGTAAGATCGAACTCGTGGAGGCAGTGTTGGAGAGTCGTCGCCGGAATTGAACAACAGATGAAGAAGGATCAGGCGGTGAGACCGGAAATGGTAATGGAAAGGGGCAGGTGCCAGACGGACGGTTCCTGCCTTCCCCAAGTTTTCGTTCCTGGCTTGCCCCGCGTCACACGGGCGCTAATGCCAAGGCGCCAACTCTAAATGCCAAGGCGCTAGCTCCCGCTACCGCCTCAGCTTGGACTGTGGGTCCTCGGCTACTGAAGCTTAAAATTGTGGTTCAGATGATTGGTTCGAGCTGGCTTATCTAATCATCTAGGGGTCCAGCTCTTCCTTTTTCGTCTTCATCGACGCTAAGCTGAGTCGAAAACCTCCGAAGACACAACAGCGCCAGACCGTGTTCTCCGGCGCTTTGTGCTTTCATACCCCAGTTAGGGCCTTTGCGTCTTTAACCTTGAATCCCTAGACATGTCTCTATCGAGGCCTAGACGGGGGTCTTTGTCGGATCCACTTCTCCGCGTCCCGAATTGTCGGATGTCGAGCCACGCCATTCTCGTCTCCCAAACTCCCCATGATGTCTCAAAGGCTCCAACGCTCTTCTTTTGGCGCAGACGTTGGAATACGAGGTAACAACTGTTCGAAGGCCAAAGAGACACCATGAAACGCTTTTCTTTGTCCTGCCCTCGAACTACCTCGCAGTAACATCCTGTCAACTGCGTGGCACTCTTGCTTCAGTATTGTAGTATTCGCCACATCAGAATGTCATCTCTGCGTGGCGACGACAAGCTCCGTCGCGGCTCAAAGCTGTCAACGGCAGAGTCAGCTCTAGCAAACTCTCATCTCCCCATCCCATGACTAATACCTTATCAGCTCTTCAGCTCTCCACCTACCTTCCGTGCGTCATGATCCGCTCATTTCCGCATACCTCTTATGGCTACCGTGGAGATCTGATAGGACTATTCACCCGAGTTTGTGTTCTTAGCCCCTTTACGCATTGACTCTCAGCAGACGTTCCCGCGGCATTGCCCTCTCGTTGCTGATGGAGACGGCCAGTCTTCATTGCATACTGCATGTCAGCTCATGCAATCCAAAATACCCTCTCCCTCACATGCAGTTCTGCATTGCGATGTTCATTGGACTCGGAACAGGTCTTCGTATCCAGTCTTCCTGCCCCAAGCAAAGCCTACCATCCGAAGTTTAGCGGCCGCTGTCCTATCGTCAAAGGAGTCGTGACTCCGGCTCTTTTCTTTCTTCACGGCAGCCACTTTCTTGGCCCTTTGTGTTTAGTTTCGCCAAGCCCCTATCTCTAGACGTTTGGACCGGCTAACATTGTGCAAACCGGCGCCACGCGTGTTTGACGCGCCATTCTGCGAGAATCTCCCAACCGTTCATAAGACTCGAATTTCATCGCGAAATTAAGCAGACGAACTCTTATCCCACCCGCTCACTCTTCACTTCACCCTCGCTCAAGAACACAATCTTTGGTATCATGTTCTCAGCAAAGTCTTTTCTCTGCGCAGCGCTCGCTGCTACCGTCTCTTTCACGGGGGTTCAGGCACAAATAGACACAACAGCAGACATCCCACTTGATATCGACGGAGCATTTGAGGGGTAAGTTTTCTTCCTTCTGATAGAAGCCAAAGACGAACGTCGATGTTGACCATCTTCCGCAGTGCTTCCGCCGATACAACTGATTTCAACACTGGCGGAACCATCAGGTGTAATGGCCAGACAGTCGTCGTTCCCCAGAACCTGCAGATCACCTTCCCCGCGGCCTTCATCCCGTTCAAAGACTTTGTAGCCTCTTACAAAACGGGCAACTACGGGAACTACCAATGTTCCATCACGGGTAACATCGTGGGCGGAATCAAAGGCAGAGCAATCGCCGCTCAGATTTCCATCGCCCAGTTCGCAACGACCACTGCCAGCGGCTACATCACAGACGTGGCGAACAACGGCGAGATCAAGGTCAACGTCGGGACCGGCTCGGTCACTCTTCGCATCAATGACCCCAACGCCGTCTACTCTGTCGGAAATGCCGGTATTACCGCCGACCCCTTTTTCACGGCAGACGACCAGAACCCGAGCATCAGCTCCTTCTCCGGGTTCCCCATGTGCGTGCCGCGGAGCAGTGCCGATCCGCTCTGCCCCAGCTCCAACCGGCCTCTTATTGGAAACAGCAAGCAAGGATCTGTGTAAGTAACTTCGCATTCACCACGTCCTGTTTCTTGTCCTGACCTCGATTACAGAAAGGTGCCTGACTGGAGGTTCATGGCTCCTTTTGTTCCCGGAGACTTCATCACATTCTCTGGGTATGAAAGCGGCGCAATCATCATGGTTTACAACCTAGTGGCCTTCAACATCCAGCTGACCACCGCCGGAACTCCCAATTTCATCCGCATGGAAGACGCAAACATCGGTGTCTGGACCGCGGACACTGTAAATCAGGAAGTCGCTCAAACCAAGGTGAGACCGTCTCCCATTTCGCTCTCTTTCACGGCCCAGACTAACCCTAGAAGTTTGTCGGATACTCTTCCGAAGGCACCGGGACCGCCAAGATCCAAGCCATCGACTACGACAAGTGCACCGGCGCGAAGAACCTCCGCGACATCGCGAGCCTCCCCATACCCGGCACGGAACCCCGCAACAAGTTCGAGTACCGCGTCACGCAGCCCACGCAGGTCAAGTACGCCCGCGAGTACTACATCTCCACCAGCGCCGGCACCAAGACGAACAACGGGATCCTCGCCGGCACCTACGTCATGCCCGTCTCCGAGTGGATCCAGCCCGAGGACTCGGTCCCCGGCAGGCCGCCCACCGGACACGACTTCAGCCAGTATCAGTGGTTGACCGACGGACTCGGCGCGGACGACAAGGGAGACGTCTGGGGGCCGCTTAACCCCTTTCCCCAGTCCAATGTCAAGACCAACGGCTGCAGCACGACCACTCCGCCCGCCGGCTCCGGTGGTGGTTCCGGCGGTAGTACCGGCGGTGGCTCCAGCGGCGGCTCCAGCGGCGGCACTTCGACTCCCAGCAAAGATGTTGTCGCTGTTGTCGGTGTTCCTACCTGGGTCTCTTCGAAGAGTGGCACCATTGGCATTCAATGCAACACCACTTACACCCTGAAGGACACCCTCGTCAACATGAAGGTTAGCTTTCAGAACGTAGACGGCACCACCAGCGGCATGTCAATGACTGCTGCTGGTAACGGTCTCTGGACCTACACCCAGAGCAAAGTGAAGAACCCTGCAACATCAGTCACCTGCGTGAGCGATCTTGGTGGTATTGGTACTTGGAAGAAGCCATGATGCTGCAGGGGCCTCATTTACAGCTCGCTGTCTGACTGGTTTTTGTTCTTTGCGTTGTATTTGGAAATACCTTTAGACTTTAGACTACTTATGAATCATGAACACTATGAATATTTGACCTAGAAGAGACGCAAGCAGTCCTCGTCGTGATCAGCTGGCCGGTGTGCTCTCGTAGGCATTGAGTAAGCCACCGATGAAGAAGAGTCATCACTGGTACCCAAGATCCAATCAGTGATGCGCATTGATTTCGTATTTTTCAACTTCTCATTGGCGCATCAAGTGACAGTGAGTGAAAATTATCTCGTCTATCTACGAGGCAGATTGAAGCGCCTGTTGCAGTTTCAGCACCACGAAAGGTCCCTATTCGCCGTCTGATAAACGACTAAACTGGCAGCCAATAGTTTGAGAGTACGGACACTACTGCCCTCATTTTGGCTGAAGCTTCCGGGATTTCAATCTCCCTTGGCGTGTAATTTGGCCACTCATCTATAGTGACAAGACTTCTTTTGCTTCACATACTATTCTTCATTCCTCGCATCGAGTCCTGCAAGTACTCCCGCTCTCAGAATATCAAAACGCCTATAACACCCACGAAAACAGCAAACCTCAACTCTAACAACCAATACCTCGGCGGCACAGCAACCGAACTTACGTTCGGAGTTTGCGTCGTAATCACCGTCTGAACCGGCGTCCATCCGCACGATTCCACCGCCGTAGAACCCATCTTTGCCGCTATAGTTGCCGTGGTAGTTGGCGTCGCATTGATACCTGATTCATCTGCCATGTCAGCACGGCCATTTTCACACAAAAAAGCCCATTTCCTCAACGACTGAAAACAACAGCGCCGCGACGTACCACTGCAGTAACTATTGAACACAGACGAGGCTTGAGCCACACCCGACGTCTCACCCCGGCATCTTGACGCGACGGCCGTGCTGATGATCGCGTCGAACTGCCTCGAGCTCGCGGAGCAGAAGCACGAGTACGAGGTCGTCTGGCCGCCGTCGCCGCAGCCGGAGGCCATGTTTCTCACGATGTAGCTCACGGGCGTCTCGGCGCACGGCGGTAGTTTAGAGTATCCCGGGACGCGGTCGATGAATATTTGCTGACACATGGCCAACGCTGAGAATGAGAAAAGAGACAACAAGTGAGAAAGTAACATCGTTTTTGTGTTCTGTGGCGTTCGATGTGGAAATGAGGAGTGTCGGCGAATATGTCAGTCAGATGGGAGTAACCACAACCACAGCCAGTCGATATTGTAGTGTCTGAGGTTATTATCTACTTCCTGATTTTAATTTCTTAAACATATGAGGCTGGATTCCTTCGGAGATTTCCAAACGCATGGTTGATGGCTTGGCTCAGCTGGAGGTACAGCCTTCGTCGGAATCCGGACAGAACTGGCTTAGCCGACGCGTTGCGGCGCCGCCAGCCTGACTTGGAACAGAACTACGTGTTTCGTGCAATTAAAAGCATAAGTTTCTACCTTCTTTGAGGAATTCCGAGATTTAGTTGTTTTCGGGAACATCCAGTGCCACTTATCCAAGCCGATCGAGGCTGGACCCTGAATCTACCGTCGCCACTTCATTCACAGCACCAAAACGACGAGAGAGAACAGCTTGAATAGCAGAGCGAGACATCTTTCGCCAGAAAGTCACTTTACAATGCATTCTATTGTTTTGATACAAATGTCTACTTGAAGTATTGCCCCTTGAAGCCCGGAAGGATTTCTTGTCCTTCCGAAGACTGGTAGCTGACGCCCTTCTTCTGTTGCCAAGTCTGCTTCAGCGTCGTGAACTCGCCCATCGTTGGGACCTTGTGACCACCAGCCTCGAACTCGTTTTGAGTGTATCCTTCACGCTTGAGCACCGGGGAGTCAATGGTCTTCAGCACCAAGTCATTCTGGGGGCGAGCGAAGTAAAGAAGACCCAGACGGTCGACGTGGCGCTGGTCTTTGGGAGGAACCGAAACCTTTCATAAGTTAGCATGTCTTTCTCGGCGGTTGAGGCATTCAAAGGTCGACTCACTCTGTGCACGGTAGACTTGACGTATCCACCGGTCAGGAAGCTCAGAGCATCGCAGGTGTTGACGGTGAGACTGCCGTCGAGGGGCTTGGCCCACTTCCATTCGCCAGTCGCATGGTCTCTGATTTGCAGCGCGGCAACGGGCTGGCGGAAGAGGAGAGTGATGGTGCCGAGATCGGTGTGGCCGCGGGACCAGAGGCCGTCGTCGAGCTTCTCAATCTCCTCGGGCGTGAACTTCGAGTACTTCATGTAACGCAGGTGAGACTCGTCATGCGTCTCCCACTTGTGTACGCTGGTGAAGAAATCCTCGGGAAGCTCCAGTGCAAGTGCGATGAGGTGGTTCAGGGGATCCAGGACCTTGTCGTGTAGATCCTGAAATGACTGAGTTAGCGAGTGTAATCTCTGAAAACTAGACGGTAACATTTTCATACCTTGGCAAAACCCTCGATTTCCTCCTTGCGGTCTTCCAGCAACTTTGGCAGGGGCTGGGTGATGTTTCCGTCCTTGGTGGCCATGTTCCAGACCTCAGTCTTGTCCTTGATGCCGCCGCTCAAGAACCGGTTGCCGGCAGGGCGGTATCCGTTGTAATCGCCATGTTCCAGATCGGGCTCGTACTTAAGCTTCTCTTCCAGAGGAAGCTCGTAAAACTTTTGGCCAAGTGCGAATTGTGTGTCGACGGCTTGTTGTGAGATACCATAGTTGATAACGTAGAAGAATCCCTTGGTGCGAATCGCCTCAATCAGAGTTTGGGCGAGCTGCGCGTTGCCCTCGGGTGTACCATACTTGGCCAGGTCGATTGTGGGAACTGCAGCACGTCATTAGGTTAGAAATACATGCTCACATGCAGAGCAGCAGTGAACGCTTACGATCAGCCCAATCGAGGTTTTCCTGCGTCTCGGGGACGTGGGAGTATTGGTACAGTTCGGACACGGCAGACGGCATTGTGAGTTATGAGGCGGGTATCTCTTCTCAACAGGATGGGAGGTTGGTTCTTGGAAACTCAGATCGCCCAGACTCCAAGGGTTCTGAGCTCGCCATTTTAACTAACAACATCGATTGCGACTCCGGACGGGATATCGCCGGATATACAGCCCGTCACATAAGAGCTCCAGACACGGCCTTTACTCCGCACACCCAACCCAGGGCCGCAACATCCAATTGCACGAAGCTGATTTTGCCTCAACTCTGGCCATGGCGACACACTTGCAGCTTACCCCGCGGCATCGCTAAGCATGAATCCGACGTTGTTTGGTCGAGGCCGTTGGAGACACGAGATCGCCGCATGTCATCATTTGATAACGGATGGCGCAATCCCCACCACCACCGACCCCCGGTCCGCCAACATCGTCGGCGCCCTCGCCGGTAAACGCGCCGGAAAATGAGAACCTCAAACTCCCCCAAAACTCCGCATGCCTGCGGTGGGCTGCCCCCGGACGGACGAATGCCCACCGGTAGAACGGTCCCGAGGTCGGCGGGAGGTTGCTTTATGCTGCTCGCGATTCGACGGATCAAGAGCTCCCATACCACTTTCGGAGATTATTTGCATGGTGCGGTACCCGCAAACCCGCGTCGTTCCCCAGAAAGGCTGGACACTCCAAGCCGAATCGTCATTCCTGGCACAATGGCGAATAGTGGGCAGAGAGGCGTGTTTGGTGCAGCTACGGGTCTCGGCGGATGGGAATACGGCGTGAAGGATCGAGAGCTTATCGCGGACAATAGGCCGCTGGTAGGCTGTCTGAGTGGACAAGGGAGTGGCGAGGGGGTTTATAAAGATGTTTGCATAATGGAAAATGGTGAAAACCGGAGCGGTTTCCCTGTTGTGGCGTACATACGTATAAGACGACGGCCAAGCTGAAGAGCCGAACGGGCTGTACGTCCTCACCTTAACCTCGGGATTTACGTGCAGATATCGACAATGGGGGCCGTAATCCAAGCTGTGAAAAAGAGCAAGGTGGGAGCCGTGGTCATATCGGTCTTTGATTGGTATCGTAAGTTTTACCAGCATGTTGGTAACCGGCGGACTGTCCACTGACGTTCTTCTCAGCCTCTCACTACCCGGCTGCCGAACGGAAACTGTTGAGGAAGTTGGACCTCGCAATCCTAGTGTTCGGATGCTTGAGCTTCTTCTGTAGAGTAAGTTACTATGCTGACTATTCTACCAAACGAGCTTGGTTAACCTGCGGAATAGTTCCTGGGTCAACAAAACATCACCAATGCATACGTCTCGGGTATGAAAGAAGACCTCAACTCACATGGGAATGAGCTCAACTATTATGTCGTTGCTTGTAAGACTGCACAAATGGTCCATTTGCTAGACTAGTGTTGCTTACCAAAACCCAGACAACACGGCGTATGTCCTTGGGCAGATCCCACTGATGACTCTCCAGACAAAAGCAAAGATGTAAGGCCCGACATCAACAAACAAACGCTTATGACAATTCCTAACCCCTCAAAGCGCACCTTATCTTCTTCCGTCATTGCAGATCATTTGGGCTGTCATCGCTTTCTGTCAATCGGAGATCAAGCACAGCTGGCACCTGTACATCCTCCGAGCCATCACGGGATTCCTGGAAGCGTCGTCATTTGGCGGCACACATCTTATCCGTAAGTCGTATGTTATTCGCACTTGACGACCTTGAGGCTGACTTGAATATTAGTTGGAAGTTGGTTCAAAGATGAAGAACTCTTCAAGCGCGCCGGAACTTGGTTCATGGGCAATTCTCTGGGCTCCATGTTTTCTGGTAGGACTTCCGCGGCTCGTGCACCGTCATCACGAACTCGATGCTGACATCACTTGACAGGATATCTCCAAGCAGCCGCTTACAGAAACCTAAACGGGGTATACGGCAGAGCCGGCTGGAGATGGCTCTTCATCGTCCAAGGCATCATTACCCTTCCTATTTCTTTCCTAGGTTTCGCATTCTGGCCCGGATTGCCTACTTCTCCGAGAAGGTGGTTCTTCACTGCTGAAGAGCACGCTCTTGCCGTCAAAAGAATCCCGACAGTCGAGAAGGAGGGCATCACTTGGAAGACCTTCAAGTACACGCTTTCTCGTCCAATGTGGTGGATTTGCGTGCCCTGCTACATGTCAGTCATTCTTTTATGTCCATTATGATTTGCAACTTTTGAACTAACAATCCGTAGCTTCCTGTGTCAAGCACACTACTGGACAGGCTACATGGCACTTTGGCTTCGCGATGCGCAGTACTCGATTGAGCTGGTCAACATCCTACCAACTTTCATTGATCTACTTCGTGCGCTGTCCTCATGGCTGGGAACGACTCTGGCGGGCTGCCTTAGTCTAAGAGGACTTTGGACCTTCCAAGCGGTGAGTCAACATCTGAGTTCTTGACCCTTTCGAAACAGATCTGACGACCTCATTTGAACAGAGTTTCGTGCTGTTTTCTTGCATCGTTCTATCCGTATGGAACGTCCCAGACATCCTGAAATTCTGCGCCTTCTACTTTGGTGGCTTCTCAGGAATGGCTTCGCCTATCCTTGTAAGTATTTCGAATGGTTGTGTGATGAGAGTCTCGGGACTAACCAATCACGAACAGTACTCCTGGCTGAACTTCACACTCAAGGAAAACTATGGAGAACGTGGTCTCATTATCTCCTCGATGATGACTTTGGGTTTCTGCAACCAGATTTGGATACCCTTGTTCACATTCCCAACCGTGGAGGCTCCTCGTTTCCCGCATGGCTACCCGGCGGCGACCGTGTTCGAGGTTGCGATGTGGGCGTTCCTGATGTTTGGCGCTTGGTACATGAAGAGATGGAAGCAAAAGCATCCCGACCTGGAAATGAGGCTGGCCCACGAGGCGGCTAACCAGAATGATTCATCTGTGGTGGCTTCGGACTCTGAAAGACCTGAAGCAGAATTCGGGTCTCCATACGAGAGCAAGGGACAGGAAGTGGTGGCAAGCCAAACCGTGTCATCTGAGAAGAAGTAATCAGTACCACGAATAAATAAATTTGCATCTCGGAAAGCAAGTACCACTCGCAAGGCACGTACAAGAGGCTTCATTGCATGTAATCCGCTGGACTATAGCTCATAAGTTTCTTGATAACACTTGACATCACAATTCTTCAAGTAGTGAGTCGCTGAGTTTACAACCAATACACTATCATGCATGAGAATAAGTCGAATTTGGAGTTCTTCAACTTCCCTCACTTATTGTAACGTATGTTGGCCCTGGCTCATCGTCAAGACCTTCGGTGAAAGGACACCAGTGTTTCCAAACCTTCGTCTGCTGCTCGATCTCATCCGCGATCGCAACCGCCATATCAGGAACCGAAATACTCTGTAGCCTCCCTTCGAATATTGAAAGATTATTCCCACCCTCTGCCGCTCGCGCCAGTTGAAGAGGCATTCTGTCAAGCTCAACTCTGTAAGACCCTGTCCGTGTCCCCGGCCTGTACAGAGGAGGAGGCGATATATATGTCCACTTGAACGACGTGTTTCCGTCGAAGAACATGTATGTTGCTCGCGCTCCTGTAATGAAGTCGACGCCTTGGCTGTTCATGTCGGCCATCGTCTTATCCAAGTCGTCGAGAACTTTCTTCGTCTCATCCGTTCCATTCCCGCTGCGCTCTGCTACCCAAGCCTCTCGGGCAGCCCGTAAACGCGTCGCGAAGTCGCCAGACCAGTTTTGGCAATGCGTAATGAAGGCTTCGCTGGCCAACATGGCTCTACCGTATGCCGAAAAGAACCTCGCGTCGTCGGCAGCTGTCATGCAGGGTCTGTCTGGGACCTCCAAACTGCCAGCGCCCCCGACCATGACGAAGTACGGTACTTTTGCCTCTCTAGACGCCAGCAGTATCTTTCGTGTCATCTCTACAAACGATCCTTTCGATGATAGTTAGCCAAGTTTGTAAGAGAACTTGGAATGGCTTACGGTAAGCGAAGGCTGACCCGAGCTGGCTGTGTGGGCCGTAGGCGTTCACAACTACATCAAGGCCATGTAGTCTTTTGGCGATTTCCAGAACGTCCGAGTTGCTGAGGTCTATGCTCCTCGGCTCGTAGCGCTCGTGCTTTCCCAACCTCGATGGATCTCTGCAGACTCCAATAACGCTGTGCCCTCGGTTGAGTAACTCGACTGTCGCATGAGACCCTGTCATGCCCGTGGCACCGATCACGCCAACTTTCAGGCAAGACATGATAGGGGATGAGATGTAGTTTGAAAGCCCATCCCCTTCAAAGGAAGAAACATGTGCCATTCTCTTAGTTAAGTAGCTCCTAGGCGGCGCAAATGCGGTTTAGCCGCGGTATGCTCGAGCCTCCGCCCGAACTCCAGCCAAATCTGCCATACGTCATGCATCCCATCCGAAGGTCAAGACCCAAAGGAAAGAATGGAAAATGTGTCAAACCCTTTTAAAAGTTCTTGGACGACCGCAAGACGGAATCCAGAGCCCAAGTCACGGGTTTGAGAAATAGCGTTTCGGGCCGGGTTGAGTTCGCACAGCCGAGACAGGCTAACCTGAACTCCCGTTCCTCATCCGACACCTTCTGGACTTGAGCCTCACAACAGCATTCTACCTCTGTTTCGATTATGCAAACGCGATTTCGTTTCCTCTGAACAAAATATGGCCTTGCAGCGGTAGCGGCGTCAACTGGCACCCATCATTTGAACGCTATCGTGTAGCCTCCCCGAGAATCCACTGAGTTCAGCCCCTGCATTCCGGTTCAACTCATCTGAAAGCATAGCAAGTCTTTCATTATTTGAGGTTGTCCTGACCATGGAAATATTGCCTTCAATAATCCCACTGATTCTCTCGTATCGTCGCTGATGATTATCCCAAAGAACACGCAGTAGGCCACTGAATTACTCTGTTTTCTTCGCTCTTCTCCATCATTTCCTTGAAGGTATTCAATTCAATACGTCTTCCTTTGTAGTAATTGGCAACAAGCTGAATCCATCGTCCGGACCCCCGTCGGAAACCAGGGGAAAGGCGGCCCCTAAAAACCAGCTACCTAGCCTAAAAAGGCAGCCGAAAACTACTTGTCCTTAGTCATACGGCACCTCTGCGCCCCGGTGGCGGCGCGCTTCCGCGACAAAGGATGACCATGCTTCATCTCACATCGTCCGTCATTTTCATCCTGCTGGAAACATCAGAGGTTACAGCAGCCGTCAACGACCGCCGGCAACCCCTCAATCGCATCGGGCATCTGTCAAAAGCAGAGAGTTGGCACAATGGCACCGCGCGAAGAGACTCACAACGCCGGCGACGCGTCCGCCAACGCGACCGAGACGACTCCGCTGCTGGCGACCAAGGACATCGCGCCGACCGCCGATCCCCAGATCTCACAAGCGACGACACTCAATGACCCGGAGCCGCGCCAAGACGATGCCGCCGCCGAGGATGAGAAGCCGCTGCCCGTATGGCAGATAATCTTCCTGTGCTATGCCCGGCTGGTCGAGCCGATGGCTTTCTTTGCCATCATTCCCTACGTCAATCAAATGGTCCAAGACAACGGAAATCTCGAGGAGGCGGACGTGGGCTTCTACGTGGGCCTCGTTGAATCTCTGTTTTCACTGACTCAGGCCTTCGTCATGATCTTCTGGGGAAAGATTGCGGACCGGGTCGGCCGCAAGCCTGTGCTCGTGTTCTCACTGTTCGGAGTCGCTGTTGCTACCTCGATTTTCGGTATGGCAAAGACCATTCCGCAGATGCTCCTGTTTCGATGTTTGGCTGGCGTTTTCGCTGGCACTATCGTTACCATCAGAACCATGATCGCAGAGCATAGCACCCCGAAAACCCAAGCACGAGCATTTAGTTGGTTCGCCTTCAGCGGCAATCTTGGCATCGTGAGTTGATCTTGGTAAAGCGGAATATCAAATGACTAACAAGGAGCAGTTCTTTGGTCCTCTTCTTGGGGGCACCCTAGCTGCACCGGCAGATCAGTATCCCGGTGCCTTCAAAGACGTTCAGTTTTTCGTTGACTACCCTTATGCATTGCCCAGCTTCGTGATTGGCTTCATCGGCCTGACCGCAGCGATCACCAGCTATTTCTTCGTCGAAGAGACGCTGAAGAGGGAATCCCATGCTGAGGGCGATGAGCCAGCAGCACCAAAGAAAGAAAACCTCACGATCGCGGAACTCGTCAAGTCTCCCGGTGTTGGCATCGTACTCTACTGCTACGGTCATGTCATGCTTGTTGCTTTTGCATACACCGCCATCGCGCCCCTCTTCTATTTCACCGCTGTCGAGCTCGGCGGGTTCGGCTTTTCCTACATGCAGATCTCACTCATGATGGCCGTCAATGGCATCGCTCAAGCTCTGTGGCTGCTGGTTATCTTTCCACCTCTGCAGCATCGCATAGGAACCAACGGGGTCATGCGAGCCTGCGCCTACGTGTACCCCTTGTTCTTCTTCATTTGCCCGCTCGGGAATTTAGTCCTCAAGGCCGGCACCCACAACTCGAGCGCAATAACCTTCTTTTGGATATTCGCGCCGATCGCGCTAGCACTCGGTAGTGGAGTGAGCATGAGCTTCACTGGTATCCAGCTGGCCTTGAACGATGTTTCTCCTAGTCCTCAGGTCCTCGGGACCATCAATGCGCTGGCGTTGACGGGCATCAGCGTCATCCGAGCCTTCTCGCCGGCCCTGTTCACGAGTCTTTTCGCAATTGGCGCGCGGACTCAATTTCTCTGGGGAGAAGCTATTTGGGTTTTGTTGATTTTGCTTATTTTGCCCTATATCTATGCCGTTAGGCATCTTCCCGAGAAAGAGGACTTGCAGAAGGCACGGCAACAAGCTGAGCGGAGTGAGGCAAATCAGTCTACCTCTTGATGTTGTGGGGATCTGATATCTTACCATGAAGAAAGGATTAGACAGTGAAAAGATCTTTCCCACCTACCAAAAATTCGCTATTCACCGTGGAGAGGGTCGAGCAACTTGACTCATCGCGGTGAATTTCCATGACTTTGCTCGTTCACTTTCGACCTCATTCATTCACACCTTGCTCACTCGGGGCCGTAGAGTATAAAGAGGGGCGAGACACATGAGAAATGAGGGAACGTTTAGAAATCAACTACGAGTTTACAGCCATATCATCTAACACTGTACACCTTCTCGTTCAGAACGCATCAACCATGGTTTTAATGCATCTCTACCCTTGTCAGTGCACCGACTGCGACTGCCATGAGGTCGTTCAAACTCCGAATGGTATTTGCGAGGACTGCCGCCGCAACTGCATGGCAGGGGACATTGACGACATAAAAGGACTAGTCAGTTGTATTGCTGGAGGCGGTGTTTCCGAGTCGGGTGCTGAGAGTCAGCGTCGTGGGTAGAATCTGCATATCCGCCAATACCATGTAAATAAGTATCAAGAGAGTTACATTCCAGTTGAATCAAGAGTGACATTTCAGTTGCGGCAGAATTCCGTTTGGGATCGACAACGGTTCCAGAGATGAAGGGATCGATCACCGGGGTTGCAGTTGCGACGCTGTGTAAAGTTGCCAAGCGACGATGGGTCGAACATGTCGACACATCACTGACAAAGCCGTCGCCGCCTGACGATTTCCTCGACAAGGTAGCTGGGGAAATGCTGCCCGGGCTATCCATGATATTGCGTTAAAATTTTCCCCTGCATGATAAGTGCCTTAGGAGCACGTGGGTAAGGGGCGGCCGAGACTCACGCGCAACCGATTCAACTCGAACAGGCGGGTATCGCAGCAGGGATCAAACGGTTTCCGTCTCGCTGGCCAAGCCGTCGGCAGGCATGTTAGGCTGAGAGACGAATCCACATCCGGGCTTGGCCGGAGGATTCGAGAACATTTACGCCGGCTCGTTAACCCTTCAGTCTTGCTTGTCAACCGTGGGTTAGCAGCAGCAGCAGTAAAATGACCAAACGGCTTGAAGTTTTGCTGAAATATTCTGGGTAATTACTGAAGGCTACTATTACAAGTTGTACAAAGGGGGTATTCATTGGGTCCTTGTCCCGCTACCAAGGCCGCCCATCTCATAATGCTCCTGACTTCCGGAAACTCTTCCTGTTCGGCTCGGGCAAAACCGACTCGGGCTCGACAGGCTCTGTCGTAATCTCCACCTCACGATGCTGCCAAATCCTGTTGTCGTGATGGGGGTATGCCCTCCCGCTGCTTTTCGACAACTTCGTTCCGTGATAGTGCTCTCTCGCCGACAAAGGCTGGTCGTTTTCTGGGAAAGTCGACCTCCCCGGGCTTTTGACCGTCACGCTGACGGTGCTCTGGGGAACGAGCTCGATCTCGTTGGACCCTCGTGAGCTGTGCGAGCTGCTGGCGTCATCTCCCGCCATAGTCTTCAGGCCAATTCCGTACTTGGCTTCCTCTCGGACACCGCCGCCTTGCGATTCGGACATCTTTGACCAGTCCTTTGAGGCGGCACGAGCGTGTGATGCGGTTCCTGACCGCGCGCCACCGCCGATGGTCAAATTTGCGGACCTTCCTGTCGATTTCTTGGCTGATGACCGGCCGTACTTGTCGAGACCACTTCGTTGGGCCGAGTCAAGAAGACCCTTCCAAAGCACGCGGACGATGGGGCCCTGAGATGTTGTCAGCGATAGTAAGCGTAAAATGGAGCGTTAAGCTTACCAGAGTTGGCAAGCAGGCTGAAACGATGCCACTGCTGATCTCGATGATGTTCCAAGCAAGACCTTGTGCAAGCGAGTCTCCAAAGTGTTAGCATTGTGTCGTTTTACCTTGAAAAGACTTGAACTTACATGGGACGTCATCCTTGGTGTAGAGCAAGAAGATGCGGAATCGGTAGATACTGCAGAAGACGACGTAGCTACCGAGCAAGAAGGTGAACAAAACCAGAATCCGCTGGGCTTTGTTCATCTGCAACTTCAGTACGTGGGGAATCGGGAGATAGAGGATGGCGATGTCGACGATGATACTCGGAATAGCGATACACAACTGCGTCAAGAAGAGGTTGATACAGGTGCCCGGCTTCCACGGCTCCCAAAGCGTGTTCAACGGCAGACACTGGATGGATGCTGCGATAACGCATGCAAAGGTCCAAAGAGACGTCAAGCTGCCGCAGATCCATGCGCCCTTGCGGACCTCCTTCATTGGAAAGATGCGAAGGTAGAGCAAGAGAAGCGCGATCTTGTACACGTTGACGCCATTGACGTACAGAATCTCGGCGCCGATCATGGTCTAAACACTGTCAGCTTGTTGCTCTCGATTCATGTTGTCGATGACATTGTTCTTAAGCTAAGGAAAGTACGCACACGATCGAGAAACTGAAGTTCTTGGAGAGAAAGTCGGCCGGAGTGCAGTCCAATGCCGTGGTCCACAACTGCAATCAACATCGTGTTAGTGACTTTGTGCTGGAAGCCTGTTGCATATCTTCCACTTACGAATCAAGTTCATGACCATATTGCCAACCAGTAACACCAGCGCGAACAGCATAGTGTAGTCATCGATCAAGTATCTCGCGGCCTGGAGATGTCGTGCCAGGAACCGCAAGCCTACCACGAAGGCGGCGAACGCCGTGAAAGCGATTGTGATGCCCCGGACATAGCTTCGAAGGTCCTCGTCCAAGTTTTGGTCCTCCGCGAAGTCGGCCAGCTTTTTCAGGTACTCCCTCTGAGGTTCGTCGATGCTCGTGTCGTTGAATGGGTATACGGCGGCGGACATGGCTGGCCGTGTGAGATGGCCACGCAGGCTCTCGTTCGAACAACGATATCTCGGACGGTCTTTAGTTTGCGAGAGAGGGGTTCATCACCGAGCAGACGGTTCGCAGGGTCCTCCTATCGTGCACCACGTGGGGATGGAGAATCATTTTATCAAAGTTTCCTCGTAGAAACTTGGGGGAATCCTTCCTATGCCCTACCTACCGTCTTACACACCTGCCGCTCCAGAACTGCAAAAAACACGTGCGGTGGGCGCCGCGGCTCCCCGAATCCCTTGTCGGGCGACCGAACCACGGTTGCATTCCCAAACTGTCAATCTTTTCTCTTTCGGCCTGTCATGTTTGACAGCCCCCTTGACAACCCATCGGCCCCATCATGATTACGACCTCGGCGGGTGAGATACGGGGGCAATCGAGAACGTGTGGATCGCAACACCGAAACAGGTCAGAAGAAAAGGGGCTTCACTGCTTCGACTTCCGGCCAAAGCCCGAGGAGTTGTCACCTTTTTCACATTTTGTCAGTTTCGTGAACGAATATCCATGAGGGTTTACCACTCGTGTGGGCTCGTCGCCGGGGGGAATGTCGTAAGAAGAATTAGCCTCTTCCGCCATCAATCCACCGACTCGGCTCAGTGTCCGAGCAAACCAGATACGGCCGCTTTTCAACCGTGAACACCATCCGATAGACTCAAAATGGATCATGTCTTCCGGCGCACGGCTCCCTCTGAGGCTCGTTTCGTCTTGAGAACCGTTGGAACTAGTTGCTCGGAGCAGCGCTTCTTTGGATCAATGGGAACCGTGGATCCCTCGTCAAGAGAAGACCCGCCGCTAAATCAACCAGGGCCCGCCTGCCATCCCATGAATGGAACCATGGGATTTCGACAGATCATCACGGCAATTGTGGCCTCTGCGCTGGCCCGACCTGCCGCTGGTTGCCGGAAGAGAACCCGGAGTCGTCGAGGTCGCGGCTGGGGGCCACGTCGAGTCATCAACCCTGCAATCTGCTGCGGCTGGTCGATGGTGGACCAAGATTTGTCTCTGTGCGTCATTATCGACATATGGCTGGGGGACCAACATACGAACGAGTCGATGGCCCTTCGGACAATATTCAGAAATCGTTGACGGGTAGAAACAACACCAAGAACTCAACTGCCGAGGTTGCAGAGTTGCTGAAGGCTCTCGGAGACTTAATCCAAGCTACCTAGTTAGCGAAAGTGCTTAGTCTCGAGTTGGAGGGTTGCGTTGCAGAATCGCCACGCCGTAGACCTGCATCGAGACTCTTCCAACGACATATCCGTAACCACCAATCATGTGTGCCCGATTCTGGTACCTGCATCCGCCCCGATGCTCCCCTTTCTCGTACGCAACTGGGGCAATAATCCACCGCCAATGTTGGCCCGTTTGTGGATATATATCGAAAGACCGCGTACTGCGCAAAACATCGCTAGCTTAGCGGAGACAAAACACAAGGGCCGCTGCAATGTCCGACGGTCGACCTGGCGGCCTTCCCGCTGTCACGCGTCCCAAGTCGTCGTTCGTCGGCCGCTGTCATTTCGGGGATATTGCTTGCTGAGGGATCATATTCATGCATCCTGTCGATAGGACTTAGTACTTTAGACGGGCCATCTGCCGCGCTCTTGGGTTGTTTTCTTCTTGTTCTGGCAGGCCGTTCGCTCTCTTACAGTCCTCGACAAGTCTTCCCATCCACTTCTCTGCCCGCTCCCCTAGTCAATCTCTTGCAGCAGAACCAAGATCACACTCTTTGTGGCTCTCATCCTCAGTTAATTATTCATAATGAAGCCCTCAGTTCTCATCGTCCCCGGCGCTTGGCAGCTCCCCTCTGCCTTCCAGCCCTTCGCTACCGAGCTGGCTGGTGCTGACTTCAGCGCCTCCATTGTTGCCCTCCCCACCGTCGGCGGCACCACCACTCCCCTGGCTACCCTCTCCGATGACGTTGCTGCCGTCCGCACCGAGCTTGACAAGCTCGTTGGTGATGGCAAGGAGGTCGTTGTCTACTCCCACTCCTACGGCGGTGTTGTTGCCAGCAACGCCGTTGAGGGCTACGACGTCGCCAGCCGTACCGCTGCCGGTAACTCTGGTGGTGTCGTGAGCATTGTCTACGCTTCCGCCTTCATGCTGCCCAAGGGCGCCAGCCTGCTCGACCTTCTCGGCGGAACTCCTCTGCCTTGGATGGTTGTCGAGGTAAGAAAACTTGAACATCCTCTTCACTTGAAGAGTAGCATGAATACTGACTTCGTTATAGGAGGACCGCGTCGTCGGCAACGCCACCATGCTGCCCGAGGTCGGCTTCAACGACCTTCCCGCCTCCGAGCAGGAGAAGTGGGCTAAGGAGATGACCTGGACTTCCCTGAGCGCTTTCACCACGGCCTCCAGCTACGAGCCGTGGAACAACGGCTTCGACTGCGCTTACTTGTACGCCACCCTCGACAACGCCCTGCCTTTGAGCTACCAGCAGGGCATGTCCGCTGTTCTCCCTGCCGGCTCCAAGACCGAGAGTGAGCCCAGCGGTCACTGCGCTCACCTTAGCCGTCCCGCGAACGTCACCTCTATCCTCAGCAGGTGGTACCCGGGCAACTAAAGTAATGAGTGTAATGAGAGAGTAGAGATGGCGGGATGAAGCAGAGGAAGCTAGCACTGCGATCACGACTGGCGCAGCGCGGGCCTAAATAACAAAGTAATATAATCTATATGAGTAATGCAACCTTGTCAGTCAAATTTATTTGTGACTTGTAAGTGACCGGCAGGCAGGCAGTATGTAACAGTGTGACTGGCACAGACGCCAGTGTGGTTCAGGTGAAGATGCAGGCATGGAGCCGCAGACCAGGAGATGCTGGTTTCGAGAACGGTACCCGATCTCAATCCACAAAACCTTCATCGTGTCACGATGAACCGGTTCAGACGGATTGTAGCGTCATTTTCGACGACGTTCTCCACATTTGTCACCTGTCATGGACGCGTCGAGGTAAAACTTCGGAAACACGCTGCAGTGCTGGCTCAGGTGGGAGTTGCTGAGTCGAGTCCCCGATTCAGTACCGAGCATGGCAGGCATCTTGATCCTTTACTGCAACTCAGCGGAGAATGCCCGTAAATTTGGATGTATGTCTGCCTGGCTGCCACACTGCTCTCGGTAAGTGTTGGTAGCACATCACATTTCAGAAACGAGGACTTAGTTGGCCCCATCAAGTTGGATTTGCCTCCGCAGATCATAATCGAGATTTAGGACATCACTGCGCGTACAACACCAAAGTTCTTTTCTTCTGATATCGATTTTGGTTGATAAGCGCTTCAGCCACAAGTCGTTAGCCTCAATTGCGGTACAAACGGAAAAGAAAAGGCCCAGGGTCATGAGCATCTCCTCGTCCATGCACGTCATTAACATCATTGATCAACTCTATTGCAGTGAGGCATGAAAACTACAAGAAATATTCTAAGTCGCTGAATTCACGAAAATGAGAAATCCACCATCAAGATTCGCAATGAATGTATGGAATGAATGGGCTCATGGCAGAACGCCTCCTTTTGCACAGCCATCGTGGCTTTCAAGTTCAAGTCGTGAATTGATTCAATTGGCTGTTTCATGAGGCACAGGTGCTTTCAATCGCTCCTCCTTACTTTCAACAGGACATTTTTTTTATTGGCTAGCCTGGATCCACCTGTTGGTTCAACTCAGTCGTCGGCGGCTAAAATCTGACTACGAACATGTCTATTGGATGCTGTGAAGAGGGGAATTACAGTTATGACCAAGCCTTGCACTTGTCGCTCATTCATGAGCCCAGAAAGTGAAGTCAGATTCATCACCGCAGAATGGCCCTTTGCGACTTCTGCTCGCGGCTCAGTGTCCACCAGCTTGACGATCAGGATGTCCTGTTCCATCCCAATCTCAGATCTCTGAGAGACAGTGCCGGTGCAGGATGTTCATTTTGTGTCCTTGCGTGCGATGCAATCTTGCGAGGTTGTCCTTCTTCAGATGTCATTCCCCTGCTGAATGATGAAATACCCTCCCTTTACAAGAAGTCCCTTCGAGATGGAGAGCCATTCTATCCCGAAATCTGGCTTCGTGGGCAGCTCTACCCTGGCGGCTCGTCCTTCGATGATCGCATTTACACTTCAATTATATTAAACTGCGGAATCCCTGGTCCGCCATGGCTTCCAGGAGCGAATGGAGTCGCGGCTCCCTTGAACAACACAATGATGTCGTGTTTTGCGTAAGTGTCGTGTTCTTCCTGTCCCTCACATTCAAGTTGGACGACAGATTCTGATTGGGAAAGACTCGTTGGGTCGGCGACAGCCGCTATTTATCCTGCCAGATGCAGCAGTCTGGATCCTGATCCCCACGCCCATATCAAGATTGCAAAATCACGGCTTCATGAGTGCCGTCAGAATCATAGAATTTGCAACATCAAAAGATCTTCGGAAATGCCAACTCGGGTTATTGCTCTAAGCGGAACGCAAGGCACCCGACTTCAGTTGACTAACGGTCTTCAAGAGCCATATGTGGCGCTTTCGTACTGTTGGGGGCCTGCGACGGACACAGTCCGGCTGACGATCAGCAATTACGACGATATGCTATCAGGCATAGATGAACGGACACTAACCAAAACACACCAAGAAGCGATCGATTTTGCTCGTGCCCTTGGCGTTGGTTATATCTGGATTGACGCGCTCTGCATCATCCAGGGTGATGCTGAAGACTGGGAACACGAGTCTCAGCGCATGCACCATGTCTACGGGAACGCATATTTCACCATCGCTGCTGCACGATCATCTGATGCTCGCCTCGGCTTCATATCACCCACTGAAGGACAAGATGCCCAAGCGGTACCATTACCACTTTCTCCTGCCAGCAAGGACGTTTTATATGTCAGGCTCGAACCCTCAACCGCCTACGGGGCAATCACTACTCGTGGATGGTGTTTTCAGGAACAAGAGCTCTCAACTCGTTCGATAATATTTGGGGAGCAGCAGCTCATCTATCGATGCCGAGTATGGACAGCCTTTGAAAGTACCAAAAGTGTATTCCGGGGTACCGCTTCAACGTTTCTGGTTCCTGACTTCACTTCCACGACGGAAGATGAAGAAACAAAGAAGAACAAGACACTGGACTTGTGGTACGAACATCTTCGGGGCTATTCGCTGCGCAAACTGTCTAATCCTTACGACGTGTTCGCCGCCATCGCATCGATAGCCAAACTTGCCCAAAACGTGCTTCAATCTCGATATTTGGCTGGCTTGTGGGAGGTAGATATTGTCAGGGGCCTCTTGTGGAAACCCAGGTATCAAGTCCACCCACGTAACCTGTGGGGCACTGTCGTGCGTCCTCAGTCGACGGCTTTGGCACCAGAGCCTGTTCATCGCGCGCCCTCGTGGTCATGGGCGTCTGTTGAAGGGGGTGTGAACAATGATTCGGCGTTCTTGAGCAACAGATCCCCAATCTTAAAGAAAGCGGGTTTCGTCAAAATACGTCCGGGGCTCGGGAGTAGGTGGACTGCGGACGGAAACTGTGATGTGACTACGCTTCATATGCCGTCATGCGAACTGAGCATACTTGGAAGAGTCGCTAAAGCAGCGGTCAGGAGCAAAGACGCAGAAAGCTACACTTGGAAAAGAAAGAGACCTAGCACATGGATTTCCATGAGGAAATGGGGTGTTCTACTTGGTCCTGCAGGCACCGATCTGGAAGAAGAGAATTTGAAGGAAAGCGTTTTTGCAGTGGGTGTGTTTGATATCCCTGAGGAAGCTTGTGAGGAGGTCTGGTGCTTGTTGGTGGTCGAGAATGAGGGTCTGATGTTAATCAAACATGGCAGCCAATGGAGGCGTACTGGTTGGTTCATCTTAGATACGCTCTCTTGGTTTGACGATGTGGACGAGACAGAAGTGAGATTGGTCTGAACATATGTAATCAAGACTGAAGCTAACATATTTCATACCTGGACAACAAGGAGACTTATGAACAATCATCTGAAGTCTTACCACCGTAGCCTATTCACAAATATACCATCCAATATCTTGCCTCTCTCATCCAAACAACATGAGTGAAACAGATGAAGCTAACACAACAGAACCCTGCGAAACCAGATTCAAACTTCCATGCACCTCATGATTTCTTCATGCCAGTTCGCTGGCTATTGCGACGGCGTCGATGGAATCTAACAAGCGCCGTTCTTGACCGATGCCGTGGCCGTAACGGAGTCGAACGGTCCGTTCGTGATGGTGAGCTCGCATGTCGGACTCAGAGTGTACTGGACGTGCGGGCCGTTGACAAGTGTCACACCCGCACTAACGTTGGCTTCCGAGCATGCGGCGGCCGTACCTCCCCCGGCGGAGTCTTGAATCTGAACTGAGCAGTTCGTTTGGGCCGGAGCGGCTTGCGCGAGGGCGGCGTAGAGAGCGACAGCAAGGACAGCGAAGCGAGCCATGACTGCACATCAACTTATGTTAGTCTATATAGACCTGGTATAAAACAAGAGAGATGGCTTACTGGACTACTGATTGAGTTCAAAGCGAAAGCGGGTGTTGAGTGATATAACGAATGCTTGATGGAAAGAGTGAGACTGAGATCAATGAGAATGTTGTGATGAGTGAGAGGGATAACCTTATGATGAATTGCTTCCTCTGGCAGAGCTTAGACGTCTTAAATATCTGAAATACGGCTGATGATACACGTCCCTTGGTTGACGAATCGAGGTGTCGTTTTTGAGTATGATACTCTTATTCCCCGGGATGCAATTAAAGTTAAGATCGAAATAGTGTCGGTTGATTGGAGTTGATTATCGGCTCCAGTATGTACCCACTGTGGTACTAAACATAGGCTTGATGGGCGATCATCTGCCATTATGTTGCATGATTCAGTTCCAGGCTTTCAACGGCGCATGAACCGCAGCTGAATAAATAGACCAGGCCTGCTGCCTTCTCGCGTCGGAATCTCCAGAATGAGAAACTTCTCCTTCTTGGGAAAGCCTATCACTTAGACACTAAACATGAAAGTAAATAGCTCCGCAACACGAGCAAAAGGTATCTATCATAACCCGCATGTGCATCGAATGCTAAATAATTCAAGGCAGTACGAAGTGCAGAGGGGGCTTTCACTTTGTAGGTCGAACACCTGAAACAACATAAGACAAGGTATCTATTCAACAGAGAAAAGACTGAGCTAATTCGAAGCAAAAAGGGGATACATATTCTTGCTTCTGGGACACCCACGAACGCATATCACGAGCAAGCCGAGTGGCATTGTCAACTCCAAATTGTGTACATACTCCATTTTGTGAATCTTCGTTCTAAGAATATATCCTTCATTTCTATGCAGCTTTTAGCCCATCTCGTTCGCCTAGTATTCAACTTTGCTTGGTTTGCCTCTATCGGCCTCCTACCCTTCCTATTTCAGTCTGTCTTACGCTCGCTTACCCCATCCTCTTTTTCATGCGTCTTTTCCTTACTTCCTCCTTCATTTCCTCGATATTCTGTTCCAACTTATTGAGAAGAACATCGATTTTGAAGAATTGGGACTTCTCCACCAGGTAGAGCCACAAGCCATAAAGGCCTGTGTTTACCAGCAGCCAGGTTTCGGTGACTTTGTACGCGGACCAGAAGATAGTCCGGGGGAACCGCCAAAACGCGAAAATTATTGAGATCAGAATGACGCCAGCAGATATCGGGACTGCGAATTGTTGTTAGTTAACAGATAGGGGATTTCAGTGTGCAGAAGCTTCCTTACACATGTAGTTAGCTTGTTCGCGGAAAGACATCTGGTTGTCGCCTATGTTGGAATTGTTCATGCCGAATACGCTAGACATGAAGGATAGTGGGAGCTGAAATATGTGAGCTGTGCATACATGATACCCGCAATGCAGATAATCCTACAAAGATGATTGTGACTATGGTGAAGACCATGATGGATCTACCGTGCTGCAAAGATTCGCCAACTTCTTCGCCTGCCTGCCAGGCTTGAAGAACACTTGCTTGTTGCAGGATAAGAGTGTGTAGCTCGTTGATCTGGATTTAAATTATTGCGATTAGGACTTGGCTTGAGTAAAGACTCCCGATAACACAACTTACAGCTTTGGACGTTTTTTCGGCTCGGTTGAGTAAGCCTAACAACTCCGTGATTCTGTTGTCAACACGGATGAGCAGGTCACCAGCCTGCCTCTGAAACCAAAAAAACTGGTCTATCGCCAGTCTTGTTTCCGTGCTCGACGTTGAGAACTTTCCATTTTCCGACGGGCTAGCAATGGAATCGGCGGTATCGAAGGCTCTTGATTTCTCGTCTTTCAAGAGCCCTTCAGGGTTCAAGATGTTTTCAGCGTGCTGTATAAACTTTCCGATGATATCTCTATGCTGCCTGCTGTTGTTGATCATTATGTTGAGCTCATCGACAATTTTGGTGATGTCGTCCAGGAACAACCCCTCGAAGTTGACTCTGGTGAGCTGCTGTACAATTCGTCTTGCCTTTTGAGGCGTGGACTTGTGCAGAAGTGAAGCCGAGGCAGTCAGCTCTCTCAATCCATCCCGCGATAACTTCTGTCTATGTGCCTGTAAACATTCTTAGTCAATTTATACCCATCTATTAGTTGACGAGTTGCGCAAGTACCAAGTCGCCGATAGACCGCGAGAAAATGTCTATAATTGGTGGCTTTGGATCCTGCAGTGTAATCGTCAGAGATGATCGCCAGGCATACTTGTTCCATTTCAGTGTAAAATACCTGGGCTGCTTCTTGGTTGAATACATCGTTCGCGCATTCGTCGAGAATGACCAGAGCCAAGTCAAAAACAGACCGGATTTGATTGCTTTTTGCTTGTTCCAGTCTTCTTCGTATGGACTTGTGCACCCCAGAGGCGTTCTGCCTATCTTCTCCGTATCTTTGGGGGAAGCTGGTAAGAATGGTGTTCTTGTCAAGAATCCACATCCACAGTTGATCAACCATGATGACCTTGGGCACCTTTCGGATTTCAGTTCTGCAGTGTTCGCATCCTATAGCTTTCGTTCTACTGGAATGATCGTCCCATGCATATTGAAATGGCGAGTATGCAGGTTCCTGGATGTGCTTCTCAGGATCCCCATTGTCAATAGCTTGGCGATCCTGCTTCGTGCGTGGCGTCTTTCGGGTTCGAAGACTATGGATGTTTCTTTTGTCAATCTCAGTCGAACGATAAACAACCTGATCTTTCTCGCGACTCTGATGTGACTGCATAGTCCAATCTGCAGACTGATCGAGCGTACGACGAGGGTGCAAGGGCGGCTCGTGGTGAAGATACCTCTCTAGGATTTGTTTCTCACGATGCATTGACATCGCCTCGTAAAGCCTCGCGGCATCAAGAAGAAACTGGCCTAAAAGGCCTTCTGCCTGAATTCGTCCATGCGTGTCGGATTTCAACTTCTTTAGTGTCCAAGGGCTTTGTTCAAACTCTTCTTCGATGGTTTCCCCAATGCTCACTAGTCCCCCAGCAAGTTCGGTAAAGGTTCGTTTCGGTGTCTTAGTAGGCTGTCTCATCCGTATATACCCAAAACCTGGTGCTTTCCAATACGTTCCGTGTTGTACTGCCCGGTGCGTATCGCTGTCTGTACGGGTGACTAAGTTGAATTCTGGCAGATTTGGTCCATGAGTTGAGGCCACGACTTTGCGTTCGTTGAGTCTCCTTTGTCTAGCTTCGTGTTCGAAATTCTTCTGTTTCTGGCGTTGAATCCTTGATTGATCTTCCATTGCTTTCGAAATTTGAGCACGCTTTCTATCCTCTTCCCAATGAAGAAAGGGCATCTTCAGTTTAGTTAGCTTACACATGAGCATGTAACCATCAAAGTATGGCTCAAGATGGCATCAATAGACCCACGAAAACTACGATATGATTTGGGTTATCTTCTGTGTCCCATATCTCTGATACGTTTCTGGGTTAGACTAGTATTTTTTCAAAGTGAGGCAAGGTGACTTACTTGAAGACGTTCTTTTGCATAGAGGCCGCATTTGTCGAGCATGTGCCAAAGCACGATCACCTCCGTATTGCTGACCCTTCCAATCCTGGTAGCGTAGGACCATTGAGCTTTGTGTCGGGAACGAATACTTCTCGTGAGCATCGCCAGAGCATGTTGTTTCCTCGTCGAAATATCGCGCAATTGCCGCCTAGATAAGTCTTTAGAACCCAAGTAGCAATGCTGACTACACTATTTCTTACCTCAACCCACTATTGAGCATTGTCAGCGAACACAAGATCACTTTGCAGACTCATAGCAACTTACTTCCATGTTGTTGTAAGGGATGTGAATGTATTGCATCATATGTCCTTCCCTCTGTTGCCGAGACAGCACACTGGGAAACGGTCCGGGGCTCAATAGATGGGAAAGTGAAATTGTTTGGTTGGGAAAATGGCCTTTGAGCGCCGGATGAACCCCGTCCACAGGTGACATATACTTCTCAGGGGATGAGCCGTATCTCTCTCGATTCACATCGGCTTTCGGCGGTTCGGGCGCCTTTGTTGAGACGTCATTCGGTGTATCTGAAGCACGATCTTCGTTGCGATCTGCCGATGTACTGATGGGAACGGCAACGTTCTCATTGCTCAGGACTTCCCATTGAATGACATAAGCATTCGTGTTTGCCTCAACATGGTTTGCATCTCTTTCTTCCGATGGATTGACTTCCGTTCCGAACTGAGCGAACCGGTTGATGATTCTTCGAGCAGCCAGATGTCCAGGGTCCACACAAGAGTCCGGGGTCCGTCCCTCTGCAACGTCGGAATCAAACGATTCGCGGCTTACATTCCGACTGCGTATGATTGCGACTCCCCTTCGAAATTCGATTTGCGACATCCAGCGCCGGCGGCTATTGGTAACATATTCGACAGACTTGCATTCCTGAGAACAGCTAGGTCCCAATTCACGTGCCCTTTCTCTCAAATACGGCGAGCAGTCGACCGCTGATAAGACGTTGCGCAGGTTGCTTACCCGTCGGTACCTATTGTCAATTGATGTGGCAAGAGATAGGACGACTTTGTCAAGCTGTTCCTCCAGGTCTTCATCCCAGCTGAGCTGTGTAGACTTCCGCTGTACCAATTTATTTGCCAAGGTGGTGCGTTGGTGGTCCCAGAATTCGCAATTCAATTTCTTGTCAAAGAATTTCGGGCGATCGGAGATTTTGATGCAACTCCAGTAATGTTCCACTGGGTCGTTGATTGTTTCTGGGCCATGAGGTTCCGAAGACGGACAGAGTTGGGGGGTGTCCCAATCCATGTCCACGTCTGTGGGTATGAGGGTTGCCGACGCCGATGACTGTGAGGGAGCATCATACTGTAAACATCCCAGTGAATCGAAGCAGCGACTACTCAGGTACTTATGCAACGCTGCTCTTGTTGGCTCTGAAGCAGGCTCCAAGAGCTACGGCCGGGTTACAATATACCAACCCTTTCCTATTTCAATTCATCAGGCTGCAGATGACTGCAGCTGACACTGTTTCAATCATACAGGCCTCATAGCCAATACTTTCTGCATGTGTCACCACAGCTGTGTCAAGGACGCTGCAAAAGCCTGGCTTACGCGCCTGGAGCATGCTTATCAGGTATCACCGATGATCGAATGCGGACACGGAATAGTCATGGCTAGATGATCAGCGACAAACTATTGGGCAGACATGCACCTTCCGCACCACCTTACAGAGTTCGCAAAAGACAAAATTTGATATATTTGACATTGACGATCTTGATTGGAACTTCTTAACTCAGATTTCTGCATGCTAGCATCTCTAATACAGCACGAAGGCCAGCACGTCTATCGACAGCCCTTAATTAGGCATTTGAGATTAATCAACACCATCCATGACTTTAACTTCTGACCTTTAGCGAACAGCTTGGATTAGCAAATGCATTCTGCTACTGTACTAGAAATTGAATGCAAAGCAATAGCGGCGGCGATCTATGTGTATGGGAGTATCAATCCCATGGTCAAAGTGCAATCAACTGGCCGGTTGGCCCAATGGCAAGGCGTCTGACTACGATTTAATCGTGCAATCAGGAGATTCTGGGTTCAACCCCCAGGCTGGTCAATATTTTGCAATTTTGTTTAGGTATTTTACGCTTGGTGCGATTTTGCTGCGGGTCCGGCCGAAAATCGGGCCTCTAGTGGGTCAGGGCTTAAGGTTCCGGGCCCGGGATTGGCTGTCAATCTCCGTGGTCGGCTCGGCGCGGGGGTGTGGGGTCGTCCTGGAATGCCGGGCTTTCAGGACCGGAAGCTTTTGAGACCCGGGCCGTTGACTTTACTAATCAGTGGCGGCAGAGGATTTGAGGTCCTGTTTAACGCTACTTACTTACTTATCGAGTAGACGCACACCTATGCTCCGTTTCCTTTTACCTAACATGCCATCGGGTAGAGCTATCATCATCTAGCAAGAACCCCTGTCATGCCACCGGCACGTATCTATCGTTGGTAATCATACTTGTACGTGTTGTGGACTTTGTTCTCTGACGTCGAGCTCCGCGACCCTCGGGGACCGAGCTCCCAGCTACCGGGAGCTCTGTCTTCGAAGCTTAACTGATGACGAAGTCTTGGCCTCGGCCTCAATCTGCCTAGCCTCTTTTCCCAGAAGCTGCAACCCCCATGCTTTTCCACGAACTTTAATATATACAATCGTAACAATCGGTAAGCAAACCCGGAATCTGGATAACAAGCTGCTGAAAGCCCAATCAGAGCATTCGGGGGAGATTCTCAGACGACGAGTCATGAAACCGAAACCACGGAACTCTGTTGCGTGCAGGAGCTGCGTCCGATGTCAATGCTCCTTGGAGGGGTATAAGACAGCTCGGCTTCTCAGCCCTCTTCAACCGCCCAGCTTTGGCAAGTTGCATCATAGCTTCAATAACACTCAATAACCAAAGAAACGAACGCCAAAATGCCTCATCGTGTCCTCTTGACCGGCGCAAACGGCTTCATCGCCCAACACATCCTCGCCCAGTTCCTGGAGGCAGGCCACTCCGTCCGCGCCGTCGTCCGATCCCAGTCCTCAGTCGACCAGCTCCGCACCACCTTCGCCTCCTACGTGCCCGCCCAGCTCGACTTCGCCCTCGTCCCCGACATCACGACCGTCGGCGCTTTCGACAGCGTCCTCGTGTCCGACCCGCCCTTTGACGTCGTCCTGCACACGGCCTCGCCCTTCAACTTCCGCGCCGGGAAGTCGAACCGCGACTTCATCGACCCCGCCGTCAAGGGCACCACCGAGATCCTCAACGGCATCGTGCGCAAGGGCAAGGGTGTGAAAAGGGTGGTCATCACGAGCTCCACGGCCGCCGTCGTCGACGTCGCCGCGCCGCCCGTCACGGACCCGCCCAAGATCTACACCGAGAAGGACTGGTTCAAGGTCTCGCGGCACGAGGCCGAGACGACGGAGAACCCGGTCATCCCGTACGTCGCCAGCAAGATGTTCGCGGAGAAGGCGGCGTGGGAGTTCCTGGTCGAGAAGCAGCCGCCGTTCGACATCGTCACGATAAACCCGCCCATGGTCTACGGCCCCGTCTACGACGCCTCGTACCTGAAGTCGCCGCAGGAGCTCGGGCAGAGTAACTTCATGCTGTATTACGGCTTCCTCAACCCCGAGCTGACCTCCGAGTCGCCTGTCCCGCCTGATAGTCTCCACTTGTACATCGACGTGAGGGACGCTGCGCGCGCGCATTTGCTGGCGGCGACGAAGCCGGCTGCTGGAGGTAATCGGTTCATTGTCAGCCCTGGCGGGATTACGAATCAGCGGATCGCGAACCTCTTCAGAGAGGCGTTGCCCCAGCTGCAGGGCAGGATACCCAAGGGAGATCCGGAGAAGGTCGCGCTCCCGGAGGGTACTTTCGGGTTGGACTCGGGGCTGGCGAAGAGGATTCTGGGGTTGGAGTACAGGAAGGACGAGGATACGTTCAAGGACGCCGCGAAGCAGTTTATTGAGATTGAGGAGAGGGGTAAGGCTGCCTAGGAAGGCGTATGAAACTTTCGCTTGAGCCGATTTCGACGGGACTAATAGCGTGACGCTTTCGAATCTAAATAGCCTACAGCTTGCTACCCCCTGCCTTTGAGAATTGTAGGCTTTGTGTGTAACAGTACGACAGTAGACCCTGTTTACCCATCTCACCGCCGTGACCGCTATGCTTCTGCCCCGAGAAGAAACCGCCTGGGTGTGGTTGCTCAGGCATGTTGATCCAAACAGTGCCGGCTTCCAAAGTTCTCGCAATCTTCTCAGCTCGGGTGACATCCCTGCAATAGACTGAAGCACCTAGTCCGGCATTGCTGAGGTTGGCCCTTCGTACCACGTCGTCCTCGTCTGACCAAGAGAGGATCGGAATAATCGGGCCTGGGTGGGACCTTGTTAGCCACTGCAAGGGCGTAAAGGGGGTTTGTGCTCACCGAATTGTTCTTCTCTGACGAGCATCGAATCCTCGGGAGGCTTCGAGACGATGGTCGGCGGAACCCAGAAACCCTTCGAACCAACCGGCCTGTCTACGGCGACGACGTTGTATCCGTTCTTCTTACAGTCTTCCACGATCTCCCTGACGATATCGTACTGCATCTTATTCGAAACGGGTCCGAATAAGCTGGGCGCCGCCGCATTCTCGTTGACAGTGAAAGCTTTCTGCGCTTCAGCCGTAAAAGCCTTGAGGAACTGGTCATATATCGAATCGTGGACATACACCCGCTTCGTAGCGACGCACATCTGACCAGCGTTGAAGAAGCTACCGGTTGCCACAAGGCCTGCCACGTTCCTAATATCCACGTCTTCGGTGACTATGGCAGCGTCGTTACCCGCCAGCTCGAGGGTCAGCCTCTTGAGCGTCTTGGCGCAGTTGGTCATCACGCTCTTCCCCGTGGCGATAGTGCCCGTAAAGCTGATCTTGGCTATGTCCGGGTGCAGCGTCATGGCGACGCCAAGGTCGACGCCGCCGTTGAGGACTTGGATGACGCCGGGAGGGAAGACTTCGATACAGAGCTCGATGGACTTGAGGACGGAGTAAGGAGTGAAGGGCGAGGGCTTGACGATGACGCAGTTGCCGGTGATGAGGGAGGAGACGACTTTGATGTTGCTGAGGATCAGGGGGAAGTTCCAGGGGCAGATGGCGCCCACGATGCCTAGCGGGGCGTGTGTTGCCACGATCTTGAGTTTGTCGTCTTCGAAAGTGACTTCGTCTTCTAGGTTATTCTTCGCTTGGAGGTGTTAGAGCACTGGACACTGTATGACATAGATCACATACCGTAGTATAAGGTCTGTTCGCAGGTATTGCCGATTTCTATCTCTGCCATCAAGCTCTTGAAGACGGTTAGCTGGGCAAGACGGCGTTGAGAAAAGTGATGGAGAGCATCTCACCGATTTACCGGTCTCTTTCATCACAATCTCCATAAGCTCTTGTTTGTGAGCCGTGTATATCTCAACAATCTTGCGCAGACATTCGGAGCGCTGCGCGTTCGACGTCTGGGACCATGTCTTGAGAACCCTCTTAGCTGCGGCCACGGCCTCATCGAGGTCCTTAGTCGTGGCGATCGGGGCATTCCACAGCGGCTCTTCCGTGCGTGGATCGGTACATTGATGGTGTCTTTCGCTGCTTCGGCGCTTGCCGTCTATGATGTTGAAGAACTGCATCCTGAATCTCGGTATATGTCACAAATTTCTACGATATCGCAAGAAAGACAGGCGTGCCATACCACCGGGGGAATCCTGTTATATCATCCTCTTTCCAGAGCTTCCGTTGTCGGATTTATGATTAGTCTCGACGGCATTGCCCCAAGACGCAAACGAACCCCACGTTGCTGCCACGCTCTTGCGGAGAATGAGGGGTTCTGCCCAGTCGGCGTCGTCAATCGGCCTGTGACGTTCCGGAAGTGCCATCGGCAAGATGAAGCTATGTATTAGACGGCTACATAAGGTTTGGCGGCAGTTGAAATGGGACAAAGAATGGGCGGCGCGGAGCTGCTTCGGGCAAGTTTGGCTTTATTGTTGGTGGGGCCAGTCCAGATGATGGAGGGCAGCTGTCACAGCTGTTGAAGCTGATGTTGTTAGCCGATATATGCATGGCACTTGGTTTCCCGTAATTCTCAGTCAAGATGACCGCTGAGTTCTGACCGAGGTCTAGTCTCGGTGAAGCATTCCTCACCTGTCGCGAATCCGGGGGATCCGCAGATGGAGATGACCAGCCAAAGGACCAGGAGGACGGGGCCTAATTAGGTTAGGTCCATGGGCATTCAGCCCGGATCGGAAGATCATACTGCCTGCTCATCACCTCAGGCTCCGTCAGCCAGGGCACTCTCTACTGCTGTGATAGGTAGGTCCATCGAGTGGAAGATTCCGACGATCGAAAACGGAGCCGGCCGACAGAGGGGCCGCTGCGAGCCGGCGCATGGCGCTGCAGGGGAGGCACAGGCCGCCGGATGCACCTGCCTTTTGACCCATCAGCGGGCGGCTCTCCACGAAATCCGACGGTGGAGACTGGATAGAGCCGCCATTGGAAGAAAAAGAGGAACTGACCGAGGGGGAGGGGCCGATAAGGAAGCCCGATAATGCACCCCACCAAAAACGGACCTCTGATAAGCCTAAACATGGCCATTTTGATTCGCAGCGCTTCACAGGCACCATATTTGTTTTGTTCCTTGTCTTACGGAATGACGCTCATTGTAGGAACATGCAAACATTGCTGCGACAAATGGGAATTCCTGGAATGTAGTGTGTTGATGGGGCCGTCCACATGACAGGTAACATACGGCAACACACAGACGGGGTCCAGGGGGGAGCTACCCCTACTTCACGTCCCCTAACCGCTGAGTTCACAGCGGTACCTTACCGTAACTGGTCTCGTCTCGCCTTCGCCGCTTCGCCTTAAAGCTGCGGGGTCCCAGTCTCGACCGCGATCTGGGCACACGACCTCGCCCCTTCCGCTCTTCTCTCTTTCGCTCAAATCTCCAGGTGAAAGACGGAAGCATCGTCGCGGCTTGTGTCTTGTTCCTATCACCACTGCTGTTCACGCGAGGCCGCAGATTATGGCGCCAATCGCCATCTCTCCCGAGCGGAATGCCGGGCCGTTGAACACATTGACCACCGACTTCGACGATACAATTCGCTTCTTCCTGAACGGCACACGAGTCGTCCTCGACGAGATCGATCCCGAAGTTACCTTGCTGGAGTACTTGCGAGGCATTGGCCTCACCGGAACCAAGCTGTAAGCCTCCCATTCTCTCTTCCGCCGCCGATCACATGCTGACATCGCCCAGGGGATGTGGCGAAGGCGGTTGCGGTGCCTGTACAGTCGTCATCTCCCAGTTCAACCCGACAACGAAACAAATCTACCACGCGAGCGTCAATGCCTGCTTGGCTCCCCTCGCCAGCGTCGACGGCAAGCATGTCATCACCATCGAGGGCATCGGAAACACAAAGGCCCCTCACCCCGCCCAGGAGCGAGTGGCCAAGTCCAACGGAAGCCAGTGCGGTTTCTGCACGCCCGGCATCGTCATGAGCTTGTACGCCCTGCTGCGCAACAACCAGGCGCCGTCAGAAGAGGATATCGAGGAAGCATTCGACGGAAACCTGTGCAGGTGTACCGGATATAAGCCCATTCTCGAGGCCGCCCAGACGTTCAGCGTTGAGAGGGGATGTGGAAAAGCGAGGACGAATGGCGGCTCGGGCTGTTGCATGGAGAACGGCAATGGCGAGAAGAAAGCCGGCGGCTGCTGCATGGACAAGAAGGCACTGGATGATCAACCTATCAAGAGGTTTACGCCACCCGGTTTCATCGAGTACAACCCCGACACCGAGCTCATCTTTCCACCGATGCTCAAGAAGCACGAACTCAGACCGCTTGCGTTTGGAAACAAGCGCAAGAGGTGGTTCAGACCCGTCACTCTCGAGCAGCTACTTGACATCAAGAGTGTATATCCCTCGGCCAAGATCATTGGAGGCAGCACCGAGACTCAGATTGAAATCAAGTTCAAGGCCCAGCAATACCCAGTTTCTGTTTTCGTTGGCGATATCGCGGAACTGCGACAGTACGAGTTCAAGGACGACCACTTGGAAATCGGAGGAAATGTGATTCTCACTGACCTCGAACACATCAGCCAGGAGGCCACGCGGCACTACGGCGATGCCCGCGGTCAAGTCTTCGAGGCTATCTACAAACAGTTGAAATACTTTGCTGGAAGGCAGATCCGAAACGTCGGTACACCAGCTGGCAACCTGGTAACGGCGTCACCAATCTCCGATTTGAATCCTGTTCTATGGGCAGCCAATGCCGTTTTGGTGGCAAAGTCCCAGAGCAAGGAGACAGAAATACCCATGTCACAGTTCTTCACGGGCTACCGTCGCACAGCGCTTTCTCAGGATGCCATCATTGCCTCCATCAGGATACCGGTGACGGCCCCTAAGGGCGAATTCTTCAGAGCCTACAAGCAGGCCAAGAGGAAAGATGACGATATCGCGATTGTCACCGGAGCTTTGAGAATTAAAGTGGATGACGACGGCATCGTGTCTGAAAGCAATCTCATCTACGGCGGTATGGCTGCTATGACAGTGGCTGCGAAGAAGACCATGGAGTACCTGGTTGGAAAGCCCATTGCTGAGCTGGAGACTCTTGAGGGAGCGATGAACGCCCTCGGTACCGACTTCGATCTGCAATTCAGCGTTCCTGGAGGCATGGCATCATACAGAAAGGCTCTAGCGCTCAGCTTCTTCTACCGTTTTTACCACGACATTATTGGCACGATGAATGGCGAAACACAGCATGTCGACAAGGAGGCTGTCGAAGAAATCGAGCGAGGCATCTCCGGCGGCCAGGAAGACATGGATGCAGCCGTTGCTTACGAGCAGGAGACAGTCGGCAAATCCAAGAGCCACGTTGCGGCATTGAAGCAGGTCACCGGCGAGGCGCAGTACATCGACGATATACCCGCACTGAAGAACGAGTTGCACGGATGTTTCGTTCTTTCCAGCAAGGCACATGCGAAAATCAAGTCGATTGACTACTCGCCTGCTCTCGACATGCCGGGGGTAGTGGATTACGTTGACGTCAACGATGTTGACAGCCCTGAGCAGAACCGCTGGGGTGCACCGCACTTTGACGAAGCCTTCTTCGCCGAGGGCGAGGTTTTTACTGCCGGTCAGCCCATTGCTATGATCCTGGCCACTTCAGCAACGAGGGCCGCCGAGGCTGCACGAGCTGTAAAGGTCGAATACGAGGAGCTGCCTTCCATTCTGTCAATCGAGGACGCTATCGAGAAGGACAGTTTCCACAACTACTACCGCGAGATCAAGAACGGCGACGTCGAGGAGGGTTTCAAGAATTGCGATCACATCTTCACCGGCACAGCTCGGATGGGCGGTCAAGAGCACTTTTACCTCGAGACCCAGGCGTCATTAGTTGTCCCCAAGCCTGAGGATGGAGAGATGGAGGTGTTCGCCAGTACACAAAACGCCAACGAGACGTAGGTTTCATTCAATTGGCCGTATTGACATGTTTGCTAACTCCTTCTAGACAAGTATTTGTAGCTCGCATGACTGGAGTGAAAGCAAACAAGATTGTCGTGCGCGTCAAGCGGTTAGGCGGCGGTTTTGGCGGCAAAGAAACAAGATCGATCCAGCTCAGTGCCCCATTGGCGCTCGCGGCGAAGAAGACCAAACGCCCGTGTCGATACATGCTGACCCGAGAGGAAGACATGGTCACTTCTGGCCAGCGTCATCCGTTCCTGGGTCGGTGGAAGGTGGGCGTCAACAAGGACGGCAAGATCCAAGCCCTCGAGCTCGACGTCTTCAACAACGCAGGCTGGACGTTCGACCTGAGTGCGGCTGTCTGCGAGCGTGCCATGTCACACTCAGACGGATGCTACAAGATTCCCAATGTATTCATCCGCGGGCGGCTGTGCAAGACCAACACTATGTCGAACACCGCCTTCAGAGGCTTCGGAGGCCCCCAGGGCATGTTCATCGCAGAGACGTACATGGAGGAAGTTGCGGATCGCCTCGGCATCCCAGTTGAGAGATTCCGCGAGATCAACTTCTACAAGCCACTGGAGCCGACGCACTTCAACCAACCGTTGACAGATTGGCATGTGCCGTTGATGTATGAGCAGGTGCAAAAGGAGGCCAAGTATGAGGAGCGAAGAAACCTGATCCAAAAGTTCAACGACGACAACAAGTGGCGCAAGCGAGGGCTGGCAATCATCCCGACGAAGTTCGGTATTTCGTTTACAGCCCTATTCCTGAACCAAGCCGGTGCTCTTGTTCACATCTATCACGACGGTTCGGTTTTGGTGGCTCACGGTGGCACTGAAATGGGCCAGGGCTTGCACACCAAGATGACGCAGATTGCGGCACAAGCTCTTCAGGTCCCATTGGACAACGTCTTCATCTCGGAGACAGCCACCAATACAGTGGCGAACGCGTCCTCGACGGCAGCATCTGCATCGTCAGATCTCAATGGGTACGCCATCTACAACGCATGTGCGCAGCTCAACGAGCGGCTGGCGCCGTACCGCGAGAAGCTCGGCCCTGAGGCGACGATGAAGGACTTGGCACATGCAGCCTACTTTGACAGAGTAAACCTCTCGGCGCAAGGGTTTTACAAGACTCCCGAGATCGGGTACACCTGGGGCGAGAACCGCGGCAAGATGTTCTTCTACTTCACGCAGGGTGTGACGGCGGCCGAGGTCGAGATCGACACCCTCACCGGCACATGGACGTGCATCCGAGCAGACATCAAGATGGACGTGGGCCAATCGATCAACCCCGCCATCGACTACGGGCAGATCCAGGGCGCGTTCGTACAAGGTCTCGGACTGTTCACGATGGAGGAGTCTCTGTGGTTGCGTAACGGGCCGATGGCGGGTAACCTGTTCACGCGCGGGCCGGGAGCGTACAAGATCCCCGGGTTCCGCGACATACCGCAGGAGTTCAACGTGTCGCTGCTCAAGGACGTGGAGTGGAAGGACCTGCGGACGATCCAGCGGTCCAGGGGTGTGGGGGAGCCGCCGCTGTTCATGGGCAGCGCCGTCTTCTTTGCGATCCGCGACGCGCTCAAGTCGGCGAGGAGGCAGTACGGGGTCGAGGCGACTGTCGGGGAGGACCGGGTGGGCGACGGCTTACTCAGGCTCGAGAGCCCGGCGACACCCGAGAGGATTCGGCTAAGCTGCGAGGACCCGATCATGAGAAGGGCGAGGGTGCTGCCGAAGGAGGGGGAGAAGAGCTTTTTTGTGGCCATTTAGAGGCGGCGCCAAGGGCATGGATTTCTTGGGGGAGGGGTAATGGAGTCTTTGGTGAATTTTGAGAGACGGAAAACGCTGCTTTTTTACTAGTTATTACGATACACAGACGGCGAAATCAATAGGCATTAGCGCCTGCGACAGGTTCATTTCACTATGAACCTTCATGAGATTCCTTAGCAATTAAACACTACACGACACAATGTACTCAATTGCTAAGGAACCTTTCAAGGGTTTACAATGTGGGCAATGGACCTGACGCGAGCGCTGATGCTTGTTCATTCATGTCCCGCTTACAGAGCTACACTTGAAACGGAAGTGCATCACACGATCCAGTTCTCTATGGTGTCCCCAAATCGCCAAGTCTGGCTCGTGGTCCGTGAATTGAGGTTAAAAGATGGGATGATGAGGGGTGTGTCGGGGAGACGGAAGTTGGGGAAGCGCCGTAAGGTAGTTAGTTACACATAGCAATTGACCTCATTGTCTTTGCCGAGGAATCTGCTGAAGACTGTCGAACAATGTTCGATAACTGAGAAGAAAGCGTTGCGATTGCCTGGGGCCGAATGGCGGGCTGCGGTTTCATGCTGACATTACATTGCATGCTGCGAGGGGGCCCATCTCCTGCAAGTTGTTGGATTTGGCAATTGGCCCAAAGGTACTCGGACTTTCGGACGAGGTGGTGCTGTCAGTGGGAAGTGGGAAAAGCCAAGAGTTCAGTCTCTGGTGGTTGAATGAATAAACCCTTGCCGGGCTCCTCTGTCGGTGCGCATCTACGGTGGTATGGCGAGTCCCAAGTTTAGAAGCTGGAGCTGGTGACGGACTGCTGGGAGCGTAGGGCAGAAGAGGATCGAGGTAAGGTAAGGTAGGTAGGGGAAGCTGCATCGTCTGTGCTGGTTTGGTGGATTGTGATATCATCCGTGACGAGTTCGGTGATGGTGAGAGAGAACGAACGGCTTCACCGAGAAATGATGATGGATGTAATAATTAGCTGAATATTACTGGATTTAATCCACCTCGCCCGGTTACAGCTCACGCCCAGCTCGCTGAGCCAGCGGGCAGGTTCCGTGCCTCTCAGCTGCGAGCCTGGAAAATGCCCCTCGGCTTCCACCTCCATCAGCCAGCTGCCTGCCCGGAATGGTGGCGGGATCCCCGCACCGACTACCTACCTTACCTGGTTGGTACCTTAGACGTAGAAGTAGCCTTGGAAGCTACCTGGCCCTGGGAGGTACCTTGCCCGCCAGCGTAGCAATGAACACCCGCCTGGAAAAAGCGGCCTCTTTTTCTGCGCTGCTGACCGGCTTTGACCTTTGGACTGATGAGGTGACCTCTCTTCTCTCTCTTGACGGAATAGCCGTGGTTGTAGTTGTGCTTGGTGCTTGTGGTTCTCGTAGCCCACTTTCCTTTGCAAGTCACCATTCCCGTTTTTTACTTTTTCTTTTTTTCTTGTTTTCTCAGACTTCCCCAGCTTACTGGGAATTGATCAAACAATTCAAACCGTCGACAACGCAAATCTCTGCGAGCCCAGCGCGTCAAACAACACCCACCACCGGAAAAAGAAGAAACCGCCACACCCTGTCGGCTGTCCGACCCGGTCCACGAGCTCGCGAATTTCTTCCACCGAGCGAATTGTCTCTCCCCGAACGGACCAACCGAACCTGTGCCTACCCGCGCTCCTCTCGCCGCCACCCTTGCGAATCAACAACTCGATCACGAGAAACGACCTCGCAACGAGCAAGCGCAGCCGAACCGAAACCCAGGCCCGCCTCCCGGCTGCCCGCACTCGAACGCGCCGAGACGAACGCCATTCTCCGCCTCGCCCTCGCCCTCCGTCTGCAAATATCCGCACCTCCAAGCCTCCCCAGAGTCGCAACGAGACGCACGCGCAAGGACATAACGAGCCCCCTCGTCAAATGATCTGCGAACCATCACCTCTTGCGTAACCTCAAAGGTCCAATGGGAGCGGGAGAGGCCCCATTGATCTGATTTCCCCCGAACGAGCGCCCACCATGGACAAGAACGGCACCAAGGACGTAAAGCCCGAGGCGGCGCAAGATGACCACAAGGAGAAGCGCGAGAAGCCTGAGAACGGCGCTCACGCTCAGCCTTCCAAGAGCCCCAAGAAGCGCCGTAAAGTGAACCATGGTACGTCGAATTCGCGCCGTACACTCTCGTAGCTCTGTCCATCTACAACTTCTCTCTCTCCCGCTCGCGTGACTGCACCGGCTAACCTGTCGCTTCTCTCCCAGCTTGCGTATACTGCCGGCGATCCGTAAGTTAGATGGCCCTTCACCCGACAATTACGATCGCCATTTGGTTTTCCTGTCTTTTGCGCATGGCGCTGAGACTATTGCCTGCCTGCGATGCTGTTGTGCGATGCTCCGCCAGCCGGCGGACCCTTGCCCTGCAGGCCTACGCCGTGCCCCGGCGCGAACAATGAACAAGACAATGCGAAAAGAGAAAAGATGGCTGACGGATAGTGTCTTGCCTGCTACATTAGCATATGACATGCGATCTCGTATGTAAGATCTCTTTCATTCCGCCTCGCGCGTGGCCGGCCCCTCTTGGCCTGCCTCTCCTCCGCCCCGGACCAGCCTGTTGTAAGCTTCGCAACCCCGCTGACCATGTCGTGCTCCAGGAACGGCCGTGTACGAGATGCATCAAGCGCAATATTGGCCACCTCTGCCACGACGAGCCTCGCGACCCCGACTCCAAGAAGGCCAAGAGCACCCACGGCACCTCCGTCGTCGACGATTCCGAGACGACTCAATCCGAGCTCGCCGCCCGGGGCTCCATCGACCAATCCGCTGCCGGGTCCATGGGCCCTCCGCCTCCTTTCGACAGGAAGTCGTCCGGCTTTGGCCCTGCCGTCCTGGGCCAGGGAAACCCGCTGCACCTTGTGTCACCGGGCGCGGTGTCTGGCATGCCGGGAAACGGCAGCAACATGAATCAATGTAGGTCGCTCTCCAGGCTACCCCTCCTTCGGGTTGGCTCACGCTTGGCGGCGCCTGTCTCTGAACGCGCGATCGTAGCAGGAGTAAACAAAACCGTGCAAAGAGCAAAGTGAAGCTGACACTCACCGTGATAGTCGCTGGATTCTCCGACGCTTGGTTGACGGCCCAGAACCACTACCACGACATGCAAAACTACCCTCCCAACTACATGATCGCCCCTGAAGTCACCCACGAGTTCAACCTGCTCAACGATTTCCTGCAAACGAGCCTGCTCGATGACGGCGGAATCCTCTCCGACGAGTCCCAGAACAGCCCTGCCTTCAGTAGGTCAGCGGGCGCGAACGACATGCTGCCCACGTTCGGCAACAACGGCAACGGCGCCAATAACAGGGCCACGGCCGCCAACGCCCTCCAGCAGATGCTGCCCCCGCCGAACCTCGAGCAGGGCAAGTCAATATCTCGCCCCGGGAGCGTCGTCCAGGGCGACAAGGACAAGGCGCGCGAGTACTATCTCCAGGCGGCGGATCCCTCAGGCAACGACACCCCCGAAGAGCGCATGGATCGTGTGCTGAAGGCCAAGTACGAGGCTGGTCTGCTCAAGCCCTTCAACTACGTCAAGGGCTACGCGCGCCTGGGCACGTATCTGGACGGCCACATCGCGCCGTCGTCGAAGCAGAAGATCTTGCGGACGATCGACCGCTTCCGCCCCAAGTTCCGCGAGAAGGCGCAAGCCCTGACGGATATGGAGCTGCTGTACGTTGAGATGTGGTTCGAGAAGCAGCTCATGGAGTACGACCGCGTGTTCGCGAGTATGGCGGTCCCCGCGTGCTGTTGGAGGAGAACCGGCGAGATTTTCAGGGGCAACAACGAGATGGCGGAGTTGCTGCATGTCCCCGTCGAGAAACTGCGAGATGTACGTGTCCCGGATCGCTCCAAGCTGGTGATGATTGCTGACATGCCGCCAGGGCAAGGTTTCTCTCCACGAGATCCTCACAGAAGAGTCGCTCGTGCGATATTGGGAAGAGTTCGGAACGATTGCGTTCGATCCTTCTCACGATACGTTGCTCACGGCGTGTACGCTGAAGAACCCCGACGACAAGGCGACAGATCCGGTCGTCAACTGCTGCTTTTCATTCATGATTCAACGAGATAACCACAAGATGTGAGTGCTTTCTGACTAGTGATACCTGACCTGGCTGACTAACACGTCCGACAGCCCTACACTCATCATCGGCAATTTCTTGCCCAACGATGTCCCATCCCGTCCGTAATTGATTGCATCCCGGGGTGGAGATTGGATATGGAGATACAAAAATGGGTTGGCGTCAGGATACCAGGGCATTATTTTGGTTGCGTTCTTATCAAGGGGAGGTGGAATTCTTCATTCGGCCTCTGCGTCTAGGCGTGTGAGGCCAGTATATATACATCTTGCCGTTCTGAGGAGGAAGCACCGGACGTGGTGGGTCTTGCCGGTCGGGTGGGTCCAGTCCCGGATGGTGTGTTTGAGGAAGGTGCATTTGTTCGCGCCTTCCTGAGATGAGAACGGTTGGCAATTGCCAGTTCAAATTTTGACTTCTCTCTTTCCACGACTTTTCCATTGTTTGCCGAATCTTGTGATCTTTACGGTTAACCTCAGCTGATGACCCTCGTCGACGGGTGCAGATAGAGTATCAGGCTCATTTGCCGCTGTCTCCTCGTCCAACATATTGCATTCACCGGCCTGGTATATCGCAGTAACTCCAATCGAAGCTTCGTCCGCCGGGTGTGATCTCCTTTCCGCCTATGATCCCTGGCCCAAAATAGACCGGCGACTCGACGATGCCTCACCCTAGAGACTCGCCTAGGCCTGGCTTTTCGCCTAGACCAGGACTCCAAGGCCAGTCCGAAGCTGCCAGGAAGACTGCACAGTTCACCAGTGAGTCCATATTCGATACAGCGTGATGCATTGCTGACACCCACAGCCTTTGCCGAGTACGCGATCAAGCACTTGCCAACGGCCATCGACCCTCCCGCGATCGAAACACTCCTAGCCGACGTCACGAAGAACTTGCAAGCCATCATCAGCTGCGAAAGGCTTAGGAGAGGAAAGTCGAAGAAAGAGAGGGACGGGCTCGATCGGAAGGGGACAGAGTTGTGGAACATGTGCACAAGATTCCGACGTGACGAGATATCCGAGGATCAAAGCAAGCGAAGGAAGCTTCTTCTTCGTACTCGGACCTTTGCCTTCTTCATGATAGACGTCGCGAGGTTCTGGAAAGTTTCGAACGACGCGGAGCAGGAACATTGGGTGCTGTTGGCCGACGTATTGCACTTGATGAGGCTGGCCCTCAAGGCTGGGAAAGTGTCACTCGGTAAGTCGATTCGCGGCGGTCCTTTTGGAATATGGTATGCTGATCACGGCGCAGATGACAGCACGACCAAGTTCGCCAGCAACATCTTCCTCAAGGCTGCAGACTACAGCGTGCTCTTGGGGAAGTGGATGACGACTATGCTGGGCCCGGATGATGTGGCCGAGTGCAAGCGGTTGGACTGCGAGTATTACATCCTTCGAACAGCCATGGTGAGTCGACCGTCATCAGCTACATGTTTCTTTCTGACTTTAAATGCAGTGTTGGAAGGAAGGCAATCTCAACGTCGCGGAATTCATGTTCGACAAAGGCCAACCCACGATCCAATGTCTCGACCCCACCTCGGCCGAGAAGATGGCGGAGGTCCTACTCGAGATCGGCAAAGACTTTTCGAAGAAGAAAGATTTTGCCCTTGCTGCCAGGTGGCTTGAGCGGGCGGACGACATCATCAACAGCCAGGACATCGACCACCTCCCAAGGGACGCGATTCAACTGCGGCTTGCCGTGGGTCAGGCGCACGTCCACGCGCTGCTCGGGATGCAGACGGTGGAGGCTGCGAAGAAGGCTTGCGACTTGGTCAGTTTCATCAGGAACGACTTGGGCAACGTGCCTGTCGTGCTGCTTCTTCGCTTGGAGCTTCTCGAAAACGGGCCGGCCGAGATGTTTGATGTCGAGGAGTACGCCGGTATATTGCGGCAGATGGTTGAGATCTTCAACTTTTCTGAATCGCACTTCAAGTTGTTGATCTACCACGCCCGCCAGCTGCATGGAAAGTTTCCTTCAAAGGCTTCTCAGATGGTCAACGGGATGATCAACAGCTCAATTGTGTCGAAGGGGAAAGAAGAGTGGGCCGAGAGACTTGTTCTTTTGAGGATATGGATGGAGCAGAGTCAGAATGACAACGCGGCGGCCATTGAAGAGTTGAACGGCGTAATTCAAGGCCTCCAACAGAATTTGACGAAACCATTTGGATCGTCAGCTGCGGTCGGGGCTTTGACGGTGAGTCGGCTGGTTTCCTGGCCTGGAATTCACTGACATCTCGCAGATTGTCTGGCAGAAGATCGAGACCAACTACCAACAAGGTCGATTCGATCTCGCGGCATCATGGTGTCTAATAGGCCTGCAGCGGATATTCGAAAATGGCGGGCCGGCGAATATAGCAAGGCTTTGCAGGAAACTCATTCTTTGCGCTATACACACGAACGATACCGACGGGGCTCGCCAGATATTCCACGAGATGCCCAAACCCGCTCAAGATGAAACGATGACAAGATACCTCATGTACAAGGTAGCCCTTAAATCAAAAGACCGCAATCTTGCGACGGAATGCCTCGAGCATGTCGGCATGACGGCAGCTCAAGACCCAAACTTTCTCTACGCTTGTGTCATCGAGGCGCAAAAGACGGATGACAAGGTTTGTGCCTCGCAAGCTATGAAGCAATTGATACACAAACACGAGTTCAACGAAAATACGCCTGTTCATCTACCTGCCCTCCTTCGGTCGAACATCCGAGTTGTCATCATGGTCATGCAGGAGGAGAAGGGGCCCACTGCGAAGGCTGCCGTGGACGAGCTTGTTGACTTGTTTGAAAGAGGTGAGAGGCCTTCTTCATCGACACTTGGACTCGCTGACAGCGGTATCTAGTTTTCAAAGCAGCCCAACGGGACCCAAAGGATAAGGACGGGCATCGACTATTCACTGTGAAGGAGCTCGACTGGTTCTGCCAGAATTCGTACAACCTCGGTCTCAAGAATTCGGAAATCTGGAACATGGATCAGCTCACACGGCTATTCGGATGCTGTCTCAATATCATGAATTTATATCCACCGGACATTTCTTCAGACACCGCAGTCGACTTACGGTTCCGTAAAATGTTCTGCCACTTCCTGGTGGCCGTTGCGTTGATGTCGCTTGCTCGGACGGAAGACAACAGAGAGACTCAACTGCAGCACTACCTGAATGTGAGGAAGCACGTTGCAACGTACGACAATTTGATGCAGGAGCAGCTCCAAACGGCGGATCCTCTGATGAGAAAGGACTTGACGGCCAAGTTGGCGACGCTGCTCGTATTTGACTACGAAGCGGCGGTGACGCTGAAGGACTATGGTGCGTTAGGCCACATTCTCCGACTTGCGAACGAGTGCAAGGATGTGAGCACTTTCAAAGCGATGGGAGATATCGCTCTCAGAGGGCAACTACCCGGACACAGTGAGTAGTCCAAGCTGTCTTTGTAGACGTCTGGCGGACCCTGCTAACGACCTCATAGATCTATATGCGCAACTTGGAATCATCATCAACGAAATATGGGAGCTCGAAAGCATGAAGTGCGACAAACTGGCCAAGTACACCCGCTGCATGTTTCAAGCCGTCCGGCTGTCCGATCCTGAGTGTGGCCAGAAGGTCATACAGCAGGCCATCGAAGTGGCGAAGGGAGCCAAGGAGGTGAGTTTAGAATCATGGACGCCTGAAGGAACACCTGGTGCAGTTTTCGGAAAGACTGACATGTGCGTTCCTCAGACGAACCATCCGTACCCGCGGGAGGAGCTGGAGTGGCTGGTCACCACGTCGTTCAACCAGGCCGTGGACGCCTTTGGCGCCAAACGCGACGCAGAGTGCCAATCTTGGGCTCATCTGGCGATGAGCCTGGCTCATTACGCTAACGATGGCGGGTTTCTGGAGAGGGTGTGCCAGGAAAAGATGGCGACACTGAATTTTGATTTGGAGTGAATAGGCAGAAACATCTCACGGCGCGTATCGACAGGATGAAGCGTGGTGTTTCTTTGGACGGGAAGTCAATTAACTACATCATTCATTCATAGACTACTCATGTAATGCAACAAGAGAGGGGATATCCAACACTTTAATCCAATCATCAGTCATAATATCATATCACATCACTCTACTGCGTCGCCCCAGCCGGCTCGCCCTCGACAGTCAAGGCCGAAGCCTCCTCGGCGTCGCTGGGCTTGACGAGCTCGATCGACACGTCAGAGTCCTGGGCGTACACGCGCAGACCGAGCACGCAGACGGCGTTCCAGGCCGGGCCCGGCAGCTCGTCGCCGGCTTCGGAGACGACGGACTCGGCGTCCGAGTCGGAATCCTCGTCCGCCTCTTCCTCTTCTTCGTCGGCGGCGGCCGGCTCCTCGGCTGGCGCTGCGTCCTCTGTCTGGACTTCGGCGTCTTCGACCTTGGTCTCCTCAGCGGGGGCGTCGTCCTTTTTGTCTTCCTCTTTCTTCTCCTCCTTCTTCTCTTCTTTCTTTTCGTCTTTCTTCTCTTCCTTCTTCTCCTCATCCTTCTTGGGCTCAGGGGCAGGAGCATCGCCGGGCTTGGCACCGGTAGATGCCCCGGCAGGCTTGCCCTCAGGAGGCGGCGACTTCAACCCGGTGCTGCTGGTGGACTCCTTGTCAGAGTCCTTGACCTCAGTCCAGTCGCCATCCTTCTCCTTCTCCTTCTCCTTCTCCTTAGCTTCCTCCTTCTTCTCACCCTTGCTCGTCTCCTTCTTCTCACCCTTCTTGTCACCCCCGCCCGCAGCCTCGGAGATCACCTTAGCAGTCTCTTCGAGCGTCTTGGCCACGACCGCCAGCGCCTTCTTCTGCTTCCTCTTCTTCTTGTCCTTCTTGGCCTGCTTCTTCTTCTTGGCGTCCGCCTTCTTCTTCTCGAGGATCTCGTCCTCGTCGGGCACCCCGCCCTTGGCGTGCGCGATGTCGTACTGGAGTCCCACCTGCCGCAGCTTCTGCGGGTTGCGCTCCGCGTACTCCCGCACCACGTCCTCGACGGGCTTGGCCGCGTCCCCGGCGTAGTGCCGCGTGGCGGTGACCTTGGGAAGCACCTCGTACGTCCCGGGCTCCAGCGAGACCTCGCAGCTGACGGAGCGGTTCTCCCACTTGTGCACGGGGCGGACCCGGCAGATCTGCTCCGCCGGCTCGGTGCTGCCGTCGGCGAGGACCTTTTGCAGGACGAAGTGCAGCTCGAAGTAGTACTGGCCCTCGAAGCCGCGGAAGTACCGGTCGTCGAGCTGCGTGAGGACCAGGACGACCATGCCGGCCTTCTTGACCTCGACGACGAACTTGGTGCGCAGGTAGCCCGTCACCCACGACACGTTGGCCGAGGCCCAGCGCTGCACGACGGTCCACTTCTCGTCGAAGAGGCGCGTGCGGTGGATGTACATGAAGGTGGAGAGCATGTCGTCGTACGACATCCAGAAGACGCCGTCGTCGCCAAAGGTGTGCGAAAGCTTCTTGAGCCAGTACGGCGTCCACTCCTTGGACCCGTCGGACCAGGGGCCGTTCCACTCGCCCAGGCCGCTGTCGGAGCGCTCGCCCCACGGGTTGCGGATCTGCACGAGCCGGATCTTCTTGCCGTCCTCGTCGACCTCCTCGCGGGACTGCAGGATGGAGTAGGCGTGGCCGAGGGCGAGGCCGGACTTCTGCCAGTCCCAGCCGGTGCCCATGGCCGCGAGGGCGAAGACGAACTCGCCGTCCGAGTTGACGAGCTCCTTCCAGAGCTTGTCCTTGCGGAGGACGCGGTTGGTCGCGATGGTGGAGGTGACGCCGCCCGTCATGTCCTCGACGGCCTCGCCGGGCCAGCCGCCCGAGATGGCCTCGTAGTCGCCGTGGACCTTGGCGTAGGCCTTCTCGAGGAGGGGCAGCCAGGTCTCGTTCTGGTCCTCGCAGCGGGCGAAGTAGAGGGCGTCGGAGCCGGTCTGGTTGCGGCGGCGGTGCTGGCGGGCCTTCTTGCCGGAGGCGTCGTAGACGTCGGCGTAGTAGTCGAAGTCGGTCTCGCGGAGGTAGAGGTTGTCGTCGACGACGGCGGAGACCCAGTCGCCGTCGCGCTGGAAGACGAAGCCGTAGACGCCGCAGTCCTCGTCGCGGGCGACGCAGACCTTGTTCATGAGGTCGCGGCGGTGCGCGATGGTGGCGACGGCGGCGAGCCACCAGCAGTCGCCGTTGGCGCCCTGCTTGATGTCGGAGGAGGAGTAGCCGTTGACGGTGAACTGCGGGGAGTCGAAGATCCAGTCCACGCGGTGGATGGAGCCCGGGTTGTACCACTCGCAGCCCTTGAGCCCGAACTTGCCCGATGCGGGCGGGGACTTGTTCTTGGTTTTGCCGGAGGTCTTACCGGAGGCGAAGTTGCCGAAGGGGCTCCACGTGTCGCCGGAGCCGAGGAGGCGGGAGACGGCGGAGGGGTCGATCGGGATGGTGGAGTTGGGGCCGAGGACCTGTGCGGCAGTCAGGGTGTCCAGGGAATTTTTAACATCCCAGCTGCTGACGTTCGGGCCACTGTCTCCGACGTCGCCGATGCCGGGGCCGTCGCGGACGAGGCCGTTAAGGCAGTTGGACTCGGGGTCGCGCTCGATGTCGAAGTCCGGGTCTGTGAACTTCTCGTTTGTGCGCTCGCACTCGCGGACGATGCGGGCGACCTTCTCGCGGCATTCCTTGGCGGCTGCTTCGTAGGACTCCTGGGCGTTGCGGGTTGAGGCGTGGCCTTTTGGTTGAAAGGCCGGGAGGAGAGATGCGTAGAGGGCGCGGGGGAAGATGGAGGTTACCTTGCCCGGGTGCCTGGAGTGGAATTTTGACCAGAAGTCGGAGAGGATTTCTTGAGGTGTCTTTTTGAGGCGTTTGGATGTCGAGGGGAGGGCTGGGGGTGGTGGTGGAGGGTCGCCGTAGGTTGCCATTTTGGTGGTTTATGGGTGGTGAGGCTGTCGATGGTGGTGTGATGGTTCGAGGTGGGAGGGAATGACTGACTTGCGATCGAAGGAGCTCGCTCCAGAAGGACTTCTGAAGAGAAGGCTCCGGCTTATGTAGATTTCGTCCATGATGATGCAGTGACAGCTCAGAAAGCTCAGCTGCCCAGCACTCCCAACCCCTCCGTCACGTCCAGCTCACAGCTGGAGGACGACCATCCCGGCATGATTGCGAGCTAGGGCTGACGCGCTTGCGATAGCTCCCGTGTACCACCACACGACCAGCCGGCCTCTTGGAGGGCGGGAGGGGAAGTGGAATCGCCTTTCCCGTGCCGAGAGTTTCTGGTCGTATATATTGCCTTGCAAGGCGACGAATGGAGAAATGAGGCGGATTGAACGTCGGAGGTGCCGCGTGGCCTGCTTGAGGTTGAAGCGTCTCGCGCTGCGGGTGGACGGCCAGAGGTTGGTGATGAGGCGACGACGAGGGTTCCAGGGTTCCAGGGTTCGTGGTCCTCAGGTTTGTTTTAGCGCTGGGTCGTGGTGAGACCTTCTGCTGCAGCTTGTTCTGGCTGCCTGCTTGGGTTTGGCGATCCGGCGCCTCGCATCTATCGTGTTCTGGCCAACCAGGTGACAGGCATCGATCCGAGCAGCCGCTTTTGGTGTCTCCCACTGCGGGAGGATGATTTGGACTTTGGTTGAGTGCTGTAGGTAGGTAGGATCTCACGTAAGATCTTGAGCGGGAGACGTTGGCGATATGCAGGTCATGCAGGAGGTTGTTTGAAGCGGTTTACGAAGCCCCTGTTCTGGGGGCTGTGGGGAGGTTGATGGTATGCGTCGGTGGTGAGGATTCGGATGCAGGGCTGGGGTTGTATGCGTGCTGACTTCCATTGTGACGTGATTCCTGGTCTCCCGTCAGCGAGGTTCAAGAGGTTTTGGGACTTTGGCGGTTACTAAAGCTTTAGATCTTGATCTTGATGCCCAAGTCGACTTGTGCGTTTTCAGAGTATCTGTGGCCAACCTATTACACACTGGATAAGAACCTAGAACCGGAGAAAGAAAGTGGTGAAGGACGTCCTTGGTGAAATCCATCAAACAGGTTGCGAAAACGCTGCTTAGGCCCGGGAAGACTTACACCTCGTTTTCAGCAATACTGTAAGTTCGCAAAACTGCCCAATGTCGTTTAGTTCGGACGGCGTCATCTCGACGGTCGTAATCGTAAAAAGTGACAGATCTACTGCGGGGACGCCGGACGCCGGACGCGAAGGACCGGATCAGCGACGGAGCCGATGCAGCGGCGAATACTCGGCGGACGGTGCCGGATACCATGAACGCGAAGTGATGGATGCCATGGCTAGGGATGGCGAGAGATAGCCGCTGGTGGTGACGGAAATAGCGACGGAGACGGCAGTCCGGGACGGTGCCAGCTCGAGTTGATCGTCTTCTGGCAGCACTTGCGATGGTCTCTTGGATACCTAGGCACCTAAGCCGGTTGCTAAGCGCGGAACACGAGCCTTCTCAAGTACTCTTCTTTGTTGCTCAAAAAAATCGCTTTCTTGTTTTTCGCTCAAAATATCGCTTTCTTGCCTAGGCCGGCTCGGATACGGAAAGTCATTCCTCAAGGTGTCGTGCCACGCGATGACCACACTTTCTATAAGGCTCTTTCTTCTTCTTCTCCTTCCTTCCACCCTTTGTGATACGCAGTGGCCACACTTTTTCCTCGAGGATCTTTCTCCAGTGCAGCCTTGGATTCTATTTTACATCCCCTGTCTGGACTTTAAACGCCTTTGAAGAAACACCATGACTTCGCCCACTGCTGCACTCAGTATCCCCTGTCATGGATGTCTCCGCTAATTCTGAGGCGTCAGCAATGAGGCGAACTGTGCCTTGGGATCGCAATACTTTTCAGAACTTGTCGCTCCAAGAGCTCGGCGACCAGCACCGCCATCTCCGCCGAAATACTTACTTCTCCGAAAACCACTGCAAAATACTTCACATCTCCGCAGCAGAGGTCTGGTCCGAATACGCCGCTGTTGCGGGTAGACGGCATGACATGGCTGCCATACAAGGCCACGCGGCCTTCTTGCGACTTCGCGAATGGCGTTCCTCCAAAGGACTCGAGGGTTGGGTTGCTATGGGCTATTCGGAGCAATTTCAAATCAGATATCTGGCACATCATCAACTGAAGGAGATTGCCATCAGCCAAGCCACGTCAAAACATGATGGCGGTGTCGATAACACACGCGATCTCGCCCGACTCTTCGCAAGTCTCAAGGATGGTATGGGCACCACTGTCACTGCTTTCGGCAATCGAGTATTGAGAAAACACAAGAAAATGGCCCGTCAGATGGCCAACAAATATTGTCCAGACAGGCCAGACGAGGACGTCGTATGGGATCCTATTGCCGGCAAATGGCAGGGTGACCACTTGGCTGAAATCGCCTTCATGTATCCTTGGCGGCAGAGGTCCAGTATGAACAAGTTATTCGGCTTGGACCTTGCTTCAATCACTGAAGAATACGCCCCGTGTAATGGTATTTTTCTACGGGCTCCAATCCGACGAGGGCTCGAGAACGGTGTATTTGCGATCGTCCCCGACGTGGACTTCGGCCTCGACTCAACCAATCAACACGACGAAGGGGGCAGGCAGATCGATCATGTCCAAGAATGGTGGCACCGGGATGTCAAGGAATACAAGCTGGTTGTCCTGGATCCTCACCATCCGATGGCAACCGGCGAGTCTTTCGAAGCTCAAGAGCCGCTCGTGGACCTCGACGATCGCAAGCTTACATTTCGCACAACCTTTCGCCCTCGCGTTCGATATGTGTGGTGGTCATTCCTCTCCGCAATAACGGTTGCGACATGGCGACTCAAGGACAAGAGCTGTGATGGAGCGAGCATCCAAGACCGCATTCAAAAGGCTGTGCGCTGCTGGGGTTATACAACATTGACTGAGAGTAAAGTGACGGCTTCGTTCGTCCGTGTCATCGGCAAGGCTGCGGAACCCCTGTTGGGCGTTGGAAGTGGCGAAACGGATGCGGATGACCAAGGTATCGCCGTGGTTGCTTTCGAAAGGGCTTACGCTATTAGGGAGGAGAAGGACGATCGCTTCGCCTACTATTCTGACGAGGATGATGATATGTTTAAGCACCCCTCCACTACTTGTAAATACTGGCCGAAAAAGATTGTTTATTAGTAGAATAGTATTAATGAGGTTATAATCAAATCGCCTTCGTCGTGACGCCGTCTTCATGATGGTGATGATACTATCTCAATCTCCTTCTGATGGGTAATGCCATCCCAGCAGACCTTCATTCTAACCACGCAGCCAGGAGGAAAACAAACTGAGCTGCCAAAATCAGCGTTGAATGATAATCCAATCCGTAGTCCAATGACCATAGTCCAATGACTGCAGCAACGTCGTTTCTGTCGAGTTCCTGGCAAGAAACACTTCGACCTGGGCTATGCCTGAAGTTCGTGCGGGGACGGTGTAAGGAAGCGGTTTCTGTTTCCGAGCACTGTATTTTAGCGGCCGTTTCGTTAGCGTTATCGGCTTATCGGACCCTCGGCTCAAGTCACGTCACTTGCTGCCGATTCCCTTGGGTCCCTTTCACCTTCGTAACCTTTGGGCCTCATCCAACTGCCCACAGCTCCCCCTTCAACTCCGCCACCGGCGAACCCACGAAAACATTGTCTCCGCATCAGACAACACACACCGCTCCGACACGCGTGCATCTTAACACCCGTCGCCAGAGTTCCAGCCATGGTCTTCTTCTCAACCTCGTAACACTTTTCCGATCAAGACGACGACAACGACACCTATAATCACTACGCCACCATGTCGCAATCTGGGTTCGCAGCCCCCGAGGACGATGCTCCCACCTTTTTCATGCACGATCTTGTCGAGGAAGCCGTGCGGTCCGTCGAAGAAGTCCCCATCCCCTTGGCGCGTAAGTAGAAACCCGCAGACCAAAGCGATGATTCCGGACAAGATGAGCTAACCAGCCACACAAAGCGCGAGCCCCCACCCAATGGCCTGTCGAGGAACTAGCGACTCGCGAAGCCAGACGATACTCCCTGACTCCCGACGTAGTCAAAGAGCTGATCGACTTCCCTTGCTTGAATTACGTCGACGAACCCGATGAAAACCTCGTCTGTCCCATCTGCAGGCTTCCTATAGTCACCCCGGTCATCACGCCGTGCGATCACACCTTCTGCCTCGAGTGCCTCAAGCGCTTTTTCTCCACCTCCGACACGTGCCCCATCGACCGGACTCGATTCCGCGCCAAGGACTGCAAGACATCGAGACTTCTGACCAATATGCTCGGTAGCCTGGTCGTCAACTGTCCCAATACCGAACGAGGATGCGATGAGACAATGAAGCGCGAGGAGGCCGTCAAGCACGCGATCGACTGCCGATACACGCTACACGACTGCCCGGAGAAGACCTGCGACAAGAGAGTGGAGCAGTGGAGGGCGGTGTCGGGCAAGTGCTTGCATTTCGAGCAGAAGTGTGAGTACTGCGAAGAAAAGATGGAGGCGTTGTCGATGGAAGACCACATCACTAGGAACTGCTCGAAGAACATCACAACATGTACCGACTGCGGCGAGACGATCAAAGCCTCAGAATCGAAGCAACACAGCTCGGAAAGATGCCCTGAGTCGTCTGCGCCATGCAAATATGGTGACTACGGCTGCTCTCACCGCGGCCTCCGTAAGACGCTGGATGCCCATGAGGACGGGTGTATGTACAGGGTGGTCGCGGTCGTGGGAGAGAAGGTCAAACTACAAGAAAAGCACATCGAAAAGCTGCAGAAAGAAAAGCAAGAGCAAGAAAAGCAGATTCTGGAATTGAAGGACGAGCGGCGCGACTGCATCTCGTGGGACGACGTTTTCAATCTCAACAACGTACAGGGCGGGCCCAAGTTCAAGCCCACGGAAGCAGTCATGACCATTTACGAAGACATGGAACGCAGAATGGAGGAGCTCAAGAAGGAATTTACGGAGCTCGAGGGCCGGCAGACAGTCATGGTGCTGAACCAGGTCATACCGATCAAGGATCAGATCACCGAGATCAGGAGCAACCTCGGCATCCTCAAGATGCACATGGCGTGGTTGATGAACAAGAGCCGCGAGGAGGTCGAGCGCACTCGGCTGGCGAACCGCACCGTCAGTGGGACCAGCCGGACCCGGGGCAGCTCCGATAGCGATGGCGAAGCCTCGTCTTCATCTAGGAGGTTGAGCGATGGCTCGAACGGCATTCCTCGACTGTAATGATCGCAGGAAGGTCTCCGTCCATCGGCTCGTTACGACGACGGCAACACATGGGAAGATACGGGTTTGGAGGTGGCTTTTCTGTTTTCGCACATGTTACGCTCTCCCGTACGAGTAAATGTTTTGGCTTTTGGCGTTGGGGAGGGAAACAACAGTCTCATGAAAATGACTTGGACGGCACGGAAATACCCTCGGGGCAGTCTACCGAGATGGACGCCCCTTGAAAACAAAATTGGTTCTTACGCACCCAGACTACTCGTTCTACATGGCGTCCCTGGGCTTCTCAATTCCTATGTTGGAGGTTGAGTTCCTAGTAGGAGGACCTTTGAGCATACCTTATGGTAATGAATTGTTATCGTAATCATCCATTCTTCATTCTCTTATCATTTTGGTCAGAGCATGGGAAATACGTCCGAACCAGCAGTTTGAGCTGGCCAGTGATACATCATCTCGAATTTGGTTCATCCGAAGCCAAGGAAGCCATCTAGAAAGGTGCTGCCCAAGGTCTGATGAGACCACGACTTATGTAAGCGGTGGTTTTGCTGAGTCTTTGATCACGCTGCTGCCTGCCTGTCTGGGCAGAACATGTTAGAACAAAGGTGGCACGCCATCAGCAGCAGCTTATTAATGATATTTTTTGAGGTGTGAGGTGATGTGCTGTTCTGTCAGGTCTTCACATCCAGCGGACTTTTGGTGGACTTTGCTGTTTTAGTGGTCTTTTGTCCGCTAAGAATCAGACCAGAGGGATGCTGCCAGGCCATCATCGGATTTAACTGGACAGGGAGCAAGCCCCCAAGACCCACACCCCACATTCACCGCCCGCCGGCGCCGCTCCCCACCACTGCAAGGCCCTGCTCCTGCTCACAGCTAGACGTCAACCACTCCCACCTTGAGCTACCTTACCTCACTCACCTTTGCACCTCTCCATCCACAGCACCTTCTTTTTCAGCCTTGTGCTAGGCGTCGCCAACTTCACTTTATCACCGGGCAATATTCTTCATTGTCTGTACCAGTACCGATCATAACCAGCGCGAGAGCACCAACACCATTCGATCGTTGCCACCAGCAGTTAAAGTACGACAGGCACAATGGATCCCAACCAAGATGGCCAGCCGCCCGAGGCGCCTGATACGGCCAAGATGAACGAGGTAAGCTTTTCTTGATCCTGAGAATTCGAAAATGGAGGATCTTCTGCCCTGGCTTGGACACACACGATCTGTCGAATACCATCCACTGCCCTCGCGATTTGGGCGCCTTCCATCGCCAACCTCATCTTCAACCTCTACCTACAGACCTCCACCAATTTCGCCCCAGATCGCTTCTTGCCATCCGAAACTTCCAGCATCCTTCAGCTCGTACCAGCCGATATTTTCACCACTCAAGATGGGGCTTCCGACGTACGACGAAACTGAAACTCCTCTGGAGTCGTTGCTCGGCCGGCGCGAAGCAATCCGGCCGGAGCGGTGGTCATGGTCGACGTGGACGCCAAACGACGATAGGACGACACACCGGCGCGGAAAATCAAGTTGGAAAACCTCTATATGGAAAGTGCTGACACGCGGTCTCCAGATCCGATTGCGCCGCCTAGCCAAGCTCGGCTCTACCTCCAGAACCTCCCCCAAGCCCGAGGGCAGCCCATCGTCGCCGAACCCCGGAGCATCAGGCGCCTCAACACCGACCGAAGAGAAGCCAAAGTCCCCCTTGGATGCGCCGCGAAAGATCAACATCACACCGTCCGCAACACCGAAGCCCGTTGTTTCCAACGAGAACGCACAGAAGCGAGCCGCTAAGAGCGAAACTACACCAGCGCCCGTCTCGAAGCGACCGACTGTTGTGCAAGAAGAGTCCATCGATGACTTCGCCGACCGAACCCTCACCCAGATCTTCCGCGTCACCGTCGACCCCCAGCGGCTGACCGATATTCATGGCCACAAGTTGACGTTTCTGCCGGGCGCGAGCGCCGAATTGGTCGACGCGGGATCTCCCCTGAAGCTTACTTCTGGCGTTCTCGACAGTGCGCTGCTGGAGTGGCTGTCGTCTCTGCCACCTCAGAAGCCTATCCTCGGCTTCATGCTCCCCTGCTTTAAGCGCATTCTCCGCCTGTACAACATGGTCAAGGATACGGCCAAGGACAAGAGAGAGGTGTTGGACGAGGCCAAGAGACTGTGTATCAGTAACATCTTGTTTGCCTTGACGATCCCGGATTTGTTTGGGTATGTTTTGGGCCACTTTCTGTGGGCTATGACGACCAGCAGTTGCTAATGGGTCCGCAGACGGCCACAACCTGACAACTTGGCACCATTCCTTCTTAAGGGCCATGATCAGGACGATGGCGTATGCTTGAACTTTTTGCAAGAGGCTGTCAAGCGCTTTGACGAGGATGAGCAATTACCCGAGATTTTCGCCAGCGCCATCCACGTGCTTAGCACCAGATTGGCGGAGATATCTATGGACGGCGACTACAAGCCGTACATCAATGTGAGTTGTACTGAGACCCTTCCACTGAAAATCCAGTTGAGAACATCCTTGGTCCCGCGCGATTGGAGATTGCAAGTCGGCAACATGAAGGAGAGACCTCATGCAGGGGCCGAGTAAAGCGAGGTAAATAATGAATAAGATTGCTAACAAAGACAAACCAGGCATTGATGACTTACACCAAGTTCCCGCCTCTTCTCAACGCCCTTGCAAAGCATCCAAACTTCTTGACGGAACAGAGGTCAGGTCCGCTCGTCGAGAAGGCTACTATTCTGGGCCCTTTCTTCCGCATCTCTCCCCTGCAAACCGACGTCACCCTGACCTACTTCCCGAATCCCCGAGGCTTGGATAGGCAGAGAGCAGCTCAACCACAAGAAGCACTGAGAGCCATCCTGAGAGTCCACCAAGACGAGTTGTTCACAATCGCCAACGCCTTCATTCGTGCCGACACCGAGACCAGAAGCCGGGCCCTCGATTGGTTCGCATCTGCCATCAATTCCAACCAGAAGCGCAGGGCTCTCCAGGTTGACCCCAAGGAGGTTTCGTCGGACGGTTTCATGATGAACCTGACTGTCATCCTCGATCGCTTCTGTTCTCCTTTCATGGATACCACGTTCTCCAAGGTCGACAGAATCGAAGTTGAGTACTTCCGTCGGAACCCTCGTGTTGACATCAAGGAGGAGACGAAGTTGAACGCCGATCAAGCGACATCGGATGCGTTCTACGCTAAGAAGGCTGACGGCACCAACAACTTCATCTCAGAGGTGTTCTTCCTCACCCTAGCCGCACACCACTACGGCAGTGAGGCTACCAACGCAAAGGTCAAGAACTTGGACCGCGACATCAAGTACTACGAAAAGGCCGTGGCTCAGATGGAGGCTGAACGACACAAGCTTGCGAACGTGAGTTGCAATTGCCACTCTTATCGGCTCGTGGCATCACTGCAATGATTGAGGAGCATGCTGACTAGTGACGCAGAACCCAGCTCAAGTTGCCATGTTTGAGGTCACTCTCAAGCGTCACACTCAGGTTCTTGAGAAGGCGATCGCCATGAAGTACGCCATTGAGGGCGTCTTCTTTGACGAGAAAATGCAGGAACTGTCTCTACGCTTCATGCGTTACGTCGCTGTTTGGCTGCTTCGTCTTGCCAGCCAGTCTGACTACACTCCAGAGAAGGATCTCAAGTATGTTGCTTTCGCGCTTTCCCGTCGGATTCGACCTCCGTTCTAACAACCTTCAGGTTGCCCCTCCCTAGTGAGGCGCCGGCGGCAGTGGCTTGCTTACCCGAATACGCTCTCCAAGACATTGTGGACAACTTCAAGTTCGTGTTCAAGTATGTCTTCCAAACTCTTGCGTGGCTTTTGATCTGTGTTTCTAACATATGGACAGGTACATTCCTCAGATCATGCCATCAGCCGTTGGCAATGAGATGATCGCTCTATGTGTCGCCTTCCTCCGTTCGTCCGAGTACATCAAGAACCCGTACCTCAAGTCATCCTTGGTAACACTGCTCTTCTCCGGCACTTGGCCTTTCATGCACTTCAAGAAGGGTGTTCTGGGTGACCAGCTCTACGGGTCCAAATTCGCAAACGAACACCTGCTGCACGCCCTGATGAAGTTCTACATTGAGGCAGAGTCGACGGGTGCTCACACTCAGTTCTACGACAAGTTCAACATTCGATACGAGATCTTCCAGGTCATCAAGTGTGTGTGGGGCAACGATGTGTACAAGCAGCAATTGACCAGAGAGAGCAAGTAAGTCTGATCACTCGGTAGACGTTTCCTCGAACAGTCGGTATTCTAACAAAACGACAGGAACAACCGCCAGTTCTTTGTGCAATTCGTGAACCTCTTGCTCAACGATGCCACATACGTCTTGGACGAATCATTGACCAAGTTCCCCAAGATCCACGAACTCCAGCTTGAGTTGGAATCCGACCCCACCATGTCGGCCCAGGATAGGCAAAAGAAGCAAGAAGAGTTGCAGGGCCTGGAGGGCCAGGCGACTTCTTACATGCAGCTCGCAAACGAGACGTTGTCGATGATGAAGCTTTTCACGTCGGCTCTGGCCTCCGCTTTCACCATGCCAGAGATTGTGCAGCGTCTGGCCAGCATGCTGAACTACAACCTGGAAACCCTTGCTGGCCCGAAGATGAAACAGCTGAAGGTTAACGACCCTTCGAAGTACCATTTCCAACCCCGAGTTCTCCTGTCCAGCTTCGTGGACATCTACCTTAACCTTGCCAACTCGCAAGCCTTCATCGACGCCGTTGCCATGGACGGTCGTTCGTACAAGCCCGCGACTTTCGATATGGCGAGTTACATTCTGTCCAAGCGAAACATGAAGGACGTAACGGAGCTCGAGAAGTTCGATAGGTTGAAGGAGAAGTTCAAGGAGGCGAAGGCAGTGGCCGATCAAGCAGAGCTGGACCTCGGCGACATCCCGCCCGAGTTCGAGGACCCCATCATGGGCGACCTCATGAAGGATCCGGTCATCCTCCCTTCAAGCCACATTGTGGACCGCTCGACGATCGTCCAGCATTTGCTGTCTGATCCCAAGGATCCCTTCACGCGACAGGCGATGACGATCGACGACGCCATCCCGCACACGGAGTTGAAGGAGAAGATTGATGCCTGGAAGGCGGAGAAGATCGCTGCGGCCAAGGCCAAGATTGAGACCGATGCTATGGACACTACTGAGGGCTGAGTGCTCTGGTAGAGGGAGTATGTTTGGGTAGGAGGATTATGAGATCGCATTTCGAGCGACCTGCAGCGGCCGGTTATGCATTGTGTTAGGATTAGACATTTGGAGTCCCGAGGTTTCGTTAGGGGACATCATATGATACCAGGCAGAGAATAGACCTGGGTTAGAGGACATCATCGTTGAGATCATTTGCGTCTAGGCTTGAGGTGTCGTGGTACGTCACCTTTCGTGGAGTTACTGTTGGTTTCGCTGATTTCAAGGTGCTCCTACTTGCAGTGTCATGCCATATTCTAATTTTGTCCCATCAAGCGCCATTGGCCAACAGCAATGCTCACTGCGCTGTGCTAATGTTCGTCGTATTCTCCGGCTTCAGTTGGGGATATTCTCCATGTCGTTTGTTCTTTCTGATATAATCACGCAACACCTGTTTTGCGCTCAGAGAGCTACACGCAAGGTTAGAGACAGTGGCAAAGGGTTCCTGGGGATATGGGGTTCGACGTCTTCTACATGCAAGCCCAGCATATGTGAGAATGAAACTTGCATGAGTGCAGACTTCGCTGTTCATGGACGCACCACTGGTTCTGCTAGTGCATCATTACGCCAACTTGCTTGCTAGAGACTTGATCATACTCAAATGACGAGCCGAAAGGCCCAGGATCGATCCAGCTTAACCCATGACGTCGCTATGCTAGGCCTCAGATGCCTCAGTTGAGGCACAGGTATTCTCAGGCACGACGTTGGACGAGAATAAGCCGGAGGCAGAGATAGTGAGAGAAAACAGGTGGTGACCGGAGACAAGTGCGCTTGAGGTGCGTGCGGTAGGAAACGGCGAAGCCCTTGTGCCGTTGGAATATTGCTTTTGCAACGTGAAGACAAATGGTTAAGTTTTGTTGGAGATTCCTTCCACCATGTACAATGTTACTTCGTGAGAACGTGGCGATGGCCTTTTATGGTGTGCCCAGAAGCTCGAGAAGTCAGTTTGCAGGGACGTATGCGGGTACGATGCTGATATAAAAGACTGATGAATCTCAGGATTGGACCTTCTTCTACCCGGCAACACGATGTCCATAACCAGAAGCACTGGTTCTCGAACAAAGCGTGTCGAAAACGAAGTTGTGCGCCTTTTGCCAATCGATACACAGTACATGCCCGGCTATCGCGCCAGCAGCAGGCGTTCGGCAACCTCTTCAGCGAGTTTATTCCTCGAGGAATAAGTTCAGAACAGAGATGGTGATGAAGGATAAAAGATGATTGGTCGCGACGATGGATTTAGTTTCGTGCGTATGGTACTGGAAAAGACTCTCGTTGGACTACCTTGTTGTTGTAGTGATTCGGGCCCAGTGTGTCTGACAACAAATAAAGCGTGTTGCTGGTTGTAAGAAAAGTCCGCTCTCCGGTACACGATGTGGTGGTTTTATATAGATGCCCACAGACACGCATTCGCGATGTTGGAAGGCCTGAATCCCAGAAGGCTTAGGTCCTCCTGCAATTCGACGTTATAAACGTGTCCAGCAGGGTAAGTAACTCTGTGAAAGCTCCCAAGCATCGATGTTCTCTCCCGTTCCATTCCATGCCTCCATTCCAAGATAATGAAAGCGGACGACTGTTGTGCCCTTGTACGTTGGTTGGACCGATAGTAAAATGTTCAGAATCGACTTGAGAAGTTGAGTTGCTGCCTCTGGCGGTGTACTCCATGGGTTTATATGTATTATCGATGTAATACTTCCAAACTGGTAAAGAATAGAATAGACAAACCCGCTTCCTGGGTAACCCGGAGCTTCTTGTGACCTTCAGGAACTTAGAAGTGTTCTCCGGAGTTGGACCAAACGCCCGATGACTGGCATTGGTGATTGTACTCTCGCATCCGACCATCCCCATCTGCTTGCTTGTCCCAGAAGGCAGATTTCGAGGGCTTGCCGTTGGCCTTTTCCACTACGCCCAGCATTAGGGGATCAGCGTCTGCATCTCAGGTAGTATGGAAGCTTCGAACGGCCGGAAACCTTCAGAAATTTTGAAACTATCAGCTGTGGTGTTGATTGATATCCGCATGTTCTTTGATATAAAATCCTCAAGCAAATCACATTCTAAGCCGAATGAACCACAGAATGGAAGAGGAGAATGTACGCCATTGCAGAGAGGCGATCAGAAATGACCTCAAGGCTGAAATCGTCGAGTCTTAATAGGGAAACATTGTGGTATGTTGCAGATGAAATTGCGGTTCCGACGGGTTTCCATATCTCCCAACTCTGGGCCCGTCTTCCTCCGGTTCTGAGATCTTATAATATATGTAATAATGGAAGGCCGCGATGACGCCGTCCGAACTAGACGGCACCGGGGCAGCTTCGAGAACTCACGTTTGCAGAAAACCGTTCAAACCCAGGCTTTGCTTGACTTTTCACTCCCGCAAGAACGGAAGACCTCCAATATTATAGACGCTCATGAGACCGTCTGAGATCCTTTTCAGGACCACACACGACGGTATTTCCAAATGGTGGATGCAACCTGGTCTCCTCATGCGCGGAGCAATGGCCAAGGCGGATTGAATACTATCGCACAACTACTGATCCAGCAGAAATCAGAATAAGCAGCAATCTCACTTGCATCGATTATCAGCGAGTTCTCTAGGCCCAGCTCGTAGATATGGTACTTATATGCGTCGTACGTTTGCCATCATTGGGTCCATGCACCACATGATACTTTTCGAGTACTGTTCGAGTCGGATACCGACACCTCGGAAACAGGCTCAGTCCAGGACATTTAGTTTGCTTCCCGAGCCCAAGCAATGTTTTTGCAATCCGCTTGATGGATTTCACTAAAGACGTCCTTCGCCAGTGTCCTCGCCTCTATCATCGCTACTGTCTTTTCCCGGTTCTAGGTTCTTATATGATGTGTAATAGGGTGTATGAAGATCCCCTGGAAATGTATGAGTCCTCAAGCTGGTATGATTCTAGAAATTGTGATCATTCTCCTTAGCATCTCTGCCGTTTGTGCTTTTGCAACCCGTTCGATGTATTTCACTCAAGACGTCCTTTGCTACGGTCTTCGCCACTGTCTTTCTCCGGTTCTAGGTCTTTGTACAATGTTTAATAGCGTTTGCAGAGATCCCCTAAAACCTCCGCGAGCCGTCAAGCTGGTGGAATTCCAGAAACTGATATCATTCTCCTCAGCATCTCCGACGCTCCTAACTGCTGCCAGGGCAATACCAGTACCGGACGGCGCTGTCGTCTATCGGGGAGTCGACTTGGGCATCAAGCAGAAAGTTCATCGCAGGGTTCCTGTACACACCGCGGCTAGACTGATCGAGCGCCTGAGGCTGTGTGAATAACATGGAAGATTCGTGGGCAGCACCGTGAGGAAACCAGAACCTAGTAAGACGAGCTCCTTGGATTGTGACGTGTCTATAAAATATGGCCCTACCAAGATGTGTGTACAGTTTCGTTGGCGAATCCAGTCTACAGACATTCTATGCCTCCCGATACTTCTCCAGACAAATGAACCAGGACCCAAACAGAAAACCCTGTTATCCTCGCAAGACAGAAACAAAGCAATGTGCGCCACCGTCCGTCGTATAGATACAGGAAGCTCTTAATCGTGGTCGCCTCTTACGCCAGTCAACCCACCAGCGAGACCCTGCATGCGCCTACCAAGCAGATCGTCGGTACTCTTGAGTTTAACCAGGCTCGCGCCTGTGCTCTTACTTGCGCCTCTCGCCCTGCCATTCTTCTTCTTCCCGTTGCCCACCTCAAGCCTGTCCACGAGCGACTCGCCTTCTTCCATGGGTTGGGGCTCCTTCGTCAGGGTCTTGCTGCGGCTGGCTCTCGTCATGCTGATCTCGAGGGGCCGGTCCTCGTCCCCGCTCGACTCGGCGCGTGTGTGATGTCTTCCTTGTGTGTTCCCATTCGTCGCCGGGCCTCCTACCCGACGACGTCCGCGACCTTCACGTTCGCGAGCCGCATCGGCTTGATTGAAAATGTCCATGATCCACTCGGATGATCTGTCGAAATGCTTCCAAGCTGGCGGGTACACAGTCGGGAACTGCAAAAAGCCATGGGAGATGCCAGGAATCAATGTAACTTCGGCCACGTCCTTGGCGTTAAAGACCGGTTCGTAGCCGTCACCGAACTCTGAGCGCTCGGAGCGGGCCTGTTCGAACATTGCTTCCTTGACCTTGCGCAGGCGGGCGGAGAAGATGACGGTGTCGTCGACTAGAGGATCTCGTTCGCCGGTGAGGAAGTAAACCTTTGGAAACCGGGCCAGCAGAGAGTCCGGAGCCAGTACCGGAGATAGCAGGTAGTCTTGGCTGAAGTCCGGACGGTTGTGGGGTCCGATGTAGAGGATGATCATCGCGCGCATCATTTCGGGGGTAAGGACACGATCGTTGAAGTATGAAATCATCGAAGACATTGCGAGACGTGTTCGAAGAGGTTCTGAATGGTGAGACGTGCTCTGCTGGCGCTTGGCGTCTTGTGACGCGAGCTGTGTGTTGGACAGGACCTGGGGACCGCTGTGCGAGTACTCGGGATGCGGGCTTGCAAGCGCCTGCGAAGAAGCGATCTCGAGCTCCTTTGTGGTCAATTCCGCTGCTTGCTTCGCAGCACTCTCCTCCTCGTCATCGGTCTGGTGCGGCGTACCAACCAGGTCGTTGTACTGCATACTTTTCCGCCTGATGATTGACTTGTTTGTGCCTCTCATCCTCCTGTCCTTCATCAGCGACATCTGCTCATCGGACATCCAGTTGCCGATGTTCATATCGAGTCCCGGGTAGAAAAGCACGAGTCCGTCCGGAAGCGGCAGATCTCCCGTGTTCACGTAGCGGCGCATGGGAGCGGATGTTCGCTCGATGATCATCAAGGTCGTCGATGTGGCCAGGTTTCCTCCTGCACTGTCCCCCGTAAAGACAACTCGAGGCGTTTCCTTCCCCGACATTCCAATGCATCTTCCTTTGCTCCTGACGATGGTTGTATAGACATCAAAACACTCGTTGAGCGCGTATGGATATGGGAATTCGGGGGCCTTTTTGTAATCCAGACTCAATACAGGAAGCCCTGTTTTGGCGGCCCAAGCGAAGAGCTTGTCATCGTTGCATCGAGGATCCATGGCCACAAAACCTCCACCCGGAATATCGAGTATGATTCGGTTGTGTCGCGCGAGGTCTGTAAGCGGACCGTCAAAGTAGAGCCAGGCCGACACAGGTTCCTTGTAATCACTGCCGCTAGGACGAGGGATGCGGATGGCACGGGGCGGCCAGCGCGAAAATCGAGGTCGCATCAGGCCCTGGAAGAAGCGCAGGTAGGGCGTAGTTCCTTTGTTCCAAGACACTCGCAGGTGCTCGACCGTCAGCATACCGCGGACTTTGCGAACCTTCTCGTCGGCTTTCTCGGCGGCAAACATGTAGAAGACGGAGAACACGATGCTGGCTAGGTCGCGAAGCCACTTCGCCTTGATCTTCATCGCAGTCCAGAACCCAGCGTCCAGAGCAGTCAACACCCACGTCGCGCGGAAGTATGTGGCGTCGTACATGTTTGACATGGGCTCAGGGCTCGCGAGGCCGAGGAGGGTGCTGAAATTGCGGGCGGCATATAGGTAGAGCATCGTGGCGACGACGGTCTGCCATGTCGTCAACCGCTTCGTGGTAAGCTTCGAGAAGAAGCGCAGAAAGGGAGGGCCATGAGGGTGGCCTCTGCAAACGTCATCATCAGTATGCTTCTTGTCATAAGCACCCGGTAGGTCATTTCACGTACCTGAAGATGTAAGCCGACCAGAAGGCCAAGACAGCCAGCACCTGAAGTCGGCGCGACTTGACCGAAGGCCGCCCGAGGACGTGGTCGATCATTGCGACTGAGGGATGCTACGTGCCCTGGGCAGCAGCAATACGGAGAATGTAGGAGTGAGGTCGTCGAGTGTTTGTAGTTTCCAGTCGCAAACTCATGGACCCGGAACACCGAGTGCAGCCGACAGCTGACCAAGCAACAGGCACACGAAAGACCACGAGGTTGTGGCCGGGAGAGGAGCTGGCGGCAGACAAGTCGACGGGACGGCGCAGCGCGAGTAATGCGATAACCTGGGCTAAAGGGCCATGGCAAGGTGGCCGAGCTCGGGAAAGCGCTTGGCGAGTACGGACGGCTTGGGACCACGGACAGCCACCCGAAGGAAGATGGGAGTCGGAAGTCGAAGTGTCTATCTGGAAGCTTTCGGTCGACGTTGAAAGGGTGACGGAAAGCTGGAATGAACGACGGTGTCGTAACGGATCTCGCGGTGGTGATGACTCTCGTCCTCAATGGAAGTTGCGCCAGCTGCAGAAGGATGGTTGTCAAAGATGCTCATGACACAGTGCCTTAGGCCAGGCAGCCAGGGTAGTAGCGGCACATGTTTCAACGCAAAAGGCGTCGACTGCGGTGGCTCGGTTCAATTGCTGGACTGAGATGAGATGGTGACGTCCGTTTGGGGGCGAGCAGCTGACATGTGAAAGGGCCCATGTTCAGACCATGGAACAGCTGAATTCACAAGGTACGGAGGTACAATGGAAATCGATGGAGGGGCACGCGGCCAATGTTGATTCCGAAGCTAGGTCTCTTTTGGACATCCCTCGGATCCGACAAACAGGTTAGCCAATCAACGTCACCTATTTATGGCTCTTAGCGCCTCTCGCTCGCCGGCTTCACCGCTGGTAAGCTCCTCCCCCGCTGTAGAACTCCACTGAAGATTGCATATGCAGGGCCTGCTGGCCTGACCGGGCTGGGCCCGGGTTGGCTGTGTTTCTCCACGAACTCCAGGTCGCATTTTGGGTTCCTAGTCACGGGAAGCTCGAGCTGATAACCTACCGATACCGTCCGGAGATCTGGGACTCGCCGGACTCCGAGACACCTGACCACCCTCACAACTCGACCTGTCTGACTTGAGGGACTCCAATAGGCCGTACCTTGAGGGTATCGCCATGAGGGTATCGCCATGAAAACTTAGCTGTTTAGACTTTGCTTGCCTAGTGTTTATAGAGGTTTCTGCGTATGACTACATATACGACAAGAGGGTATACGCTTGGACGTAATCGGTTAGATAAAATATGGGTGAAAGGGGGTAAAGATACATATAGTGATTGTTGCGGTGGTCTCACCAGGAAGAACTGATGAACCAATCAACGTCGGGTTTCCCCCCAAAGATTCATCACACTGACCTAGGCCATGACAATGGGCACTCCATGGACAGACAAGTCATACAGTTCAACGCGCAAGTAGCAACAGGCAGACATCGTGACGGCCAAAATCTTGGAAAGCCGATGGTATCTCGATTTCAATGAATCAAAGCAGGACAGAGTGGTGGCCAAACTGTTCCATTCAGCTACACACTTGCAGATGGTATCCCCTCGACGTTTTGTTCCAAACCCGACATGTTTGTTCTCGGTATTCCTTCCTGTTCTCGACACCAGGTCCCCCGTACCCATCGTCTCGTTCCCAACGGAGAGCCAAAGTCCTCGCCGATGTAACACTATCATGCCTGTGTTGCTTGGCCCTGATGGCTGCCTTCCGTGGTTCGTCATTGGTTCCGAACTAAACATACGCAGTGTGTTAGTACTTCCACCTGTTCTCATGTGGCAAACAAAGACTCACCAAGTTTTAAGCCATGTTCTCTCACAGAGTTCAGCTTTTGACGTGAGATCTTCAGCGATTGGCGCTCCAAGAACGTTGACTGTACTGGGCTGCTCGTTGAGATGCAGCCGCCAGTGACAAGCCTGCAACATTGTCAGCGCGGTCCAGCAGGGAGCTTTGACCAGATCTTGGATAGTATACACAAACAGAGCTGGACACGACCAAACTCCAAATCTCGGCATCTGGGAGTTGTCAGCAATCGAAGAGAGCAAGTGGCGCTGAAGATAGACAGAACTTGCCAGAGTGGCCAGGCTCATTGTAAGCTTCGAACCGAACGAGTGCTGGACTTCGAACAGAACGACGCTGAAGTAGCTAGTTCTGTATCCGGGAGAACAAGTTCGTGCCCCTGCTGCTACACAGGTTCTTTTCTGTGGAAGAAGCAGCTGCCGTCAAGTGCCGCGACGCTTTTTTCCGTCCCGGCGTATTGTTGCTAGAATGCTGCAGTCGTAGCCTCGGAAATGAGCTGTCGACGATACAGAGAGACTGAATGAAGAGTTCTTTGAAGCTATGCTGTTTCAAAGACTGATATTGGAGTGAACCCGTTTTGAAAAGTGTTGGGGTACTTGGTGAAGTGCCAGAGTCTCTGCCGCCCCAGAGAGTGGCATTGGAGTAGGTGGTGTTGAAAGTAGGGGTGAAGGCTGTGATGTAACATGGTTTTTGTCGCCCAAGAGAGTGATGCTGAAGTAGTCATGAGGTGCGTGGTGTGCCAGAATGTATGCCGCCTTGGTGAACACTGAAGTACCAGAAAGTATGTCGCCCAGAAATAATACTGAAGTATTCGTGAAGTGTATGGTGTGCCAAAATGTATGCCGCTTTGGTGAGAACTGAGGTACTAGAACGTATGTCGCCCCAGAATCATTGTTGAAGTGCGTAAGGAAGTGCCAAAATCTCTGCCGCCAGAGAGAGTGTTTGAGTCTGTGATAAAGTGCCAACCATGACTTTTACCGGTTTGAAGAGTGTTAAAGTGAGTGATGAGATATCACAGTGTCTGTTTTCGCCAACGTGGAGGTGAAGTGCATGATGATGGTGTACGTGTGCCGCCCCAGAGAGTGTTGAGGTCCACGATGAAGTGCTTCTGCCGCCCAAATAGTGTTGTAGGTTGTGGTAAAGCGCCAATCAGAATGTCTGCCTGCGCAAAAACTGTTGAAGTGCGCGATGAAGTACGCAAAATGGTTTCAGAACTTTTGCTGCCCCAAAGAGTGTTGGTATGGTGGCCTAAATTTGCCGCCCGGAGAGTTTTGAAGTGCATGTGCAATGTGCCGACCGCGCATGAATTCGTGATGAAGTCCTAGCTGGACTCCCTGCCTGCGTCAAGGAAAGTGTGAGAAATATGATGGTGTTGGTTTGCCGCTCGAAAAGGTGGTAGAGTGTGTAATGACCTATAGATGTGCCGTCTTAGAGAGTGTTGAAGTGCATAATAAAGTGGATGTGCCTCGCCCAAGTTGTCAAAGTGTGTGTTGAGGTACCAAATCTCTGCTGCCCGTAGAGATAATATTGGAGTTGGTAGAGATGCTTGAAGATGCGCCACAATCTCCGTCGCCTCAGAGAGTGGTAACTTCACGCCAAAGTGCGAGGTGAAGCGTATGGTCAAGCTTCACAGTTGATGTTGCCCCAGATGTCATCGAAGTAGTTTGTCAAGGAGGTTTGACGATGTTCCGAAATTCCACCACTCCGAGATGGAAGAAGAGTAGGGAGTGGTGTACGTGAGTGTGTTTTGTCGCCTCTGCTGCCCCAGAGATCACTGCTCGAGAGACGGTTTCCGCTTTAGTGGTTGTTGTGTATGCCACAGTCTCTGCTGCCTCAAAGCTCTAATGAGTTTTGATGTAGGCGGTGATGTGCCGCACAAGCCGCTGATGCCCCAAAGAAAGTGCTGGTTTGTGTCGTGAAATTGATGTTTTTGCTGTTTTTCTGCTTCAATGCTTGGAGTATCTGCTGTCTCAAGAGACAAAGTTTTGATGCTGATGTACTTTGAATGATCAGGTTGGTGATGGTTATCAAGTCTCGGCCGCCCAAGAGATATAAAGTTCTTTCGAGTAGTAAGTTGTGTGGTCGTTCCGCAGGGTATGTCCATTGATCAACGTCAGTTCTCTGCTGCCCCAGAGACGTTGACGGATCGAAAAGGATTCTTGTGAGGTGCAATGATGAAAAACCTCAAGACCGACTGTGTCTGATGACCGAGTCAAGTATCGAAAAGAGTATGTAACTGGTGATCGAAAGATGGTGACTCGCGCGGTAATTGAGAGTATTCGGATCGTCCGTGAAGTTTGGAGTGTGTTCGGATGTGAGTAGATGTGATCGATCCGTTGTCGCGTCAGCTTCGCTGTCTTATCTCCGATGGCCCAAATCGGAAAGACAGTTACTGACACCTGGCACCAACGTGAAGGTGCGACATGCCAGGCTGATTTTTTATAGAGGTTAACTCCTCTTTTCACTTGTGAGGTCGGCAAGTGAGGGCTGGGGGGCGGGCGGCAGTAGAGGTATGCAATGATTAATGCTTCCTTAACCGGGGCAGGATGCGGTGTATTGTCGAAAGGGGGTAGGCGGCGAGAATCTGGCCGGCCTTTAGCCCCATGCAGAAGAGGCGACCGAGAGGGAAAACCAAGACGAGCAACGAGAGACGGCGGCGGCGGCGGCGGAGCCTTAACCAGACGAAGAGCCGAGGTGCCTCTGGCGAGGAGGAAGCTCCCTCAACTCAACATCGGCCGGCGTAGCCTGAAGTAACTCCGCCTCACGCAACCAATCCTCCGAGAAGGGAAGGTCGAAGTTGTCGTCTCGGCCGTAATCGCGGACGGATTTCGGGAGCAGAAATGGCCATGGCCACATCCACCACTGCTCACCGAGCACTTGTCGAAGATTACCCATTGTTCCCAAATCCCAGGGATTCTTATGGAAGAGGCGATGGTGGTATGACCCGTCTGATGAGCGCACACACATGGGAAAGCCAGGCTCGCGTCCGGGGTGCGGGTTGAGAAAGATATCCCACTCCTGACCGGGTGAGTTCATCACCGCCAGATGCTTCCATTTGCCGATCAAAGGCGCCGTGAAGACAAAGTTGATGACCGCGGGCAACATCGCGCATGCCACTGCGAAGGAGTAACCGTGGGATCGGAAACCCCATACCGACAACGACCAGGCGAGCACAACCACTGAAACGGCGTGGAACATCAATATATAGGCCATAGACAGGAGATAGGCCTTGTTGGTCGTCATGCAAACCGGCACCCATAGCCAGAAACACCAGTGGTCATAAAGGGGCAGGCAGCCAATCTTCTTTCCCGAGGCGGCAGTAGCGGGGTGCATCCGGTCCAGGTGAGCTGATGCTCTATGAAGACAGAGTCGATTGGTGCTTGGGCGGTTGCCGTCACTGATGTTCCGGAATGACAGATCCTGGCTTCGCGCAGCCTGCATGATTGGCTTGAGGCCAAAATTGGCGCCAGGTGCCCGAAAACCCCGATGGTATATAAACCAACTTTCCACCCACATGCAGACAAGCGAGGCGACGAGAAGGAACAACACCGAGAGGAACAAGGCCAGCAGCCAGATGGCGGCGGCGCGCACGGAAGGAGCGGACCTGTCTTTCCACTGGGGATGGCCGGTCGGGGGGGCGAGAACAGTTGAGACTGAATAATGGTTAGGGGCTACATGAATACACGAGGGACAACAGAGATGACGTACAAAAGCTCAGGACAAGAGAGGTGTTGGCGACGACGTCCAGGAGCAGGAGAACCGGCATCCACTGACAGAGACGCATGTAGCCGACCTCGACGGCGTATCGGAGCGACTGCCACAGGTTGCGGCGGCGGCGGGGGCGGGCGCGGGCGGCGGTTCCCGGCGGCGGGAGAGTGAAGGCGAAGTTGTCCATGACGACGAATAAACCGACGACGACGACAGCGATGAAGACGGGTAAACGACGAAAACAACGACAGCAGCAGAGGCGGCGGGCAAGCGATGTGTTGACGAGGAAGTTGGAAAGTTCAACGCTGATAGAATAGTTAGCAACGGTTCAAACGCGTGGAGCAGACGCGGGCGAACAAACCGTCTCGTAAACACGAAGAAAAGAAGAAGAAGAAGAAAAGGCCAGTAGGCAATCCGTCGGCGACGAGATAAACACCCACCCAGCTCGCGGCGGACGACCAGCAAAAGTGGGGCGGGTGCCCAGAGACCGGCCAGGCAGAGGGCGACCGAATTCTTTCTCTCAAGAAGGAAGGAACAGTCCCAGTAAGAGCTGGTCTTTCCTTCCTGAAGAGCGCAATACAGGCAGGTACGTGTCCTTCCTCTCACTCTTGCCCCGGCAACGTACCAATATATACAGTCACGCGACTAGAGAAAAATGTTTTCGGGTTCTCTCCAGCCGTCGTGCTGATGTTGCGCCTTCCTAACTACAGATATATCACCTACAAGTTGAAGCTGAGGTAGACATCACAGACGTGGTTCGTTCGGCCAAAGGCGAACTTTGTCTTTGACTCAGTCGGAAATACCTGAAGCTGACCAATTAATTGCCTGTTTATGCCCTTGATATGATCAAAGCTATTCTCTGTCTTATTACCTGAGATAGTCGTGTCAAGCAGACTTCGTGGCCATCCAGACACACATTGGTCTCGTGGAGACATCTGGTTTTTTTGGTCTTCTAGTATGTTTGCCGGAAAAAGTGAAAGGTGCAAGATATTGACCAATCTATATGACAAGAACCGATGCAAAAATGAAGTAGTCTATGTAACCGTTTGGAGGTTGGCGGATATTCTGGATATCTCATACTGTCATTTCAGTGATGCCATGCAATGGATTGGCAACCAACAGGGCTAGGTCACGATTGCCAGCTATTGTCACCGACAACGAGAAACTCGATGTCGGCGAGCTATTTCAAAATACTTATGTTCTTAAATTTCTTGAATTCCACAGCCAAAAGTGATGGACATTACCTAATGAACTTACCATTCGGAAGACGGCATGACGTTCGCTGCTTACATAATATGCGGATGAGAGCCCCCGGCTGATGGAACAGTGACCGGGCCCGGATGGGGCCTACCACGACCTGAGGTTCACACTTAGGGCCGGAGAAGAACCTAAGTGCTCCACAGCCTGAGCACCCTTTACCTTACCTAAGGTCCTACTTAAGCAGCTAATCATGAAGATGATCGATGATCTGGTACCCGGCTCAGGCGGCTAACCTTAACATTCCCAAGTCTAACATCACACAAACACTCCGTTTCCGCCGGACACCAGTTGCAATTGCACTTTGCTGTACAATACAATGTCACAACACTTGGTTCATCCGCGTCTATTTGAAATCTCAATCTATCCAGCGAGTACATATTTAACATTTGTTATTCACATGTTTTCAATAGAGTTCTAGGCGGCAATGGCTTTATGGCTTTTCGCCGTTACCTTGGAAAGGTAAACTTTCGCTATAAGATTCAGAACGAAGTCGGAGATAGTTCGATGAGTAAGGTAGGGAGATAGAACAGGACACGCCTATAAACATCGCAGGTTTCCCATGAATTCGAGGTTGATAACTTCGCACCGCACACCACGCCAGACAAGCAACATCGGTGCCATTCTCATCATGAAGATCAACATAATTCTCACTTTCAGTGCCCTGGCCACGACGGCTCTGGCCGGCCCTTTCGGAAACGACGCCCCAAAACTTGACGGCCTCCCCAAAGATAAAACTCTGCCCTTGCACCAACTTCCGGACTGCTGGCAAGACTGCTTCCAGTCGAATAACAAATGGTTCTTCCACGATATTTACACCATCAGCCAATACGACTTTTGCGAGGATAAGGGGGCGCATAGCCGAAATTGGTATGTCTACCGCGTTGACTATTGCGTCCCCAGGGTCTGCAAGGACCGCGCAGAGCGCCAAAAGGGCAGGAACTGGTACAACGCGATCTGTCGGCAATACTGAAGTCCACTGGGGCATGAAGTCTGGGTTTTCGTGGAAATTTGGCGAGCTGTTCATATCGGCGGTGGGAATCATAATACAGGGCACCCGAAGTTGTTGTAGACGGATTCGAAATGTCTGCAAGCCGAAGCCTCGAAGTGTTCGCACCAAGTCAGGGGTCAAGAACTTACAAAACCCCGAGGAAACGAAAAGAAGATGCCGGCGCCTGGATTGGAAAGGGTATTTCAAGTCAATGTCAAGTCAGTGTAGCCACAAATATACACATAGTAGAGATAATCATAAGTTCTGTCTCTTCTTCTCTTGTTTCTTCAGATAAACGTCTTTGGCACGGCGTATTGTGCAGTGAGCCTCATCGCAAACCGGAGCAGATGGCGGTGGTGGTTTGAACCTAACACGACTGGAACGTGCTGAACCTTGGGTCCTGTCGCGAGTCCCTCGATGTCCTCATGGTGAGACCAAGTATATAAACTCTTGCATTTCCCACTAAATCGATTTTTCTCCCAAGACAACAAATCCCCTACAGTGCAATACACAACGCGCCTAATCATCCCTATACTCGCTATGAAACTCATCGCGCTTCTGGGCGTGGCCGTCTTGGCTGCCACTGCCAGGGCCGGCGAAGGCAAAAATGCCCCAAAGCTGGATGGGTTGCCGAAAGACAAACGCCTACCTCTGCACCAGCTTCCTGAGTGCTACCAAGATTGCATCGAGTCGAACAACAAATGGTACTTCCACGACATCTATACCATCAGCCAGTACCACTTCTGCGAGGACAAGTGGGCACACTTCCGAAGCTGGGACGACTGGCGCATCCAGCACTGCCTTCCACGCGCATGCCCCGACGGAACAGTCCACGAAAAAGCTGCAAATTGGTTCGACGCCATATGTCGGCAGTATTGAAGCCCGAAACGAGACAGATTTGCTCGGACTCGGCCGACAGCTACGACTCACGAGACGACTTGATGCCCGACTCGAATCAAGGTGGCAACGGCAAACTTTTGGATAAAGCCGTTCATCTACGGTTATGGGAGTCGTGGTTGGTTTCATTTGTGCCGACACCGTCAGTCAAAACCGTCAGTCGAGACCATCAGTCTGAATCACCAGACTTAGTCATAGGCGCGGATGGAGAATGGGAGGTGGGGGGACCTCGAACGAAAACCAACGGAACAAAGCTGCCAAGGTTGATGAAAGGTTTTCACCTAATTTCAGCCCACCTCAGTCAAACAAAGTGTATGTGGATTAGTCATGGTTTGAATTGCATCTTCTTATGTTTTGGAGAAACAGAATATTCTGTAGCTTAGAAACCCTTGATCTTTTGAGTCTTTTAGTTGTAATTACATGGACGTTTGTCTGCTCTCCTCTCTTTCTTTCTTAATAACCTGTTCTACACCAAAATGAGAAAAGAAAAAGACGGCAAGTAGGGTTGAAAACCTTATTGGATATTTGGTGAGCTTTCTCCGGATCTCCAAGTTGTGGTGATTCTTTTTGGATTATTGTCGGAGACGGAACTGGCTGAACGACTGGGAGACGAAGAAAAATTGGCCTTCTGCCCAGGGGAAATCCATGCCAGGCTTCTACTAAACCATGTAAAGAAAGGAGAACAAATGAAACCAGGTGAGGCCGAAAAGGGGCTGACACGAAGGGATTATCGCCAGGCTACAAAAAGTAAGGCTTCTCGAATGATTCTCGAAGAAATACATGAAAACTGGCAGTCAAAACGGCGAGGCGGTCCGACCAGGAGAAGACTGGATGCTGCTGACCGGGTCGGGTCGCTCTTCACCGAGGGCGCGCAAGGTGTGGTTCCGAGATGGCGGTCGAGGCCTAAGATTACGAGAGCTTGGGCAAAGTCGAACCACAGTCGGCGGCCTTTTTTGTTTCTTCGGGGCTGAGCCACACGAGGCGTTATAATTGTCGGGAGATCAGGTCGATCCGTGGGGGTTTCTTCATGGAGGATGCGCGGGCGTTGAAATGTCCGCTGGAGAAGCAAAAAAAAAAACGTCAGGGGACCGGACCGTGATCCTGGGGCGGAAGGAACGATTAATTAGGGTCTGGACCGGGGCCGAATCAGGTCTCTTGCAGCTTGCATTGAGGCAAAGAATGAGCTTCTTGCCAAGAATCCGTGTTTAAGGGTTGCCAGGGGCATTTCGGAAATTTGGCATGGGATTGCTGAGGTGATTTTGCAGGTGAGACGCGTGGAAGAACAGCTGGTGATGATGTCATCGTGGTTGAAAAAAATATTTGGGGAAGTAACGACGGTGACCAGGCAACTTCGTTCCTTCCTATGAGTACAGCATTTTTTTTCCGTGGCAGGGGCTAGGCATAGACATCCGAGCCGAATATCCTTTTGAAACTCCCGTTGGATAACACGGCTTCAATGATATTTCATCTCGATGGATGAAGGCTTCCGCCGCCGCTCGAATATTCCCTGTTATTGATTGACACCAGGGCTGATGGTGGGTGATGATTGACGATGGCTGGGTCCAGGGCCGCTGTAGCGGAAGACCGGCACGAGCTGTCATTGGACAAAATGGAGCCGTCGCTCACTAAAAAAGGGGTGGTGGCTCTGGTGGTGGGCCACCCGAAATGTCACCCGTGCCAAGCTTTGGGCGTAGCGTGTCTTGGGTCTTGGGGCTTGCTTGGGACCTGGGGAAGCTGTCTGGCTAATTCTTGGTCTCTGCACCCGATCCGACTGCCCAGTGAAGGACATGTGGGTAATGAACGAGACGTGGGAAGCTGCGAGACTCGGGTTGAGGAGGCCGCCTTCCTCGCAGTCCTCTTTCTCATCGGGGACATTGGGCATTTCGCCCGCAACATGTGCTTTTGACTCTCTCAGAAACGGGAACGAGGCTCGGGCCTGGAAAAGTCATCTCGTTTCTGATGAGTTGTTTTTTCTGATTTGCGGATTTATCTTACTTTTGACCCAACATCCTGATCTCCGATCGAACCACCCAATTACACCCCTAAACATGCCTTGGAACACGTATCCTCGCAAGGAACTCGTTGCACACAGCTTCTGTTCTCGGCCAGGGAGGTGTCTCGACTAGGCAACTTAGCTTGACGGCAGGTACCACTGCTTTTCATCAATACCTATCTCCGATGTCGTCGCTCTCACCTTCCATGATGTAGCTCTCGAAAAGAAAGTACGTACTGGCTACCTTACACCGCACCTTGCCCCGCCTTCCGGCTTCATGTCGCTCAATCACCCCACCTGCCATTGCCTTTTTCCTCCCGTCAGCTACCAGCTCCAACTTCGGACCTTCGTCAGCTACCTTACCTACCTTACCACAAACATCGGGCTTCGATGTAGCTCGCCCCTATCCCGATCTGGCCCTGTCCTTGTCCTCTCCTGGGTTGGTTGCCCCGAGTACCTGATGCGCTGCACTTGCGGTGTTTCCTGGCCTGCGGCATGCAGTGCCACAGTCTCCCACGCCAACGCCCACCTTGACCTCCACGTCAAGCTTGCTTCCGCCGAGAGCTGCCGATGCCCTCTTCTCCTCTCTTCTTTTCTCCCTTCTCTTCATTCTCTCGCCTCCAGAGACCTACTTTTCGACTCGCCTCAGCTCCCTCAAGCTCAGACCTAGCCACAGCCAAAGCTCCAGCTTCCTCTTTCAATATAAACACCGTTTCCCGTCCGCACGTCGTCTCATCTCGAAGACTTCTTCTCACAGCATCCTCATCCGTCTGTTCTCTGTGATCCCCTCCACATACATTCAAAATGGTTCACCTCGCTACCGTCTCCACTCCCCCCGACTCGGGCTCCGAAGTCGAGGACTCCAACAGCCTGTCCAAGGTCATGAAAACCCTCAAGAACGTCCAGCTCCAGCTCGCAGACCACGATGATTGCTACACCACCAGCGTCTATGGCTCTCGCTTCGCCAACCAGGACCTCCCCAAGCGTGAGATGCCTGAGAACGAGATGCCCAAGGAAGTCGCCTACCGCATGATCAAGGACGAGCTCAGCCTTGACGGCAACCCAATGCTCAAGTAAGCGAAGCCAATCTGCAGAGTCCTCTGTCGTCAAAACTGACTTCCGATAGCCTCGCATCCTTCGTGACGACATATATGGTGAGTGAGAAATGACAACAAGCCACCCATGTCTCTCCGCAATTGACCACCCACGCTGACCCCCACTCCAGGAAGAGGAAGCTGAGAAGCTCATGTGCGAGTCCTTCTCCAAGAACTTCATCGACTATGAGGAGTACCCCCAATCTGCCGACATCCAGAACCGCTGTGTCAGCATGATCGGAAAGCTCTTCAACGCCCCTCTGGGAGAGGAGGGTGGCGCTGTCGGCACTTCCTGCGTCGGCTCGTCCGAGGCCATCATGCTGGCCGTCCTCGCCATGAAGAAGCGCTGGAAGCTTCGACGTCAGGCTGAGGGCAAGAGCACCGAGAACCCCAACATCGTCATGTCCAGTGCCGTCCAGGTCTGCTGGGAGAAGGCTGCTCGCTACTTCGAGGTCGAGGAGAAGCTCGTCTACTGCTCTTCCGACCGCTACGTCATCGACCCTGAGGAGACCGTCAACCTCATTGACGAGAACACCATCGGAATCTGCGCCATCCTAGGAACCACCTATACGGGCGAGTATGAGGATGTCAAGGCTGTGAACGACTTGCTTGTGGAGAGGAAGCTCAATGTGCCCATTCACGTCGACGCCGCCAGCGGAGGTTTCGTCGCCCCCTTTGTTGTCCCGGACCTGGAGTGGGATTTCCGTCTGAAGAACGTCGTATCCATCAACGTTTCTGGTCATAAGGTAATTCCCCTCCTACTGCAATCCTGATACCGTACTGACAAACGCAGTATGGTCTCGTGTACCCCGGAGTTGGCTGGGTCGTCTGGCGTGCGGCCGAGTACCTACCCCAAGAGCTTGTCTTCAACATCAACTACCTTGGTGCCGACCAAGCCTCTTTCACCCTCAACTTCTCAAAGGGCGCCTCGCAAGTCATTGGCCAGTACTACCAGCTGATTCGCTTGGGAAAGAAGGGCTACCGCGCCATCATGTCCAACTTGACCCGCACCGCCGATTATCTCTCCCAATCGCTCGAGTTCCTTGGCTTCACTATCATGTCCAAGCGCTCGGGTGAGGGTCTTCCCCTCGTCGCGTTCCGCCTGCCTGAGAAGGAAGACCGGAACTACGATGAGTTCGCGCTGGCCCACCAGCTCCGCGTCAGGGGCTGGGTCGTGCCCGCCTACACCATGGCCCCCAAGACCAACGACCTCAAAATGCTCCGCGTCGTCGTGCGCGAGGACTTTAGCAAATCCCGTTGCGACGCCCTCATCACCGACATCAAGCTCTGCATGGGCTTGTTGGAACAGATGGACCAGGAAAGCATCAAGAAGCAACAGGACTTCATCCACAAGCATCACCTCACCAGCTCACAGTCGTCCCATAACCACCCAAAGTTCAGAGTTTGTCCACACCCACGCGAAAGAAGCACCGGGAACTTGATGTCGCTGACCATTGCAAACAGAAAGAAAAGCATTCCCTGCAGGGTAAGACTGGCAAAACGCATGCCATCTGCTAAGGCTTTCCGAGGATGCTGTCACAAAGAAAGTAATCTAAGACACGAAATAAACGACTGACATGATACACAATGGTTGACTGGCTGGCTTGGGCGGATGGAATAATAGGGCTGGCTTAGCAACTTGGAAAGAGGCGTCCTCGCTTCGTGGAGTGATTGTTGGAAGAGATGGAAGTAGATTTCTGAGACGCAAGGAAATAAATTGGATCAAAGGTCTTTGGCCACTGCATCGTGATTTGAGGCTGTATTTGACTTACTATCCTATCGACTGCTGATGGACTGCAGTATATACTACCCCCATCTATCTTCACTATTACTCTAACTTCTCTTAACTATAAAATTCGCTATTAGTTACAAAAAAGCTGTATATTAGTCTGATTGGCTAGAACTCTGCACGTTAAGTACTGCAGTCCATTAATAGTTGATGGGATAGGTTCGGCCTGGCCTCCCCGGCTCTCCCGAGCATACGTGCGACCGAAGACCTTGACCAGGTTGAGTTTTTCAATAACAGTTCAACTGCTGTCCTTTTGTTTTATTGTGTGATCGCACCGGCCCAAGTCCTAGTATTAAGGAAAATATACATGCAGCTCGCATTAGTAAACCGCCGTAAAGCTCATACAGAGCCGGGCACCAGGTCATTTTTACAAATCGGATTAAAAACAAGAACTCTAATACGCCTTCTAGCCTTCCATGTCTTTGGCATAAATCATGACGACCCTGGCCAGGGTCATCCCATAGACGGCCGGGAAAGCTATGATACTACCTCTGCCGTTTCCAGCTCAAGAAAACTTCCACTCCTGCAAAGCCAACTCCCGCAAATCCTTAGTTAATCCCTCAGGGCACTCCAAAGCAGCAAAATGCCCAGCCTCATCACGTTCTACCACCCAAAGCAAGTCAGCACTCAGTACCACCGCGCCTTTCGTATGAGCATCATTAACTCACCTCGGTAAAACACCAGATTCGCAGTTCTCTCGACAGATCTCTTCGACGCCGGCTGAGAGTCGTAAAAGAACGATGTGAAACCAAAGGGGACGGTAATACGATTATCTGGGTGCGTCGCGGCCTCGGCGAACTGGTGGTGGCGGACGTTCTCCACGTACGGCAGCATGGAGGGCATGATGCATTCACTGAAGTAGTACAAGCTCACGGTGGTGAGAATGTCTTGCGTCCAGGACGGCTTGGCGAGGGTCGATGGGTTGGCTAGTTCCTCGTACTTCTCGCCTACCCACATGAGGATGCCCATGGGGTTGTCATGGAGCGCGAGGCCTATGGTATGGGGCTGGAGAGTGTGGTCAGCAGCGATCAAGACTTTCCTAAAGGCATTCCTTACCCGAGTTCTCATACAGACAGCATACCCAAGATGATTCTCCAACCAATCCGCCACCCTCCCCGCCAGTCTCCCCTCCCTCTCCGTCACACCCACCTCACCAGGCGCGATACTCGGCGCAAAGTTACAATGCACGACCTTACACGAGTCCGTATACTTCGACCCGAGCTCCCTCCCGACCCAGTGCGCCCAGTCTCCGCACTGCACCATATACTCCTCGTACCCCAGCCTCTTCATCAACACATCAAAGATCCGCGCGTTATCCTTCATCGTCCAGCCTTTGCGCGGCGGCCAGGAGGACCAACAGAAGCCCGGCATGTTAGGCGCCACGACATTGAAGGCGGGCTGGCCGGCGGGAGGGTTGGAGAGGGGTTGCCAGAGTCGGTGGAATTCGTAGAAGGAACCGGGCCAGCCGTGGACTAGGAGGATTGGGATCGCGGATGAGGGGTCTGGGGAGGGGATATGCGCGAAGTGGATTGTGACAGACTCGATTTCGGTGAGGTATTGGGGTGTTGCGTTTAGGGATGCTTGGGCTGCGGGCCAGTCATAGTTATTTTTCCACTCATTGAAGAGAGTTTCGGCCCAGGTGTATGATGGGCCTTTGGGGTTGAGTTGGTTAGACTCAGGACTTCAGGTTGAGGAGGAGGTGGGATTACCGTAGTCTGATCCTGCGCCGGGTACGATCTCGCGGCCTGGGAGTCTGGTGTCATTGAGTTTCCTCTTGAGGCGCTCAACCTCCTCTGCGGGGACATCAACTTTGAAAGGTCTGATTTCGGACATCGTGATGAAGCTGTTGAGATAAAAAGAATATACTAGATCTGTTAATAGCAAGATTGTGAGAGAAATTGAGAATGAGGTTCGATACAGCAACGACTGCTATTTGGTGAATTCCGAAGACTATACAAAGAATCTTTTATACATGGCTGGTGGTCACGCTTCGCCGTTGAAGTTCAGACGTGATGCGGGGATCGTTCGGACGTTTTCCGCGTTTCCCGATTTCCCGAAATCTGGAGCGCGGCCGGTCCGGACCGAGCTCCGACTACCTCAGAACCCGGGGGTCGGCCCCATAATTAACGTGCGGTGTTGTTCAACTCCGACGATCTGCATCGGTGAAATGACGAGCTGCCGAACATGTCGACCACGGCCAACCGCGCCTGGCCCCGATGCTGCTTGATAGAAGGAACAGATTCTGGAAAGACCCAATGAGATGTCGCCACAGGTGAACACGCACATCCACTTCGGCTTGGCTCGAACGGTAGGCGAACAGCAAGCCGCGGCGCAGTCTCGTGGGGCATGTAAGCGTGCATGGTGCAGAATGTGTCGGGGCAAAGTGCACTTTGACTGCAATTCTCGTTGGCTGTTTTGGCAACGGATTCTGGCAACGGCCAATGGTATGAGAAGTCCACTACCCGCGCCAGCTGCGAGGCAACTGGATTGCTGACTGAAGCAGATTTCGGAACGAGCCAATAATACGCTGTTGGACTCAATGCGGTAAATAAGCTATGCGCGATACAAAGCCAGCTCCACCCCCCGCAGCCAGAGCCTCGTTGGAATGACGACCACAACGCCGAGCCCAGTCATTTGCCGTCCCGGCTTTGAATTCTCCCATTTTGAACTGACACTCTTATTCTGCTTGTAATCATTGTTCTCGGCCACCATGTCTTCCCGGGCAAGGAAGGCTGCCATCGACTATGCTGAATGGGAACGTGTAAGACCCATCATCCATCAGCTTTATCTGGTGGACGGCAAAACCCAGAGAGATACACTCAAGATTCTCAGCGATTACCACGGCTTCAGCCCAAGGTTAGTAACTACCAGAATGCTTTTAGAAGACGGTGGCTAATACTCGGTCACAGCAAAGCCCAGTTGGAGAGAAAACTCAAACAGTGGCGCATGGTCAGAAACATCACAGGACCGGAGTGGAAGTACGTGGACAGAGTCATACGTCAGAGGCAATCCCGTGGCAAAAGCAGCCAGCTGTATCTTTCCGGCATACCACTGCGACCCGCGGCCGTCGAAAAGGCGAGGTCTCGTCATTGTTATGAGACTGCTATCGAGAAATGCAAGCCAAGTAAGCGACATATCCTCTATTCCTACGGGCCGCTCCCCACCTACATATTCCCAAGAAACCAGGGCTGATTCATCAGTCAAAGCGCCTGGGTCATCATTTCCAGAGGACCTCCCGTTAATCGTCCGTACCCCGTCCCCACTGGAGCAAAGACGTGAGGACTACTGTCAGGTTGTCCCTTGGTTGGAGTCGATGGACTTTCTCAAAGGTAAATTCATCTTCAAAATCCCAAAATCCCAATGTGTCTTATTCACTCGCTTTTCCCTGGTATGATGCTGATACAGCTGCACATCTCAAGGCCTCACACTGATGATGCCCCGCTCTAGACGTGGGGCGGACAATGCTCTCCAGTTACTCGGCATTCGGCTCCTGGACCTAGTACCCGATTACGTTCGACGTGTTCTGACGCACACTGCCCGACTTCAATGGACCTATCAAGCCCTTTGCTTGATCATGCCAGGGCGCTCGCGAGAAGACCACATTACTAGGGCTGAAGCCGTTTTGCATCAGGCTGACTTCAGCAGCCCTGAAGTTCTAGAAACAGTCTTCTTCCTCCTTTCCAATGGTTTTCTCAATGAACTGTCGAAAACATCCAACGGAAAATCAATCCAAATCATTAACTCCCTTTTCGAGCTGTTGCATAAATCAAATGGCTGGGCAGTGATCACTTCACAACCGTATTCGCAACTTCCGTTGAGCCTACAAGCTATCCTGGACCGACTCTTCATAGAGGCAGTCGAAAGATTCGACTTGAAAGCCGTTCAATTCTTACTCCAAGCAGGGGTAGATATCAACCAGCATTTTGTACCTAGAGGCATGTTCCGCGAATACGAAGTCTCTTGGTCAATGACGCCATTCGAGTACGCAGCAATGCTGTGTAACGGAAAAGCGACTACCTTTTTCGAGGATCACGGGGCCGATATTGCATCTTCCAGTAACTTAATGAACGGTCTACCCCATATCCTCTCCCAGTCGCTGCTGAAAAACAGGGAAACGCTTCCTGTGGTAAAGCTGATTCTCTCATATTTCGAATATCGTCCGGAATTGGAACAGAGCATTCGTCGCGTGCTTCATCAGTTGGAAAAGTTTGGAAAATCCCCCGTTCCTGAAGCACTGATTGAATACTTTGGAGGAAAAGTCGTCGCAGCTGAGTCGATTTCGCAACTGATTGTTACGGCAATCAGGACCGAAAGCACGTCGGTCCCAGGTCTGCTTCTGCAATACCCAGAACATTTTGATGAGCCGAATCTCTACGGAGACAGGCCGTTGACGGCGGCGGCTAGCCAAGGCAATGTGCGAGTTTGCGAAGAGCTACTTCGACTCGGGGCTTCCTTGGAAGTCAAACCAAAGCGCCTAATACCGTTCAACATACCTACGCCGCTCCAATGCGCCGCATACTATGCTGATGCAAGAACTGTTCGTTGCTTTCTGAATGCAGGGGCCCAGATCAATTTCGAACAATCCACGGACGCTCTACACATACCACAGCCAGGGTCTTTGTGTTTTCGTCAACGCTTGAAATTGGCAGACCATTACGTGTCATTAAGTAGTGTAGGGAGAACTGCACTTCAAGCCGCCTTGCTTGGAAGGAATAAAGATACGGCGCAGCTCCTCCTTGCCGAGGGGGCCGTGTTGCTCGGCGAGGAGCTTGCGATCTCCATCAGGACTGGTCTATCAAAGCTCGTCAACCCATCTTGGAACAGTCAAGCCCCTTCTACGTATAAGACAGCCTCGTCTGGCTTATTGGCGTCGACACTCGAAGCTGCCATCATTGCTGGGGATCATGAAATGGCAGCACGTGAGCTCAACGAAAGTCCGTTATCCGTCACACCTGAAGCTCTTTATGCCGCAGTTTGGTTTACCAATTTAAAGTCCGCTTCTGGTATCGCCTTTGTGAGACGGATCTTGGAGCAAGGTGCGGGACTTCAACATTCCACAGACCATTGGGTCGGTACAGCAATGTCGTTGGCTGCAGCACTTGATTCAATCGAAGTCGTTGAGTTAATGCTGAGTAGCGGACTTCGGCCAAAGTCTTCTCTACCTAGGACTAAGGCCTACCTTTTTGAACCTATTTGGCAAAAAAGATCCGACCCTGGCACCAGTCAAACTGAAGAGGTTTACCTCGAATGGCTCTCCGCAGTTTTCGTCCAATATGACGATGGCGAAGGAATTTGGCCAATACTTGACGAAGCTGCCTACCAAGGACGACACGACTATTTAGATCTTCTTCTAAGTCATGGTTACGAGCCTACAACCTCTTGTGCAGTTCGAGCGGCGCGCAGGAGAACCTCTACGTCTGTCACTACTCTTCAGTTTCTTGACAGTCGTGGCTTCAAAATGACACAGTATGTTCTGTCTGGTTCCATATTGTGGGACGATATGGCTAGTATTGAATGGCTACTTTCAATGGAATTGGATCTGAACGAAGAGGCCAAGCAAGTTGGGAAAACGAGCTTTGGACTATTCGAGAGAACGGCTGTGCAAGCGGCTGCCGAAAAAGGGGACCTCGCTCTTCTTGATAAGTTGGTCAGTCTGGGGGCGGATATAAACGCACCAGCTTATTACAAGCAGGGCGCCACAACTTTACAAGTCGCCGCTATCCAGGGGTATTTCGAAATCGTCCAAAGGCTATTAGGACTTAGTGCGGACCCCAATGCAGATGGTGCTAAGCTATTTGGACGGACAGCTCTCGAAGGTGCAGCCGAACACGGACGACTTGACATTGCGAAGCTCCTTCTGAATTCGGGCGTTGAGACAATTGGACCGGGTCGCCGTCAATTTGTCCGAGCTATTGCTTTCGCAAAGAGCGAAGGCCATACTGCTGTTGCGACACTACTTAAATCTCATAGGCCATGGACTGAGGCTGATCAGGAGATTTTCGATGAGGACCGTTTGCTTCACGGCGATCAAACATCTCAAAAGGAGCCAGACCGTCAGTCTCTTGACCAAAACGTCGAAAATAGTACGGAGCTCCGATCTGATGCGATCTGCTGCAACCCTCATGAGCTATATGAGGAACCAATTCCCTCGTCGACTTCTGAGCCCTCGGAACTACTTGGACAGACCGGAAATGGACGGACCCCTGGGTTTGTGACGGAACGCGATGATCAAACCCATTCAGACGACGGCTACATCGAATCAGACATGGAGTCTTTGGGTGTCGTTCACGGCGAGGCGGAATTGTTAGGTATGCCTGCTACTCAAGAAAGCTTAGGGGAAGCCGAGAACGCCTTCCGGCCTTCGGGGATATTCGATCAGGTCAAGAAAGATCTAGAATCAACGGGCGAGGGGGATGGAATTTGGACAGAGGCGTACGACGCGTTCTCTCAGGAAATAATTTACTAGGATGCTGGCGTTAGGTCGGATGAGGGAGGCAGACGCCCCAGGCTGCTGTATAAATAAGATGCCTCATATGGGATTCTCTTTCTTGACAGGCGGCAAAGGATAGCACAGTGTTGACGAGGAGTCTCATACCACCAAATACCATCGAGCGTTTGGCTATTCCGTTTAGGAAACAAGGGCGAATCAAAAGACTCGGGACTTGCACAGCGAGAGAGCATTCATGCTATACCGCTGCAGCGCTTCCGCAAGTACAAGGCGCCTTGCCAAGTTACCCAAATCAACTAGTCAAAGTGATGCCATCGCCGCCGCCAATTAGTCAATCCTATATCCCTCGATTGACTTAAAATACCTAATTATTTCACTTCTGGCTAATGAGAGGCTATAGATCAGCCTGGGCCCTAGTTATTCGGGCATCTCCAGCCTCTGAGACATGACGCTGTTACCAACCTCACGATGTTTATATATCTTAATGTGGTTTTACTAACTGCCCTCATATTATTAGATAAAATCTAATCCTTTTGAAAATCTCTAAGGGAGTAGAAGTAATCGCAGCAGTTCAAATGGTATATATAAGCCTGCGATTGGTCGCCACTAGTAAGAGTTATTAATCATCCTATCTTCTACTCATCATTTTCAGCCATTTTCATCTACTTCAACTTCATACTTATAATGTTAACTGCTGCCACTACTGCCACTACTGCCGCTGCTAACGCGTATGAGATCTTGGGTGCCCCACGCCTCCGGATCTCGACGCAGATCGCGGAGGCTCTGATAACTGACCCGCCTCTGAATCCCACGATTAACGACCTCTATCCCATCGTCGTTGGCAGTCGGAAGTTTGTTCTTGAGGAACAATTATCGCGAAGGCGTGGCCGTGGCCGCTCTAGCTGGATCCGAGAGCATGGTGAGTTCCTCGTCGAGATTATTCAGGGTCGTGCCGGCACGTCCTTTTGGAGTTGTCGACGATGCGACGCAAAGGGGTCTCCCCGTCTGTTTGGCGCTGCCGCTACCTCTGCGCCCCAAGAGCACTTACTTCGGTATGTTATCCCCAGCTTCCCTCCTATATAAATCACATACTGATAAAGCTGTAGTGGCCACAACGTCTGCAGGATCTCTGCGCAGTCAGATGAGGACTCTGACGGTTGCACCCTCGTCACCTCATCCCCTCCGTACAAACGACCCCGCCCTAACAGCAACATCCCGAAGTCCAAGATCATGACGATGAGGGACCTCTGCGTGGCCTCCGTCGTCTCTGCTGATCTCCCATTCGTCCACTTCGAGAACACCTACGTGCAGCAGATGTTTCGGTACCATAGTATGGAGGTCGCCGGGGAGATCCCGTGGGGCCGGACGGCGATTCGGGACCGTCTTGATGACTTCTGCCAGCGCGGAGAGGCTCTCGTGAAGTCTGAACTTCACTCTGCGGCCTCAAAGATACACCTTTCATTCGATCTATGGTCGTCACCGAATATCTACGCCTTTATGGCAGTCACTGGCCATTTCATCCATGCTGACGGTACCACGCAGTCCCGTCTCTTGGCCTTCCCGCAGCACCACGGCAACCACTCCGGCCGCAGCCTCTCGCAGACCCTCATCGACGTTGTCGACCGGTATGACCTCCGTGCCCGGGTCGGCGTAACGGTCTCCGACAACGCTACGAACAACGACACTTGCCTCCAGGCCTTCTACCAGACCATCTCTCCAGAGATGATGGTGGACGACGTCAAGGCCCGGCGTATGCGCTGCTACGGCCACATGCTGAACCTCGCTGCCCGGGCCTTCCTGTTTGGCGCCGATAAGGAGACTCTGGAGGCGGAGTCGGACTTCTTCCGGCTTTGCGATCGATATGACGATGACCTGGAGCTTTGGCGGAGGCTTGGGCCCGTGGGCCGGCTCCGGAACATCGTCAAGTTCGTTAGGTCCTCTCCACAGCGAACGGAGCGGTACCGGAAGGCTGCAGCGGAGGTTGACGGAGACTCCGACTTCCGGATCTTCTCTAAGTCACGCCGGGAGGCCCAACTTATACTGAACAACGACACTCGATGGAACAGTACGTATCTCATAATCGAGAGGGCTGTGAAGAAGAAGGCAGAGATTCAGGCATTTTTATTGGCTAACAACGACGACGACGACGTTGCCCAGCATATCCCAGAGAAGGATCTACTCTCTGGCGAGGATTGGAAGGTTCTCGCAGAGATCGGGATGATCCTTGAACCCTTCTATCGCCAGACGAAGCGGTGTGAGGGCTGGGGTATTGATGATGGGCATGGTCGACTCTGGGAGGTTACGATGGGTATCGAATACCTTCTCTCGCATCTTGTCGACTGGAAGATCTATTATAACGCCAGCATATCTCCCAGTATCAGCAATGATGATGAGGGTGACTCTCAGCAGTCGCAGCAATCTCAGAAGCGTGCCGGCCGGGCACAACGACGCCGTCAGCACAACCTCCAAGCCCTACCTGATCATGTACGCAAGGACTGGGCATCGCCAGCCTCTCGATCTGCCTCCCGATTTGAGTCTCTCGATGAGGAGTGGCAGACCTTCCTCCGCAGCAGCGTTGAACAAGCGTGGCAGAAGCTCTTTACCTATTATGAGAAGCTTGGGGACTCCCCACTCTTCTCTGGTGCGATTATACTGCACCCGTTATACGGCATCTCATACTTATGAGATATATGGTGTGAGGAACACCAGGAGGGATGGGTGGAGAAGGCTCTGAAGTCTCTCACAGAGTACTTCGATTGGTGGTATTGTGAGCCTGCCGAGGTCTTCCCCTCCAGCTGGCAGGCCGGCATACTGCCCGTTGATCCCGGGGCCGGGGACGGAGAGGATGTGCACTACCGGCAGTGGGTCAACAGCCGGCGCCGGCAGACGCCGCCCAGGACGGATGAGCTCGATCTCTACCTTCGTCAGCCTCCGGAGGCTACGTCTGATCCCGTCCGGTGGTGGAGGGACCATGCGGAGACGTTCCCGGCACTCTCCCGGCTTGCCCTCGACGTCTTCGCAGTGCCGGCGATGGCGACGGACTGCGAGAGGGCTTTTAGCACTGCTAAATTAACCCTTACCTCTCAGAGGCTCTCAATGCTGCCGGGCACTATAGAGACCATCCAGCTCAGCAAAAACTGGCTGCGGAGAGGCGTCCTTTCGCCTGTGAACTTCGGGTTATTGTCACCATGAGGAATAGCCTCACTTTTTTCTGATTAGTCAGGATATTGCACGTGTTTTTATATAGTAATTAAATTGTATTAATTGCAAGTTCACTAAGTAGTTAAATCCTAGAAAAAAAAAAGTCAATTTAGCAAGTATGGGGGTCGAAATTGACTTGATTGTACTTGCGGTAGCGCTGTACCGCTGTCTCTCATCTCCGTCCTTGGCCTATTCCAGGGAACGTATTCATGTACACCAAATGTCGAGCACGTCGGCGTCGCGACAGTAGTCACCTCAACCCCGTGGCAACAGTCACGTAAACCTTGCGACAACAGTCACAAACACACGGGCAGATATGAGCTTGCCAAGATTTTGCGTCCACAGAGACTCATCCGCCTGTTGTCTGGTTCGAGATCTAAACCGTCACATCCCTCGCTTTTATACCGCTATGAGCCTGGATCTGCCCCTAAGCATGTCTTCCCACGCATTGTCACGAAGTTCATGATGTCCCGAGAAGAACGTCGCGGATCATAACCAGCTGATCCCAAACAAGCTATAAAAGTGTCAGCACATCAGCGTTGTCCTTGGTTCCGCAGCATTCATCATCGCCAGATGTTTCCACTTCCGCGAGTCTCCGGTCTAGTTGAGATTTGCTCTAGACCAAAGCCATGCTCAAACATCGGAAAAGACTCATGCAACGGGAATGCAGAAGTTCTCCAAAGCACAGCGTGTGGGCTGAATAACATGGAATCAACAGGGGACAACGAGAACGGACGACGGAGACAGTTCGTTTCTCGCGAGGAATCCCAGACGACGGTAGTCATCTACGTGCACACACGCGCAGTCATAATCAGCGGCGATCACCAGGGCTTTCAAGTCTTCCATGAAGACATACCTGCTGTCAATGGCCTAATTGTTTTGCTAGTTCAGATCCAACACGTCCATCCCTTATATACCCCCCTTCATCATGCAACTGCAGCACCGCAGACGACGTACCGATCCCACATGACATAACACGTTGTAAACACCTCTCCATGCAGACGAAGAATCTGTCGGGACAACTTGTGCATCTTTCTTCGGGCTGGTCTCGATGCTAGAGAACGGGAACATCGTCAAGGGTCTTGCAATCAAACGAATCCCTCGAGAACGCCAGCGATCCCGCATCACACCTTATAAATGCCACCTCTCCATGCAGACAAGAGATCTGCCAGGTCAAGTGGCGCGTTGCAAGTCTTATTGCTAGAGAACGATGACATCTCCAAAGGTCTCCGAAGCAAACGAACCCTACGACGCAGTTTGGCCCATCGTCACGCCATACACATCTCCAAATCCAGCGCCATCATTTCAGCACAACCTCAAGTGATATACACGACAGCAATACCGCAGGACCGACAACAGTGTTGATGGATAGAGTCGGAGTTGTTGCTCTGATCAGTCGCCGAGATATTTCCAACACCGCTACTCGTCGTCCAGGGAGTTAGAACACTCATCCAAGATCTTACGAAATCGAGTTGTCATGATACTGTTATCAAAAGGCCGGACAGATTCTCGCAGCTTGTAGATCCTACAAGGAGCTGTAGATGGATAGCTTATATAGCAACGCGCCATTCATCATGTTCATTCTATTTTGTTATGATACATTCCAGCCGTATCCCAACGGCGCAGCCCGACGCGAGGTCAATATCTCAAGCCTCAAGCGCCTTGTACTTCGCGACAACACCATCAATCTCCTTCTTCAACACCTCTTTCCTCTCCTCAGAGCACCAACTACCCTCGACAGACCCGATCGCAATGCCCTCCCACTCAGCGATCGTCAAACCGAAAGCCTCCTGCACGGCGAGGTAGTTCTCGAGGATGTACCCCCCGAAATACGCCGGGTCGTCGCTGTTGATGCTGAACCTCACCCCCTTATCCAAGAACGCGCGGATAGGCAGGTCCTTGATCTCGCCGACGCCCCTCAGCACCACGTTCGAAATGGGACACAGGCTCAGCAGCGTCTTGGTCTCCGCCAGCCTCGTCATGAGGGCCTCGTCCTCGGTCGACCGGCGTCCGTGGTCGATGCGCTGCACGTCGAGGTCGTCCAGCGCCGAGACCACAAACGCCGCAGGGCCCTCCTCCCCCGCGTGCGCCGTGCGCCGGACCCCCGCCTCCCGGACGGCGTCGTAGATCGGCTTAAACATCTTTGGTGGGTACGGCGCCTCGCTGCTCGACGCGCCCACGCCGGCGATGGTACCGTCCGCGAAGTGGCCCTTCTCCTTGGCCTCGAGGAACATGCGCAGGCCGTCCTCGACGGGGCAGTGCTTGAGGAAGCAGACGATGTACTCGACCGTCATGCCGAAGTCCGCCTCGGCGCGGCGGCGCGCCCGCCGGAGGCCCTCGACGACGGTGTCGTAGGCGACGCCGCGGCTGGTGTGCGCCTGGGGGTCGAAGAAGACCTCGGCGTGCCTGACGTTCTGCGAGTGCGCCTTTGCGAGGTAGGCGTACCCCAGCTCCTCAAAGTCCGTGACCGTGAGGAGCACGGAGAATCCGATGAAGTAGTAGTGCAGGAAGTCGTCGAGGGAGGTGAAGTTGCGGTAACGCTCGTACAGCGCGTCGACGCTTGCGAAGGCCGGATCCTTGTCGGACGGCAGGGAGATGTTGTTCTGTGCGGCGAGGTGGAACAGCAGCTCGGGCCCCAGGGAGCCCTCGATATGTATGTGGTGCTCGCATTTGGGCAGATCGACAAGGAAATCGTGGAGTTTGTCCTTGGACATTGTTGGCAGGTATCACCTTTCTCCGGGTGAAGTTGATGGCTGGGTAAGTCGGCTCGAAAGGGATGGTGCGCGGGTGAGTTGATGAGACCAAAGGTTGAGGCAATTGGTGGTGTAGACAGAGATGTTTCACCCGAAAAAGTTTGCCCAAGTGTCGACGTTTCTGCTTTGTGGTTCACGACGAAAATAGATCTCGTGGAAATTCTAGAAGTATTGAAGACGAACGCACGGCTTGGTACGTCTCTTTTGATCTTCAGCGGACGTTGAAAGTTTCTCAAAACCTTGGATCATGATTTGGTGAAGCGCAACCATCGTCTCCATCAAGCTATCGTTACGTTATCAGCCGGATGGATGGCCCCTCATCCTGTTCGGCGAGCGCCGCGTCTTTTCGACGGAGGCCGGCGAAGCGTCGCTCGCCGAGGTGGCTAGGCGTTAAGAAAGCGCTTCATCCTCTCCGCGACGGTGGTTGATCGCTTTATGGCCCGACCGCCCTTTATGAGTAATTAGTATCTAGCGTGATATTGAATCTCTTCTGCAACGGCTTGATGGGCCCTCGAAAGGTAGGCGGAAACCGAACGCCCTTCTCGGGCCGGAAAAACGACGACTCAAAACATATCCGGCACTGTCCAGGCGCAAGAGGACGCGAGAACGAGGCTGAAGACGAAGGTTCCCCTGGCCAGAGAAACTTCCCGAGCGGCGGATGCGGAGGCGAGGCATCGCCAGAATCCCCAGCAGTTCAACCGTTTGCCAGTTGCGAGTGGACCAGCCCTTTCGGGCCCGCGACGGCCTTGCGGCATTAAACGCACGACCAGCGAAGCTGTCGAACGACAAGACGGTTTGAAAAATCCATGTGAAGCGAGCTAAGAATTGCATCGACGTGGGAAACATGAGATGAAATGTGACCTCTGACGAAACAAGCTCCGCAAAATCAAGCACTCTCGCTCGCGTGTTGCAACGGTCATGTCGCAGCATCGCGCAGCGCACCGCAGCGCAGCGGACACTTTCTCGTAGCCTCTAGTCGAACATTCACAGGTATCTTGCCTCCATCGGTTGCGATGTCGATGCCGGGAGCCCGCGAGCCGATATGGCATGTCACAGACGGCAGGGCAGATGCTTAGCATCGTAGATGGCAACAATGACGTGCATGGCTGCGAGGGCGTCGTTATTGTGCGTGCACACCCATGAAGACAGCCGAGTAGATGGCGAAACAGCTCGAGTTGCATGCGGTCTTGACCAAGCGTTGCTCTGCGTGCCATGGCAGAGTTTCCTCTTTTCTTTGCTCTTGTGAAGTCATCTCAAACGTTGTTTGGAGGTCTCATGTCTGTCTTCTTTAGCGACCCGGTAACGGCTGTCGCGACTCCAAGGTCACCCAGCGTGTCTAAGTCAGATTCTCTGATGCACCGCAGCCCGTACCTGGTCGACTAGCGACCGGGTGTCTCTCGGATCATCCCATGCAGGATTCTATTCCATGGACGGAAGGGGCCTGCCGCCCCAAGGTCCAGACCTTTGACATTGCTTTTTCTTGTCGCAGAGGGCGAAGGGCTCAAGAACCTGCCGATTCCCCGGTTATTTCTTACTGGGACTGACGTGCTGGCTGGTACAACCAAATTCGCTGGTCAGCATCTCGTAGGGATCATCCCAGGGCCCAGTTCGACGTCAATCGGCTGTCGTGAAGGCTGATCAGTGATCCCGGTGTTGGACTGCAGGGGCATGTCGTGGGCCTCGCGGGACAAGGAATCCGCGAGAACGAAAAAACCGCAGACGACCAGGGCGCAGTGGGCAGATCCGTCGGGTCGTGGAGGGACGAAGCAAGGCGTCTGATGGAGGGCTTAGTCGGGACTAGAGGAGGAGGAGAAGGAGGGCAAGAAGGAGGCCATCCTGCCCGCATCGTTGAAACTTCTGGATGTTATTCCCAAGCGCCCCAAACTTGTCAGATGGCGGCCGAACGCGCCCTCTCAGGCTGTTGCTCCGAAGTGTGTTGTAGGAATGACCTCCTGGTCTGGTCTGCCTGGTCTGAGCCACCTCTCATGAAGGGTCCCTTGGCCCTTGACGTCCTTGATTATCGGCCCCGTCCTTGCTGGCACGGGCAATCCCACGGTACCTGTGACGTGAGCCGTCGCAACCACCGATCTCCAACCGAAAAGAAGCCTCCGCCAGCTATACATGCAAAAGCTTATCGCCAGAAATAGCTCCCAAGGCCGTGTTTGATGGGAGGATGGGTTATGCCGTCTTTCATCCCTTCATCCCTTGTGCGTCTTTTTAAGCTTGTCATGGCCGTTTCCGTGCGCGCGCCTGGTGCTTGTGCGCAGCAAAAAGTCAACCCGTTGCCCAAGTTCCTGTGTTCTAATTCTGTCCGTTTGAAGTCGGCAACCACCATCTTGTCAGACTTTGAATCTTTCTACCTTATCCAAAGAGTTGGGATGTAACCGCAAACCTTTTTCTCGAGAGATCGGCGGCACGCTTCGGTGGCCACGAGGGATTCAAACTTCATACCAACGCACCCGTACTCCGTGCTGGACCCGTCCCGGCGTCCTCCCGCCGTGTCTGGATCGAGCCCGCAGGCGAGGATACTCCCGGTCGGGACCCCATGCATCCCCCACTGAAAGGAATGTGGGAATCACCAAGAGACACCAGCCCCAGCTTCATGCAAGCAAGGCAAGCCGGCATCTGGGCATTGCTGGCCGCGCTGTTTCATTCGGGCTTGCTGACCGCCTGTTGGCAATAACTGCCGCCATGGAGCCAAATCTCTCTCTCTCCGCACATCTTCGTCGGGTCCTGTTGCCCCAATTCGTTCTTCGCTAAAACCAAGCAGAGCTAAATTTCCAGCAGCTGTTGACCGAGTGTTTCCGAGCATCGATTCCGGCAACGATTGCGAGGCGACCTGACTCCTCGTGCAGGTTGTTGCCGACATTGCGCGGGCGACGCTATGCCCTGTTGATCGCGTTGATCCAGGGCCGAGAACAAGCGTTATATCAGATTGGCAAGTTGCCCCCGTGTACGTCCTGAGTCTGAGCCGAGCTACCACACATGGTCTCGTCACACTGCATAGCGTTGTGTTCCGTTGTGCACTCAATTTAAGCTATGCGATGCGATATTGTCCTCACCCGTTGTTGTGTCCCTCGCAGGTTGCGACGGCAGTGGTGGTACGCCACGGGACCATACCGAAGAGATGCTAATCCGCGGTCCTCGGCCCATGGCACGATCGACATGAAGGCGCCACGCCCAGCTAGACCCAATGTCCAGTGTTACCTGGATTGGTGGAAAGGGATGTTCGTTGGTGAATTACCAGTTTCTGGGAAATCCAGACTTTAGGCTTGAGTTTGACAGCAAGGTCACCACCACCAGCGCTGCCGAGTTGTATGCGGGGTTGCACACCAACTTCCGTATTGCCTGGTCTGTTTGTTGATCACGCTACCCAGGACGCTGTTCCCTCCCGGCGGGAATACCGAATGGCACCTTCATGCTCAGGCTCAAGCCCAGGGCGACTGATGGCGTTCTCCGCGTTGCCGTGATTGACCGACAATGGGCTTGCTTGCCTCCTACTCGAGCTGATGCAACAATGCTTGCAGTGTAACGCGCGCAGTCCTTTGTCGGTTTCGGTGCTTTGAGAGGGTGTAGTTGAGGGGACCGGAGGATGTGCCAGTTTCGATGCTAGAGGCCGCGCCGGTGACGGGATGCTGCCAGACTTAGACTCGACCTCGCTCGGCTATCACCCATTGTCTAGACGCTAGCGAACCAGATAAACTGGTGGAGGGCTGGTCTTTGGATTCGCTCCTCGGACGGAACCTGGCAAGTTACTCCTCCGGGCTGTCATGTTTCACCTGGGCCGACAAGCATTGAGCTCGAGCCAGCTTTGCCAGGTACGCCAATCGCGCCAGCAGAATCTCGTCCGTGGTCCAGGACAGAAGAAGGTTGACGGTGACAATGACACGGTTTCTAGGGCCCCGAAAACTCTGGTGTCCAGAGTCGACCTGCCAAAGGCAACCCGTGTCATTCATTGTCTGTGGGCAATAAACGCACGGGATACCAGCGCGCGTGCATCGTCCATCCATGGTCGAATTAGCTATTAATACAAGAAAGTGCGGAGCCGATCTAACCCATCCGCAGATTCGGCATTCGGTTGGGATGAGATGAGATGCGTCGGCTCCACAGCTCCTTTGGGCCAAAACTCCTGCGGCTGCGGACTCTATATTTGCGTAGCATGCGTAGGTAGGTACTCTGTACGGCAGGTAGGTAGATACACTACGTACTTCGGTGCAACGTATAGCTTCAGGCTTTTAATCTGCGGCAAAAGAACGCTTGGTGTTAGTCAAGGGGGCGGGGTGCGGAATGGCGTTGATGATGAGCGTTATATCGAACCGTTTCCGAGCCGGACGACCATTGTCGGTCTTGTGCACAGATGCAGACTTGCGGCAACGTCAGCATCCCCATCTGGTCTCCATTCCACATGGCACTATTCGGGCCTGTCATGATCCATCAGAACATGGCCCCTGACATTGTCGTTTTCTCGACCTTGTTCCTGGCGGGTTTGCTGCCGTTATGGCCCGAATACAAGACTCCTGCATCGGCTCGCAGAGGGGATAAAATGACGACGATCAAGAGGTTCTGTACAGAGTACGAGTCGGGGATCGCGTTACATTTGCTGCAGCAAACTCGTTGTGCCGGCCGGAACGAGTCGTGCACTACAACGGGCCCATCCTGCGCATCCGAAGAGTACGGATACAAAGCACGTCTGCCACTGATCTGCACTTTAGTCACGCAATCCTCTGCCGTGGCCTACGAAGCTAGTTAGGCTGCACGCCAGCTAAGACAGTCCCTTGGGTGGTATTCGTAGTTGAGACAGCCGATGGACGGCTATGAACCGGGAGACCAGTGACGGGCAGGAGCCTCACTATTCGCGCGCCGCCATCGTGGTCATACCTGGTTGACCTTCGCGTGGATTGCAGCCGTGTAGTGAGATAGCCACCAGGAAAGGACAGCTACGTTTGTTCAGTGTATAAGAA